GTGCAACCGATATTGAGGTATTTTTCGAATATTTTTTATTATATCGAAAAAATATTGACGCGCCGCCACTGATGCACATTGTAAAAATGGGTATGTCAGTATGTTAATAATATCATAACCCCCCAAATTTTTTGGTTTGCACAAATTCCCTATTTTTAGTATGCTTCTTCCATTGAATACAAATTTTTCCACCATGTCATTCACCCTTTTTCCTATAGTATTCGGCATCGGAAATACTTTTGATAAATATAGAAACTGCGGCAACACCTTTAATTTTACTAATATACATTTGCCTTCTAAAGTCAACTTGATATCCTGTAATTCTCTTACTTATTTTTCTCTTATTTATCCACTTATTTATCTCTTACTTATTTATAAGTCACTCACCTAATCTTGACGCGAGACAGCGCTTTCAGAACACAGAAAAACTCAGGAAGTCGCACGGTGATTTTCGAAGCAATAATAATCTGTCAGAACCAAGTCAAGCGTGTCGGGAATTCAACATCGGGGGAAATTTCCGGAGTTACACGGGGTTGATGTAACCGATCATGTTTAATGGAAGAATTAAAACAGTCAAAGATTTAAAAAAAGCTTTTTTTGGACACGTTTATTGGACACGTTTAGTGGCCATAACGATCGTTTCAAAATTTTGTTGTTATTGTTATTTTATTTCGTCATTATCATCAAAAAATCGCTTTTCTCCTCGAATACTGGACCAATTGCTTTGGAATTTTCAGTGGTTCAAGATTGATTTTTTTGCCAGAAGGCTATTACTTTCATTTATTCCTGAATTTTCTATGAATCTTATGAGATATAATATTTCATCCAAAATTGCGCTGTATTAATTTTTAATTATGGGAACACGGTTTTTAATCCGCCAAGCGTGACGGCTGACTGTGAAAATTCTTGCGACTGAAAACCCGGAACTTTTTGAGGGTACGGTACCGGTAACGTCAAAGGTAAACCCTGCTTCGCTCTAGTCCACGTGTCCATATATTTGAGCGTTGCTCTCTTGTTTTATTGGACACAGACCGAGATCAAAAATTGAAAGATAGGGACAAGAAAATAATATCATCACAGATTCAGTAATGGAGTGCATGACGTAAAAGTATCATTTGACTCCTTTTGGCACCTTAATTAGTTCACATGAAGAAGCAGGGGAAAAATAATAACAATCGATGAATATTGTTTAATTGCTACCAGCATTCATAAGTATTTATACATACTTGAATAAGGATTCGAATATTTATGTATGATCCACAATTAAATATACAGCTCACTTGTTACACAATGAGTTAACAATATAAAAAGGTTATTAGGTAAATTAATTTACGAAATGAAAGCATGGAAAAACACAGTGACAATCACTGAATACTGTATGGTGGCTACCAACATTCATAAAGATTTATAAAAATATGAATTAGAAATGAAGTATCAATGTATGATCCGCAATTAAATATGCTATTGATAATGCAGTTCATCACTTATTATATAATTAGTTTAACATGTAAATAGGTTAATAAATTAATTTACAAAGAGTCTAACAACATTCACAAATATTCATACCAAGGGTACTTGAAAGAGAACTAGAATATTAATGTATGGCCAACAATTATACATGCAGTTCATTTGTTACAAAATGAATCTTTACAATATAAAAAGATTATTAGGTAAATTAATCTACGAAATGAAAGCATGGAAAAACACAGTGACAACCACTGAATACTGTATGGTGGCTACCAACATTCATAAAGATTTATAAAAATATGAATTAGAAATGAAGTATCAATGTATGATTCACAATTAAATATGCTATTGATAATGCAGTTCATCACTTATTATATAATTAGGTTAACATGTAAATAGGTTAATAAATTAATTTACAAAGAGGCTAACAACATTCACAAGTATTCATACCAAGGGTACTTGAAATAGAACTAGAATATTAATATATGGCACCCAATTATATATGCAGTTCATTTGTTACAAGATGAATTTCAACAATATAAAAAGGTTATTATGTAAATTAATTTACGAAATGAAAGCATGGAATAATCACAGTGACAATCACTGAATACTGTATAGTGACTACCAACATTCATAACGATTTATAAATACTTGAATTAGAAATGGAGTATCAAAGTATGATCCACAATTAAATGGATGAAACAGTCATATTACACAGAAAAGTTATAAAATCATACAATCACTGCATACAATGGATGTTTCCCTAACCTTTCACCCCCGGAAAATTCATCCTGTACTTACTACTTTCAATCAATCAATCAATTTTATTTCGGACGCCATGGTATAAAACAAAACAAAAACAAAACACAGAGGACCTGGAGGACGGGCATAACTTAAAGAAAAGTTAAAAACGTGAAAATACGCGCCCGTCCACCAAAAACAGTCAAATAACACAATAAATCAAAAATACACGATACACAATCGGGCAATAACTTCAAATAAATAAATTTATGAATAACAGTGACAACAATGAGTTTATTTTAAAGAGGGGTCATACAGATGAAAAACATCGTATTTATGTGTAACAATAAAATGAAGTGATTGTAGGAATAACTTTACCATGGCAAAATTGTTGATGCCCTCTTTAGGAGTGGTTTAGCAGGTTGGCGCATATAAACTGGTTTTTATGTTTCAAACTATCATTTTGACTGAAAGCATTCAACAACCTGTCATCTATAAGTACCGATAAAAAAGTTTAAAACAATATAATTTTTTTATTATTTGATATTATTCAACCAAAAAAAAAAAATTAATAATAAGCATATGAATAACTTATGCTACTTTATTATCCGGTTAACCCTCACAATCTTATCCGAATATCAAATAGCAAAATTCCTTTCGGTTATCCGGATAATCCAACCCCAGTTACAACCACTGAACTGGAAATATATATATATTTAATTATTTACACATCTCCGTGGTTACAACAGACTCCAGTTTCTACTGTACAGTGTTCCCAATAAGAAAATCAAACACTGAGCATGAATATTTTAAGGTGGAGCGCAGAGTTTTAAATGATTTACAAACCTCGTGGCAAGATAGATATAGCACACGTCCTATTGCAAACACCATGAAAGAGTCATAACAAAGATCTTTCGATGAAATTCAAATGCGCTGAAAAGCAAGATTTGCGTTGCATGTTACATGTAACTCTAGAAGTTGCCCATTCTCTTATCCGGAGGAGGATTTCAAGCTGTTTTTGGTTATAATTTAATTTTTCACTTTGTAGAACAGACAAATAACTGATCTATACATTAGGCGCACTGGCTTATTAGGCGCACGATCGATTCAAAAAAAGAAAAGGGATTCAAAGTTTGCCTTTTGTTATGTATAATATGTCACTCTCTAATCTATATTTGCTTATTAGCTGATGTATAACGTGCACAGTTTGAAAAATAATTGTATGACACAATAAAGTATTAAACCGCCAATTTTGTGTAGCATATTATGACGTCATACTTGATTCCTTGAAGATTTGTGAGTTCATTGTTAAAAAGGAAGTCTCACAAGTGAAGCAAAAGAGCAATACCTAAATATCTCAACACGAAGTAAAGTAATTTAACAGTTTGTTACCGGTACCAAAAAACTTCCGACTTCCGCACAGCAAGAGTTCGCAAATTCAAAACGTCTTGGCGAAAGAAAAACCGTATTCCCATGAATGGAAATTAAACAGCGAAATTTTGGGTAAAATATCACATCTTATAGGATTAACAGGAAATTTAAAAATCAATAAATATTAATAGCAACAATTAGTAATAGCCTGATATGGCAACAACAACAATCTTCAGTTTTCAAGTTGAACTTTTTGCAACTGAATGATTTTAGGCGTGTATTGTTATACAATTTTTGGTATCCAAATCGTATCTCGCCACCAATCCGATAATACCACTTTACTTCCAATAAATATCGGTAATAGAACAGAAGTCAGAATGATATATATATATATATATATATATATAAATCAGTGTTGTCGTCCGTGGTAATTGTTGTTGAAGAAGCATTTATGATAACTTCGGTGGTACTACAAACAAATAGTGACATATAAAAAACGTCAAAATATTCGTAATCATTGTTTGCAAGTTTGGCAATGTTCCTATAGCAATTTATTTTAGAATATATAGGATATATAGTGATATACGGTATGTTATTTAATTCTTACCAAGGATATATCTTAGACTTCCCCCTCATCATAGATACAAATTTTGAATCCCAGTAAAATATCAAACTTTAACTTTAGAGTACACTCCGATTTTATATTTATTTGCCTGAGCAACTATGTTCTCTGAGCAACCATACCCGTTACAGATCTAAATTGAAATATTCTGTGACCCACGAGCATGTGTCATATTTTATCGGCACTTTAATGTGGTAAAATTCAGGTGATATTAATCCCTTTCCGGAAGGCAGGACGCGATTATTATACATGCATAGATCTCAAAATTCAAACGCATATTTAAGGACGCAAGCCTTTAGCCCGGGGCATACTTTGCATTTGACGCTGAGCCTACTATATCTCGTGACGGTCACAAATTATTTAGCGAGTAAGATCGAGTGGAAGCACAACAAAATATTCATCCTTGGACTTCGTTTTTAGCGTTACGGTGTAGACTACCTGTAGCTTTCAGAAAATTGTAAGATATCAGGTAAAATGACTTGAATATAAAGATGACTGGGAATGTAACGATGGAAATATACAACGTGCCGGCATCGAAGTTACACTCGGCTTAATATGCAGTATTTCACAATGTAAAATTCTTGACAAATGTTCAAATTTAAAACAAGGTTAGACTAATTTCATTTATTAATTACATTAAATACCGCCAGCATGACGGTAAGTTATATCGACGAAACCATTCAATAGCAAGCTTTCATTCAGACAAGTTATCAAAGTAACTTATATTTGGGTAACATATTCTTGTTAGGAATTTATCTACATAGTTAATTAATAGTATAAATAGTGGCTTGAAATGATGTTTCCACCCACTCTACCAACAATGGGTTGCGTGAGTGTTTATTCCTTTTTTTTACTTCTTTGATGAGAAAAGGCTTGTATAGAATATACCAGCTTCAAGAAAGTGTCGATAGTCATACTAATCGCAGAGGAGTAAAATATATTTTCGAAAGCGAAAAGTTGCTGCATATAGCGTGACTACTGAATAGCGGTAATAGTACATTTTACAATATAAACTCAAATCTATATTAAAGCGAAGTTCTTAATTTATCAATTGAATGATCAGCAGACTTGGCATTATTTGGATTTTAATAGGATTTGGTAGTGTCTATACTCGTAATCAGCTCAATTTGTATATAACATCGACCTATCATTGCTTTAATAAAGCTTTTCTTTTTGTTCTACTAATTACAGTCTTACAAACTTTTTGAGTTCATGCCATTGCATTCCAGCATTGTTTATTTACATTGACAGGATTATATGAATCACTTGTATATGTTGAGTTCGTTTATTCCACCTGGTTAAATCCTATCTGCCAATTTAAAGTCGTTAGATTTACTTCTAACGCAACAACCTAACCGCAAATTCTGTTATCAAATCGCACACCTTCGTATATAAAATTTCGTAGAAACTTTTCAAAATTGACAACACCCACGTCTGTTACTGAATGTTAATCGTATTATGATAACTGCTTAGTTTTGCAAACTGTTTGATGTTTTTATTGTCGTAGCTCCTATTAATTTCTCAAATTTCATTTTAATATATTATTGATCGGTTTGATGTGTTCCCCTATTTTCTGTATAATACAGATTCGAGCCTGTAGTATTTAGAATGCCAGGGGCGAATAACGGAATGATGAAAATAAAAAATTTGTCTTTATCGTTTTAAATTTTGAGCTTGTTTTTCCTTCAATTAAAATACTCCCATCTGAAATGGATCGAATTTGACATTGCTTTATTCTAATTGAATAATTAATAGACTTCTTGAGCCAAAAATATTTTACCAAAACCCATATCTCCCCTATATACATATGCAAGTACATGTCAGAATAAATAATAAAAAGCGAACTACACTGGCATCTTAGTTTAATAATCTCGTATTAATTAATACCTCATGTCCAGCACGATCTCAACAAGTGAGCAAATGGTTGACTGTGAGCCAAGTTGAAAAATAAAGTAGTCTTTACATACCAGTGCTTTGTTTCTCGTTCAGTTTAAAGTTGCGAACACCCCATGAAGATGTTGCGTTTAATGATGGCATCACAATTTCAATCAAAATGAAGTCTTGCTGTGATTATTTTAGCGATTTTCGTTAGTAGTGAAATTTATATATACATGGATAATCAAATACAGCATGGGGTATGCTGTTAAAACTATTTGGCACTTTATGCACTTAGACGTAAGTTGTGAACAAAAGATTTCATTCAGAAAAAAAAAACTTTCTTGGTAAACGTAAATTTTATAGAGATACAGGGAGTCCTCGGGTTACGACGGTGGCGACTTACGCTGTTTCGAGTTTACGAACGCCTACTCCATAGCGCTGTTTCGAGGTTACGAACGCACTCCATACAAATATAAAAGATAATACTGTACTGTAATATCTGAGCCCTTAAACTAGATCATTGTGATCAAGAAAATCAGTGCTTTGGGCTCATTGGTTTTCGTCATTTACATCGTACTTTGTGCAATATTTGTACATTTTATTACTGTACCACACTTTACAATACAGTACGATATGTATACAGTAATTTATGTACTGTACAGTATAATGTTCCGACTTACACTGAAGTTCGGGTTACACCGCTTCTCAAGAACGGAACAACGTCGTAAGTCAAGGACTCCCTGTAAGCAACAATGATACATATGCAAATTGCAATGAAAATCACTCTTATTCGTCAACAATTAGTGTTTATTACTTTGTTCGAATGTTCATTTGTGTATATTGAAATATTCTGTGGGTTGAAATATATGTTAGTTTATATTGTCGAGAATAAATAGCGTTTATCAAAATGTTATTGTTGAGTGCGAAGCCTTTTTTATATCATAAATAATTACGTAATAAATAGAATCGTAGGCTACGGCAGTAATGAAAAAGGTAGTGACGAAAAACATCGAGGATGCTCCCCATACTCGGGGCGATATAAATAAAGCTGCACTTTATAATAAGTAACACATTAAGTTAAACGTTTCGTGAAATGGTTGCAGATCTATTCGGAATTAGTTTATTCAACAGTTTGCTATTCCATCAAAGCTTCAATCAGTCTTCACCAAAAAGGACAGTATGTAAATATGGTTTACTACATATAAGCATCATTGTATTGAATTCCAACAAACTATTCTGGACATTTTTCGATTTTTTTGCTGCCAAGTATAGATTCAAATAGTAGCAGCATTTAATAAATATCCCGCGCCTGAAATAAGCTGCACCCTTGCACATATATGATATTCATCGTTTCATCTTTAAATTTGAAACCTTGTTTTATAAGCAATTTTACAAACATTTGTAAAAATGTGACCGAAGTGAATCATGAACTAATCATAACCGTTCACATTATTTCATGATTCACTTAGCAAATTATTCATACAACCAACTTCCCATGACAATCTTTATCCGTGTTGCGCATCCCCATGTAACACAAAAAATGAAGCAAATACTTTTAATGCCAAAAGTAAGATAAGATGGGTATGCTCTAGGACTAGGTCCTAGAATATACAAAATAAGAAAGCAAATAAAATATTTTATGCCATACACTATCTGCAATTGTTTACTTTTTAAGCGATTTTACGAGCTTTCAAACAATGCATGATTCTTGTTTGCAGCAAACCTAGACTCTCACAATATTCGATAATAATGGCTCTTTGCAAAAAATGCTTTTTGTTTTACTTCGCACTGCAAATGCTATCCAGTTCTTTGTCAATTAGTTTGATGGACACTCCGATTATGGTAGACTATACTCATCTTATGTGGAATTTGCCATCCATGGATTCAGTGGAGACTCCTGATAAGATGAAATTTGATCAATACGTAACTCTGAGTGAAGATGGAACTGTGAAGCTTGCATGGAATTTTACTGACGATAAAATAACTTTCAAGGTAAAGTTTGAAGCGGTTTCGTGAATTTATTGCCCGCTCGTGAATTGAAAAGTCATATAGTCCTTATGTTTGTCGCTTTACATAAACTATATAACAGAAGTCGACTTTTATTTGCGCTACATTACATCATATATCACAAATACCACCACAACATACAAGGTCCAAGAAATACGATTTTTCAGTTCGACATAGTTTATGCATCTTCCACATCAAAGAAGGAGTTAGGAATGCCAATGAAAAGACACTAAGAGCACTTATTCCTAATAATCAATGTGCATACTTTTTTGTTGTTCCTTCCACTACGGAGGCTAAAGTTTCATTCCACAGGCTGTAAAAAGGGAAAGATAAATAAAGTGTCTTTATCACTTAAATTTTTTTTATGCTTGATAAACAAAGCCCAAACTTAGCCTTCCTTGTATTGCAGGTTTTAACTCGTTATTCTTTATACAGCTATCGGCGCAAACTCATGGATGGATAGGGGTTGGATTTGCAAAAACCCAAGTCGGAAATACTGGAGCAGATTTCATTGTAGCAGGAGATAAAAGTCAATCAAATTACTATGTCGCGGTAGGTAATACTTTCTACGTAGCAACGAAATTAAAAATCATATAGCATCTATTGTGATACTTGAGGACCAGGATGCTAACTTATTGTATTTTCGTAGTCAGAATAAATAATGACAGCAAAGAATTAAATTTATGAAAAGACATATTTATAAATACAGGCCATCTAAGTCCAACATATCAACAAAATAACGGTAACAAAACGCGATACAAATTCATCTAAAAATGTCGACGGTTATGCTGTGACCCGTTTTTAGGAGTGTTAATTTTTGTGTCGACTCAAATCTATTTTTTTAAATATTACTGTAAGTTTTATGTTTCTTGGTGTATATTTCCTAATAAATTTTTATATTGCATGCGATAAGTCATATGCCAAATTTTATATGTATTATTTCACCATATCGGCGACATGAGATATCATCTCACAACGTACATGTCGACTGACTTGATTCAAAGAATTAGAATTTGTTTATAAATTTAGATTTTTCATTGATAATTTATATTCTGATGTAGCTTTCTCCCATAGTATGAAACTAAAAACCGGGCGAAGAGATTCAATTTTGACTTGTGAAAATTTGAAAGAGATTGGTTTGATATTTTGGCTATTATTTTTACATCTTCAACCCGAACAATTTTGTGTAAAAACAACCACTAATACGAAGGAATCTACTACAACTCATATCTATCTGTTGGATAGTTTTTTGACAGTTCCATTTTCCTAATATTCATACAAATATGTTTTTAGGATATGCATGTTGATAAAAACGGAGAATATGCTGTTGATAAAGTACAAGATGTGAGTGTAATTGCAGTTTGGGAAGATCAGGATGAAACTTATGCGATTTTTTCTCGACCTCTTGTCTCGTGCGATCACGATCAAGATGTAGAAATTACGGTAAGTTTTTTTATTCGAATGAAAATTTCCTTAACTGGAATTATTATTTTTTTAGTTTGACAACAAAGGCGTAACAACGGACAATTAACCAGCTTTGCCCAGATTATGCATGGTGTTTGAAAGGGCATGAACAATGAGTGTTGGCTTGCAAATTTTACCCATTCCAAAAAACATTCAAATAGTCTAAATGTGTAGTTTGGCAGATTTTTTATAGCGTACGGTATTACTTGTTTTTATCCACGAACACACATTTTAGCACCTGATTTCACCTACAAATGCTAACATTTAAAGTCAGTTCAATTTGCAAATACGGATTTAACTTTAGCAAAAGTACATTGTTAAATTTAAATTTCTTTGAGGGTTGTTCAATTTTTAATATCTACAAAAACTTTCGCTAAGGAAGAACAAACTTCATTCAAACTGAAATGGGCTGATTCATGACGTCTTTCATCAACGTGTGAATCTAAATTTCGGACAAAACAAATTTTCGTCCATTTTGAAATAGAAACCAAACCAAATAAACGTCAATCATTTCTTATCCTTCAAAAGAATTTATCTATATTAGTTAACTTGTTAAAACTTGTCAATAACAAGTGATCTAGCGTTACGTATTCACTAAAATACTCAGTATAAGCCAGCCTATCAAACTTTAATTACCCGGTACAAAGACTTAATGACCTCTTTCCGTCTTAAGAAATTAGGCTCGATAATACCTGTGAATTTCCAAGCTTGGGCAGTAATTGATTTACATGGCAAAGATAAGAATATCTTTGATCCAATGAATTTTTTTCTTTAATGGTTATAATTTTTCTTGATACAAAACAAAGTGTCTTTGTAGGCGGAGCTGTTATTATTCTATTCTGCGTCATGAATGGCCCTATACTAAATTGAGGTTGAAAACTCATTTGACGTATATCCCATTTATGATCTGTTATAACGGCCAGATAAGGTCGTTCAATACAGACGAATTTAACCATCCAACACAATGGCACTGTTTAAAATACTTAAGCGGTCAACCGCATTGGCGCTGACAAGTTACATGGCGTCTGGAAGTGGCGTGTTATCGTTCGTTCACCCGGCTATCATTCACCTAATTAATTATTATTGGGAAAGTCCTGTAATTTGGACGAATGATGGAAAAATTGACATTACGTATAAAATATCTCCGCTTACTAATTAGGGGTGTAAACAATAAAGCGTAGATGTGGTTTGTAAGGATTCAAGCCACATGTTTTGTTAACATCAATAATGTGACGAATCGTATTTTCAAGATAAGTTATAGCTGAGAATGGATAACAAATTATTGACCAAAACCCATATGCAAAACACGACATCAGTTTTGCATAACAGATTAAAATACATTGCATACAGTGAGTTTTTGAGAGCCAATTTCAAACTCAAAATAAATATTTTCAGTAAAGTGAGCTCACGTGTAGCCTTAGAGTGCACTATTTCTATATATATTTTATTTATTTTGTGTCACGTTATTTAGTTTTACAATTATCATCAGCTGCCCCTTCGTTTTGAATAAAGATTTACCTATCTAACCCATAAAAATCAAAAAATCTTTTTACCCTTCAAATGTTTGTTGGTTGGAATCTATGGTCGGAATACATAGTCTTTGATTTTAATTAACCAGAAAGCAGTTTGAATGAAAATTCCATGTATTCATAACTTTATTTTTTACCAGTCCGATACATTACGAATTATCTGGGGAGTTGGTGCTGTGGATCCACGAGGATCAGAGCCGGAAAGGGGAGAATTAATTCCTTCAAAATCAGGTATGACATGCATGATATATTATCCCATATAAATCCGTTTTTCATTATTGCCATAACGTCAAACAAATTCTAGTAGGCCACTTGTTCGATAACTGAAGACTACTATTAAGTACTAACTATTTATAATTTTGGTAAATACTGAAGGGAGTGTCCGAAATAGGTAGGTTCTATATACCGCCGTGAGGATCGAGATTCAATCCGATGTAGTACATGACCAACGGTGTCTTTATTTTCGTATGGCTAATTAACACCTCACCATGTTTAAAACATTGAAAATGTCGATTTCCGTTTAAAACATGTCATATAGTGAACGTGTTTCTAAGAATGCTACATAGAGTCAAACTTATCATATATTTGAAACAACGTTTCAGTGTCAATGAGTGACGAGGCTAAAAATATAGGTTACGAATGTAGTTTTATTTTCACGTGCAAATTTATTTTTATTTAATAATAATAATATCTCCTTATTCGAATTTGATCGTTTTGGACTCAATAAGGCTAAAATGCAGTAAACTTATATTATGAAATCAAAGTCAATCTTACTGATTTCTTTGAATATAAATATTGTTTGCCTAAAATAAGACTGTGAGGCTTACTTGTCTTGATGAACTTCACTGCTGATAGCTAAAACAAGTTAATTCAATAATTTATCTTTAATCATCAACCTAACGTGTAATTTATTTTATACCGCATGTATTCGCCATTTTGTTTGCACCTCCATTTTGTGTATTATAAAGCGATCCGCGCAGACGAGACATTGAATATTTCAAATTTTTTCAATGCATTACTGTGAACGCATTCGCCATTTATTCTTTTAACTGAAAATTTAAATGCGTTTACTGATCTCCTTTGCAATATAGCAAGATACTTGGAGCAAGCACAAACACAATGTTATAACCATGCAGTACGCTATCGAGCCTAATAAAGCAGTGTTCTTCAACCGTGTATACCGAACCATAAGTAGGGTATACAACTGATAAGCGGTATACGAACGGTGTATAGCCTAAGTCAAGGATTCTGAATTCTAATATTATAAAATATTCAATTGGCGACAACAATGCAAACGCGGCGCGGCGCTCATGAAATATAAAATGTCATTTGCGCAAAGAACCGACTTGAGCACATTGTTACATCACAATTCATCTATAATGCAGGCATGTGTCTACTCTGAATTGGTGATTTTGGCTGTCATGCATGTCGCTTGATTTACGTAAAAAAATATTCCCGTTGACGCTCGGGCCGGCAGTCAAATTTATTGCTTGCAAATGATCTTTGTTTCCTTGGCATTACACATTAGCAAAGTTTAGTTCGAGAAGCATGTATAACGAAACAATATGTAATGTAGAAATAAATGCGACTGAAGGGGGTTCTGGTAGGAATACACTGATATATACAGTTTCGCATTGGACTTTACACTAAATGGTGAAAATATCATGGAAATAAATAAAACAGACACACGTAATCTCATTTTCATTAATTTTGGCTTAACATATAATTTCTCGTATTATCTTTCTAAATAATTACTATTTTCAGGATCTTTGAATATAAAGTTATTGAATCCAATGAATCCCGCTCTTGACATCAATTCACCTGATTCAGGTAATTATTGAACTTGATTACTACGTTGTGAGATTATGCTGAATAACAATAAATGGTGTTTTTGAATTGTTTTAATATATACTTTTTTTAATAAATAATTTATCACTTATAAATAACTATACGAATCTGAAGTGAATATTTTTTATGTCACTTCAAAATTAAAATGGTAGACTAACTATGTAAAACGTTCATGCTAAAAGTGATATAAACATCGACTCGTTTGTTTTGATCGAATACCAAATGGTTCTAATATACTTCACAGCGTATGAAGTTGCTATCATTTATCACAAAATTACTACAAATTTTGCTGAAAAGTCATAGTGAAAACTAAAGACACTCGAGTTATTATTTTGCGAAAGACTATGGTCGAGAACTTGCAAACCTATTAGATTTGTTACATGTGGCCTATTCACGGTATGCCAGTTATAATATAAAACTTGGAAAAGATTACTAGAATATAATTCAATTTAAAGACAATTTGAATATTTATATTTCAGTATTATACTGAGTTCAAAATAATGTGTCAAAGAAATAAGGAAATAACATGTCATAAACAGTAATAAATATTATTCATTTTTAAATTTCAGTTTTGAAAATGTTTATGCTTTGTCCGCCCATATTCAATATTTTCCAGCGAATCAAAATTGAAGTTCTAAAAGATTAAATTAGCTAAGAATGTAAATGTGATCTGCAATGCGACAATTAATTTCCTGTTGTTTTGGATCACGCTCTCCTATAAGATTTAAAAAAAAATACATGGTTTGGTTAAAAATATACCATTAAAACAATGTGTGCTTGAAACACTAAAGGATTTACAATGACATCATTGTGTAGCGACACTTCCGAGAAGTGTTTTTACTAAAATCTTCGTGTAACTCAGTATAAAGAGCAATGTTCAGGTATGGTTTTAAAGCGAATGTAGCATAAATACACATCTTACAGCCATAAGCTATATATATTGTCTATTGTATGTTTGTACAACCTCAAAATGATAGTGAGTTTTTCGCTTTAAGAGTGAATCTTACCGTTGCTATTGATGTAATCCATGCGTTGATGCGCTTGTATAATCTTCTGTGATGGATTAAAAAGATATCAGGAATCTGGAATGTATTTAACGTTTTGATATCAACAAAATATATTAAATATTCATCATTATTAAGCGATATATATATTTATTAATTATTTCTAAAAGGTAAGGTGGTCGCGTTTGTGCCAATTCATTCATGCGAGTTACAACTTCATAATATTATCAATCTGAACCATGACCATTTCGCAACTACGGAAACAAATGCTCATTGTTATTTATGTTTGCTGAATTTTACGTTTTGATGAGTATTCGTCACGAGTTGAGAGTTAATATTGTGAGTTATTGCCAAGATGAAATAAGCATTACCATCAGCGATGCCCCGTATTTACTGATATCTGTAAGAATAAAGTAAACATAACACTCTGCATTGAATTACCTGAATTTTCAATTTGAGTAAAAACCGATAAACTAACAATGAGCCGATGAAACGAAATATATGTTTCGTTGTATTTCGCTTTGCTTATGAGGCTAAAACTGAATCTAATTTCAATATGCCTTGTTTGGTATTCTTCTTGATTATTTGAAAAACATTTTGCTCAAGAATTGTTTTTATGATCTGAGTTCATTATTCGTTTTTTCAAAATTGAAATTCTGTCATCCGGTCTTTTATGAAAATTTTCAAAACATTATAATCATTCATAAAATTCTTTTTAGAAGTTGAAACATTTGATCTAAAATTGGACAACATCCATGTAGAACTTGGAGAATATCGACATTGCACCGTCTTTCGATTTCCAGAAATTACAACAAAGAGACACATAGTACAGGTACAGTGAGACGGATATGCTTTAAATATTCGTCAATATATTTTGCAAGATTACATTTTATCTGCTCCATTTTTTTATTTGCGTTGTTTGTACATACCACATAAGTTATTGACAACAGAAAAAGGTGTGTTTGATGCGACACAAATTTCAATGTTAATTTCGTTTCAAGTATCTGTGGTTAAACAGTTGTTGGTGGCTTTGCAATCAAAATGAGTATTTATAACAAGTCTGATTATGTGAGAGGTTTTACACGTTATAATTAAAATGCAATAAACACAAACAACTTTTAAAAATGACAAATTTTATCGACCTATTATAAGGTCTTGTAATTTAGACTATTTTATCGTTGCCTGCAATATTTCGAACAATATCTTGCTGCAAACAAATTAATTTTTTATGTTGCAAGCAGCTGTCTTAAGTTTATTTGCTATTTATTTTTATTATTCTAAAATTTTAAGTTTGTTTTTATTAAAAAATGCTGAAATGGTGTAACTGTGGCAAAATGATGTGAGCTGAGATTTGACATTATATTGAAAATTCAAATATTATCGTATAAGTTCATTGATAAAGTTGTAATTTTCCACACAAAATTTGTTTTTATTTTTTTCATTCCGTCAAACACTTCATGTTTTGTAAATGCAAAAGGAGATAATATCAATGTACAACTATAAACAATGGCGCCTGTGGATTCGCGCTTTCAGTCTGTGGTTAGGTTCATTCATTTTATGCTCGTGAATAAATGCCAACATGAAGAAAAAAACATATATCACTAATAGCCCATAACTGAATGAGAATAAATGTTGGAAGATCTGAGAGGTTAAATCACAAAGTGATGTTTATAATAAAAAGTATCAAATTAATAATAATAGTTAATGCGATTAATTCGGATTAAAAACGGGCGGTTGTTAAAGCGGATTTTGTAAAGTTAATATTTAGCCTATGTATTTCTATAATTTTTTTTTAGGAAATACAAAAAACAAGTCGTTTTGGAAATGTCGTTCATATTAATCGAAGGTTTGTTGGAATTAATCCCATTCACCACATACGCCTAATCACATCTTTCAATGCCCGAAGGCTATAATTGCAAGCTCTGTTTTAAATGGTGGGTGTTGTCGGATGCAACAGAAATTTTTATTATCCGTTTATGACATTATCCGTCTTTCTTACTTTCGGAGTTATTATTAAAATATCTTGACAAGTGGGATCAACGTATAACTCAGTGTGTGGGTTTTATACAATCAATCTTTTGTATTTAAAGAAAACATGTATTGAAAATTATGACGGAAATATATTTTTCATAACTCGGATTTTTACAAATTAACGCACCTACTTTTAAAAATATCCTTCTTACCGAAATATTTTTTTTTGCAATTTGAATAGACTCAAAATTTTTTTTTGTTTCATTGTGAGACTCAAAAAATTATTCTAAATCCAAATCAGCAACTACGACAAATATTTTAAAATATAACCATAGGGTTGATAAAAATTTCCCAAGCCCGACCATTTTAGCTACAAATGCTGTAGTTAAATTACTATTTGTTACGCGATCGAGTCATATAATCGTGTTGATCGCTACATCGTCGCGTCTTTCCAAACTATAATTGGATTCCATCCGATCTTGGGAAAACTAATGCAAAACAAGTTTTTGTTGCACAGTTACATACTTGGCCCGCAGTTCAGCGATGGATCGGGGCGTATCTCCCATTAAAATAAAGATTTTTATCAAATTGTAGGAATGTTGTGGATGCATCGGTTAAGTATACTTTACAAGGAGAAAAGATCAAACTTAGGAACATTTGTAAATAACGAAAAAATATTTTTTTTAATTGAAATATTGAATGTCAAAACAATTGTTGGGAAATTAGTTATGAAAAATTCAAAATAGCACGGTGAATTTAGAAAATGGCGAAACGGAATTACGTGCTTCCTTAGGTTCTTTCAATGTAAACGTTTGAAGAAATTTTTTTAGGTTTGAGCTACAGACAATTGAAGCGTAAGAATCTTACCTTAGCAAGTTTATCGTTACTGAAATTCATATATCTCTGAAATTCATTACTATAGGGAGCATTTGACACGTTAATGATGAATTAAGCGAATATTGTCACTTTTTGACTTGGCGTTACTTTGAGTCTACTTACTATATTTCACCAATTAATCTTCGAGGCCAAAAAGATTATAACTTGAACATCAATCCCTGTTTAATACGACGATAAGGCCGAAAAATCGTATAAAATTAAAACATACGTTATCTCATTGAAACCGCAAAACACTTCTTGGAAAGACATCGCTTGACATATCTGCTAAATGCTGCAAAATAAATTGAGAATGGCGGGATGCTGCGCTACAGTGACATTTTTATATATACGATGTTTTCCATACAGGCGGTTGAAATATGATGCAATTCCGACTGGTGCTTATTTGGTGTTATTTTATTCCTTATCCTTATACGGTTTAAATTCGAAGTAACTTAAATGTTTAGTAGAAAGCTACACCGCTTATATGAAAGACCAATTAAGAGCCTAATTATAAGATGCACTATTGACCTTAGCGTCAAAATGACTATCGTGTATATGTGTAAAAATTATTTTATTATACGTGACCCAACGGTAATATTTGAGAAAAACTGTGATAAAAATAATTTACAAATAATTAGACGGAGTCGGCGATATCCGCAGTCAGCCTAATGATAAATGAATTTGTCCAAATTTGATGTTAAAAGTTTGCAATTATTTTTAATTCCATTTTGATGAATTTCCGATTTAATGGTAGATTCCTAATTACCATTTTGGAATAATGTTTTGATGTAATTTTAAGTTAATGTTACATTGAACTTCCTCATTTTTCACCGACATTGAGGCGACATTTTGCAGTCAGTATACCGCAAGCGTCAGAATCCACTGAATTGTTTGTTAACTTGAGCCGAGATTAAACCAAGTGTTGCAAAAGAGTCGGTTTTCCGGATTGAGTAATGCGACAGAAAGCCTCGATGTGACGATGTCCTCCTTGTTCAGTAACATGATCATATGTACATCCATAGATATTGGATGAAACTGATTACTTATTTAAACCCATGTTTGGTACGGCAGCATGATATATTTCTCAATATAAAACAGTACAACTGCAGCGAGAATTTTCATAATAACATAATAGCAAAGCAACGATATAATTAATGGATATTGAAGATTATATCTAAGGATTAATCGACACAAACTATGACAGATTTTAGGACTATAATAATGCTAGCTTTGATGAGTGGTTGCAACATGAGTCATTAATCCGTATTGATATTCGTTCAATAAAAATAGGATTATAATTAGTCTACAGGATAAAGATTATGATAAACGTCAACAACTTAATATTGCTTATTGTTTTGTTTTATACCTTGCGGCATAAAATAAAAAGTGCAAATTTTGATATGTTCTTGTTATTAGGCAACGCTGTAAGTGTCGTTCAAACAACCAATTTACAGAGATACGTTTGATAGCAATTGACATTTTTATCAATACCGAGTCTTTTGTTGGCTGTGTTTTTATACTTACCCATTGCCGCTGCATTTAAAGCTTCTAAATTTATCATCATGTATTACAAAGAAACCCATCATCCATTTTATAACAAACTTAAGTCAAATATCCAACAGCGCTAATTGTTATATACAAATTTAACGTTTTTAGCTGCCTAAGCCAAAAATTTAAAGAGTTGCATTCCATGCAAAAATGACAAGCTGTTCGTAATTCCTAAATTGCAGGTGTTTCACTCAAAATTGATTTAGCATTGATAGCAATAACAAAAACAACCTGCACCAAATTGGATACATCAGCAGATTTGTGAACATTCAAAGAGATTTGTATTAATGAACTCGCCTCGTGAATCTGTTTACCTCACAAGAGCTTTAAAAACCGAGCAGTTTTTTTCGTTCATGTTTATTTACTTCCATAAAAAGGTAATATCTTTCAATTTTTGTGAATTTTCTTTTTTCATAGTTCGAGCCGATTATCACCGAAGGAAATGAATACAATGTCCGTCAAATCACTATACGCCAATGCACAAGGATAGACCAGGTATTTTTGTAAACGTTTTATTTTTTAAACAAAGTAATTAATTGGGCCGCACCATTAAATCTAAACTACCCTATGAAGATATTTGTTTATCATACTCAGATTATATATCGAAAACTTTGAAAACTCTCGGTTCATATACGGCTTTAGGTTTAATATGTTCATTGAAATCATATACTGCAGAAAAATGTTTGATTCACCGATCATCAATTCTAGATTAGATCTTATTGGAGATATAGCTTTACGCATATTAAATCAAAATTAGCGGTATTTGACCATGTAGAACAAAAAATGTAAAATGCCATTGACTATGAAAATATTCGTACTTTTTTATGAAAAAAACAACAACTGAAAAACAGGCATTGGAATTACCCTGCCTCTTACACAAACACATAACAAGAAATAAATCGGATGAAAAGAACTCAGTCATTGAATTTTGTTTGCATTATCCAAAATCCGATCAAAACAATCAGGTTTTTATGCACTCAAAAACCAATTTTTTTTATGTTAATTAACGCTTATTTTGATCTTACAGTCTTTGTCGGCAACGCAACAAGCGACGTATAATTGCGATGAAGCAACATCTTGCAAGACAATAGTATTAACATGGTCTATAGGCATGACAAGATTTACTTACCCTGATGAAGTGGGTTATCCTGTTGAAGAGGATGCAACTTATTTCATGATGGAAATCAGATACGTAAATCCACAGATAGAAGGTAAGTCTTGGCAGTTGCTATTACAACTTTAAATATTGGATAAAGTTGGCGAAATAGTTAAAACAGCATAGTGAACCATGTATTTATTTCATTCAACCAATACATATTATTCATCTTTTAATGGAACTTCCAAATCGATGAAATTTAAAATCACCCGGGAGAGTATTGTTACTCTTCAAGGCTTGCAATTTATAAACGTCGAGTTTGGCGTAAAGGCGCTGGTTAGAAATAATTAATTTTCCGTCATATAGAACTATTCCTTGCCTACATAGGTGATACCTGAATGAGAGTTTTCGATATAGGATACCACCTCAAAAGTAAAAAAAAAAATACACGGACACCTAGGTCAAAAAGACTAACCGGTAGAATATGTGCACAACACTGAAATCCGGTACCTCGTCAATCAAAATTCCAAATCAAGTCCACCGACGTAGCAAATCACATTGTCAGTAATTTTTAGGTAGAATATCGAGCCCCTTAGACTCGACCATCTTCGAGTACCTTAAATTAAAAACGATTAGTCCATTAGTCTCGGAGATAGGCGATTACTCCATAATGTGGCAAACTTATATTGTTTGCCACATTTTGCCAAACTATTGTTTGGTCCCACAATTAGTTCTTGGTGGCCTATTCTATAGTGTTGAATCTCATTAAATATCTGCTCGGTATTTCATAAAGTAACACAATAAGTCGAATCATTGATAGGCATTGCTGACGCTTTTGTAGCTATTATTCAACCAAAAAATATATAATCGAATGGAAAACTGAATGGGTTTATTCAATTCAAAATATGACTATTGACCAAAATGACACACATAGATTTTAGATTGTGTCTACGTTATACACAGTTTGATGAATGATCTCCCCCCCGAAATGTTCTAAGTATATATATCATTTGAAATAAAATTCTGGGCTCATGTTTACCATTTCGAGGTTGTAAAATATACAGACCTCTCATTTCCTCATAAACTAAGCCTCCCTTGTTAATTTTACGTTAAAGTGAATTTACATGCAAATTTTTTAAAAACACATCAATATTTCTTTGTAAAATTACCATCTTGGCTGGAGAATTTTGTATTTAAACCTCAACCGCAAAATTTTATTTATCGATTGATTTATTAATATACTGTTCTATCACGATAACGTTGACGTAAATAACCCATGAAACCGCATAATGCTATGAAAAGATTTTAAACGACGATAAAGTCAAATAAAACATTCTAAGATTAAAATATATCATAAACAACTATGATGTTTCTCAGTAAGTGGTATATATGGGTTTATGCGTAGGCTGTAAAGTAAAAATCAGGTTAGTTAAACAATGTTTGTGAACTCGACCATTGAAATGAAAAGTGTCCCCCTTATTTAAAAATAATAAAAACAGCGAAAGTTTCGTTAAGAATCGGGTACGAAAGGACTTGAAGAAAATTTGATCAAAGCAAGAGGAGACGTGTTACGGCTTTGAGTACAGAGAATGTAAAATTGACAGGCCCATTAGTTACGGAGAAAGGCATTGCAAAGAAAAGCGCAACAAGAATTTGGAAAGACCAGACACAATCCGTGTCCAATACCTTTAATTTCATTTTTTAATTTACTATTATATTTTAAGGGTTTACTCGACGACGAGTTGATTGGCCCACTTTTTGACTTTAAATATTCTAATCTTTATTTGAAATCATGTATGGTCAAAATATAAAAAAAACAAATGCGCTCTCAAATCGACCTATGGCACGCAAAAAGCTAATTCTACGTAAATAGAATGAAATTTATGATTATGATCAATTCCAAATTATATGAAACTTATTTTTAAACAGGTTTAATAGATTCGTCAGGACTTCGAATTTACTACTCGTCACAGCTTCGTCAATACGATGCAGGCGTTATGTCTACCGGCAGCCTGGTTCATGAAAGTCAGATTATACCACCGAGAAGTACAAACTTTTTGCTGCAGGGACATTGCATGACAGAATGCCTTACTATGGTAACAAGTTTAAAATATGTTAGACTATAATATTTTCCTTATAAGAATAAGTGTTATAATGTTTCTCTGGTGCTTTAATTTCAAGCAACGTCCTGATGTATATTTTTTGACGCAATTTGCATTGACTGCACTTTTAATCTTGACTGGGGCTTATGGTATACGCAAATACGGGCTATATTCATTATTTATATGCAAATTACGGGACTCCCGTAATATGTGTACCAGATTAAGCCATAATTTTATTCCGATTTCCTTATTTTAGCTCTATTACGAGTTTGGGGATTCTTTGTGTTAGCCAAATGAATATACTCCCTGCCTATAAGCTTCGATCCTTTAATTTGATGTAAAGTAGGCGAACAAAATTAGTTACCTCCATATTGGTACACATACTTTTGGAGCGCTCAAACTACGTCAAAATAAAATTTATCTACCAGGCTCTTCCCCACGATGGCCACGTAACGATATTTGCCGCACTACTTCACGCAAGAGAAGCAGGACGAAAAATAAAACTACGTCATTTCAGGTAACATCTTTGTGGAAAGATTGAAGATTTTTTATTTTCTCTGCAGCAGACGAAAGTTATTGTACCTTATTGCATGTGGGCTACATCTGTTATAACATTTTCAGACTTAAACAATAAGCGGGCTAGGATGGAATATTGACAATGTTTATTTTTTTATATTGTAGAGGTGTATCTCCACTCCACAGAAAATAACTGACTTCCCTAGACATATTCGTAATGTATAACGATTTATCCACAATCGTAACCTGCTATTTCCTTTATGACAGGGACGGAGAAGAGCTCACTCCAGTTGCTGAAGATAATAGCTTTCTATCTCTTCACCAAGAAACTCAGTTTCTGGGACAGAAGATTGAACTGCACAAAAGAGATAATATGATCGTTGAATGTACCTATGACACATATGATCGCAACGATATAACTTATGTAAGTTGATGCAATTCTGAAGTGGTCACGTGAAATTGTAACTTGTCGCGTTTGAAGATTGATCTTCTGCAAATGAGTCTGCATTTGCATTCTTCAAGATTCGATTGGTCATGATTGAAAACGTTTTATTTTATGTGTTTAGGTCAACAATTCCAAAGGTGGAGAATCATGTCTTGCATTTTTAAGTTATTTTCCAAGAACAACTAAGCTGACTGAATGCGAGACTGCGCCGACAGAAAATGGTTGGTACACATTACACAACAACTTCATGATCTTCTCATTAACATGAGTTCTTAACTGTTACATTTGCTCAATTGTCCTATTTTATTCATTGATTTCTCTATGAGTACAACCATGGGGTTTTGTAACACAAAGTGACTCTGAAATGAAGCTACTCAATAACGAATATCAAAGCAAGGCATACACAGAAAAAAACTAAATCGATGATCACCCACTATCCTATTTTGCGACCAACACAGCGACCCAGTTAATTCTATTGTTGCCAGTTTTATAGCATTTCTGTTGATAGGTCAGAGAGAATGCCATATTCAACTGTAGCTCTAACGGACGCAATGGATTATATAACATTTATCACTGAAATGATATGTTATCTTAAGAATATGCGAAGTGTTTTCAAGAAGTGATTTTTCGGGAAATAGCAAAATTATACTCCAAGTCTGGAACTTTGGCATTGCATGAAGAAGTTTTCTGAATGAAAAGCCAAAAAGCACCATATGAAAGAAAGAGATCAACGCTTTGTGATATTAATATAAATTGGACATTAACTTGCCGAATTCGAGATTTCTCTGACTATTATTCACTATTGGTGTTTTGTCATTACAGTAATCATGTCAACAGTTGGTGCAGCAAGACCTGAAGAAATGGGAAAGATTGCTGAAAGGGTAAATTTTTGTTCAAATTCTTCACGTAATTTACTTATTTAAAAAAAATTACATGGTAAATATATTTTTTTAAATTTGCAGTTTGAGTGGACGAGCCAGCAAACTCGCGAATATAATAACCGATTGCTACAAAGTAAAGTTTACGTTCATTGTGGAGGTTCACTGGTGAGTAATTACTACGGTATGAATACTAATGTAAGTTTCCTAAGCTTTATAAAATATCAAATATTTTCTTATCGCAGCTACAAGGACCTCGTCCCATTCCGGCTATTAAAAAAGTTTTTGTAGAAGAACATAAATGCAGAAGTGATAAATTATTAGACACTACTACAACAGTGGCTTCTAATCAAACTACTACCGATAGTGGAGCAGGCGCCAATTTACCTTTGGGAAATTTCATAATTTGTGTTCTCAGCTTTTCAGTTTTATTGTCATACTTACTTTGTTCGTGATATTCTATTATGACTCCTTTGTTAAAACACTTTTCATTGCCTTTATCGCAAAAGCTTGGGTTGAAGTCTACCCCAAATACCTCAGTCAAGTTGGTAAATAGCAGCAAGTTTGTTTTAAACTGACGACGACTCATGTGTTGAACTTGAAATCCCAGCGAGACGGCTATGGACGAGTTGGCCCATTTATATTTGCCGATAAGTTACAAATATAATTTTTTGAAATGGGCAGGTATGGCTATTTCTGTGTTCAGGCACGTAAATGTTCTTGTTTACACTATTGTAATATATCATGCGAAGCTCGCACGGCGCACCACATAATGAATATGATATTTTTTGTTATCATTGAAACCACAGTCTGACTTTAATGATTTCAGCTACAACTCGCTCCCTTTGAATCAGTGATGTAATTTGTCAACCAGATCCTCATCGTTAATAATAAAATGCTGTGAAACCATGTCGTTTTTCAGTTTTTTTTTCAAGGTGCACTTTATATATATACAAAAATATGGAATAGGTGATATACTGCAGCTTTTCGTTTTACAATTTTTTTGCAACCGATTATTTGGTTGTTGATAAGATGACATATTTTGTTTGTTCAATCTATTTCAATTTGCTATTTTCTTGTTTTTAAATTTAAGTTATTGCCAAATACACTTGCTTATAACTATAATTTATTAGGTTAGGCAGTGAAAAATCTACTCATGACGTAATATTGCATTCACTCGTTCCTTATGACGTCATAATAAATTCCCACGTTTATGTGAAACAAGAAATCACATAACGTCACAATTTTTGAATTTCTCCTGAACGAAATCCTACGTACGCCACTGGGCATGATGAATTTCGAAATCATAGAAATATTGAATTCATATGTATCGTATGTTACTTTAATGCATTTTTTCATTTTAATGAAGGAAAATAAGAACTAGAGATTCTTTCATGTTTTCTTCCTGAATAACTGTCAACATTTTGCATTTTTATACATTTTGCGCATTGTCTTGTCAAATATACTATTTTCGAACAGAGATTGTAGTATTTATTTCGCTTTTAGTCTGAACAGAGCATATCCAAAATTCTATGAAACATAGGCTACATAATGTTAGACCTGTAGCCTCCATCGTTATTCATTGCTCTCTTGTTCAAATAATAACGGCAGAAACGCAGAATAAAAATGAGAAATAAATCATACACGAGTCTCTTTCGCACTCCCAATTTTTATTATTAGAAGTCGCTTCGAACACGGTTGTATGCAGCCCCGAAATCGCAAAAAGACACAAGTCACAGCCACACGCAACCTCTAAACTAAAGTCTTCATACTTTGGTTTCCCGCAATGCTTATTGTGTTTGGTGGGCACTAATTACTGTCCTAAGTGATTCAAGAGTCTTGCTGCACACTAACACAAATATATTTCTGTAACGTTTCGTCTGACCTAGGTCAGACTTCTTCAGACATACATAATTCAACTACATACAACTACAACATAATTCAACTTGTAGTTGAATTATGTATGTCTGAAGAAGTCTGACCTAGGTCAGACGAAACGTTACAGAAATATATTTGTGTTAGTGTGCAGCGAGACTCTTGAATCACTTAGGATTGTTATCTCTACTCTTGCTACAGCATCCTTGCAATATATGCATACGGATCCACCGGCACAAAAGCATAGAAGAAGGATAAGTAGTTAGTCTCGCAGAAACCAAATAATCAGCACTAATTACTGTATTTACCTTTTCTCGCTGTCGCAATAGCAGCAGTGAGCATAGCTCTTACCCTGCTGACTTTGTTTGATATTGGCAAATTCCTTTTCATATTCGAAAGGGAACTCATGGTTACGCCTACTTAATGTCTAAATTGTGGTTTGTCCTTAAAAACAGTATCCCTGAAAACTAAAAGCAACTATTGTAACTGTGTCACAGTTTGCCTGGAAATACCGCAAACCCTGTGGCGTAGCAAGACTCTCACTCAAAAAAAAAAATAAATGTAGAAATGTAACGATACCACTTTTGTCGCCGATACCGATCCGATTATAGCTAAAAACGCCGATCCCGATACACCGATACTACAATAAGGCCGATATTACCGATACTATGTAATTATTACTTAATTAGTTGTGCTGTGTAAGGCAGGCCGGTTAAAACAATGGTTTTTGAGCGTTGTTCATAGTACACATTATTTCAGATCGAAAAAAGATATATATATCACATAATATGAAATTAATGTTTGGTATACATATGCTTTAACTGATTAAGATACATTGTACAGTAACGCTAGTAATCTCTAGATCGGTGTTCAATTAGAAAACTTATAAGCCGGGATGTCCAATTTGAATTTAATGTTAATATCGCGACCTTCGAATATCGTTATTCGTGTTTAAAAGAATATCGAATATCACCCAGACATCCTAGCGCCGCTGTCCTACGTTCAAATTAAAAGCATTTTACAAATATTATATTTCGTGGCTAATTGAAATGGTCGACGCGATAAGTCAAAGCCAACATGAAAGAATATCAATCAGCACCGACCAAAAGAAGGCCTACCTATAACCGTCGGGGATGTTTTTTTACTTTACCATTTTATATTATTATACAATTGCCATCATATATATTGAGACAGTCTAGGGCTAAGCGGTCATGTCAATATATATATAAAGATATTGTGTAGTTAAACAAAATTAAAACCTGCGTAGAGGGATAATTGTGTCGGAATTTAGTTTATCGATGTTGACGGACTAAATGACACTCGTACTTGACGACAAACAGTCAGAATTTATACCCGTGCCAAAAGTCCATGTGCCGTTAATAAGGACCCCAATTCCACTGTATGATTTAAAACTGGGCGCCTAGTTGCTTTTTGTTATGTGCTGTGTTGATATATTTTTTCATAATTACTATGTAAAATTATAAATGTCAATATAAAAAGTTGACAGCGAAAATAGCCAAATTAGTTGTGTTAGCGAGAATCATACCGTGTTTCTAATTTGATGACGTTTTACGTTGTTACGCAGACGTTGCAAACGACGCAGCATTATTGCGACATAGTCCTGTTTCTCGATTAATCCCGGGAATTCTAAATTATCGCCACGCTGCTTCGATGAGTTGGCACCGTCTGTCCTTGTATACAGTGTAATCTATTGCGCTAGGAGTTGTTTATCGTGTTTAATATTGGGTTTACTATTCGCGGTTAGGATAAACGATTCGAATTGAAGTTATTAATTGGGTTTAAAATCAACGGTTCATACTGGAGTTGTAATATAATGTAGGGATACAGGCTAGGGTTGTAATATAGTCCAAATAGAATGATAAATGCTGTTTCTTGTATTTAGTCACATAAGTTAAGTTGTATTTACTTTGGATTATAAATTGTTGAATTGAGTCGCCTGGAGATCCTAAACATTCGGTATGTAAATATTGTTTTATCTTGTATGATTTATTCTGTATTTTAGTATTGTGAATACTATTTCATCCTATGTGATTTAATCTGTACATAATTGTGACATATTCTGATATTGTTATCTGCTAATTGATGTGAATTGTTATTGCTTGTAAAAATGGTAATACTGTTATATTTGATTAATTGTGCCATATAAGCTATTTAGTTTTATCTATTATTTTGGCAGAAAACCGTTCCTTTAACAACGTTACGTTACGTTCCATTAACAACGTTTCTTTACGTTCCTCATACCCGGTATCAAGATTTACGTTTACGTTCCATTAACAACGTTCCGTTTCCGGTACCCGGCAAGTTCTATTTTCCTGATCCATGTTCGAGATTTGATTTGAAGTGTCTGTTGATTGTTATTAAAGATATTCACCGATTTCAAGTTGAATTATATTGGGACAGCATTTGAAAGGCACAGAAGAATCTGGCGGCACTTTAACCGCTGTTTACAGACTTTAATTGCTTGAAAGCACGGACTAGTTGTAACAATTAACCGATATAGGTTTGGGGTCAGGACTGGGGTATTGGGACGCGTTTTTGAAGTCTCCAATCTCTTAATGTGCGTGAGAAGTAACCAGGCTACATAGAATCGAGCGCAACATTAAAGTTTTCGAATGCAGGAAAACTGAAGTTTTCTATTTCGAAATCAAACCAGAGTATTGTAAGCAGAAATTGAAAGATATCAAACTTTTCAATTGATCCTAGATTGAGTGAAGAAAGTCACTTAAAAGTCGAAATGGCTGCAAAACCAGTTTCACAAGAAGAACTGGAACGTTTATTGGCTGATCTGAATGGTCAGTATAGATCAGCAGAAGAATTGATGTTGAATCCAAGAAATAAGGAGATTCTACAATCACAAGTGAAAGAAATAGATGCAATGTTTGTGGAGTATTCTAAAGCTTATGAAATACATGTTGCAGAACTGCCAGTAAATGAAGAGGCTCAAAGAGTAGCTAAAGAATCTTTCCAGAGAGAAAGTTATGGATATGAAGAGTTCAAAGCACATGTTAAAGAGTGGCTTTCCAGACAAGAAAGCACACAAATCGTTGAGAATCCTCCATCAAAACCACAATCTATAGCTAGTATAAAATCATCTAATAAATCAAGACCTCGATCTGCAAGGACAGGATCGAGTTACAAAAGTACAAGTTCCAGTTACAAGAGAACTGAGGCAATAGCTGTCAGAGAACTTGCAAAATTGAAAATGAAGCAACTGTCAGAGTTGGAACAGGCTGAACGAAATACTCAAGAAATAAAATCAGCATCAGAGAGAGAAATAAGGCGATTACAAGCTATACACAAATATCAAGCCGCATGTGTAGAGGCTGAAGTGTGGGAAAGAAGCTCTAATCGCAATGAAAGGGTCCAGTTTCAAGAAATGGATTCTGGACCACCGATAGCACAATTGGTAGAATGTGAAGCAGCACAGGCTGAAGTAAACACACATCAAGTGGGTCAAACCAATTGTATTGTGCCTCCTAGAGAGCCACAAGTTAGATTATCCCTGGATCCGGTCCAGGAAGTGGTTGCGGAAGTGATGAATCCCGTTAATCAAGAATTTCGAACTAGACAAGGTGGAACGAGACAAGCCAATTTGGCGAGTCCTGTAAAAGTACCTAATATGCCATCACAAGATGTTGGCTCAATTCTTGCTACTATGACATCTACAATGCGTGACATGGTAGATTTACCGTATTTTCTCGAAATTACGCCTATCTCGCGAATAAGCCGACTCCCTAATACCAGCTTCAAAATAGTGAATTTATAAAAATTCGCATATACGCCGTTTCTACAAATCGTAATGGAAGACAGCACTTTGCGGATTACTGTCAACATAAAAGGAATTAAATCAGCGCCGACTTGAAGTACCGAATGTATGACATGAGAACATTTTTGATTGAAAATATTTTACAATCCTTATTTTATATTTATATTATATGGGCTGATATATTTTATAATGTATGCCAAAGTGTCTGCCGATTATTTAATTGACTTTGTATACCAGCTGTTATTTGTGTTAATCCTTTAAAAACAAAAACGTGGGAAGCACTTCCTGCCCGATATCGGCACTTCAGAAAGAAAACGCTACCACGAGATAACGTAATTGATTTATGACCCTTCCGTTTTGCTGATTCAGGAAAAAAACGGAAAACACAGCTGTTGCCTAACCCATGGACGTACAGCAATATTTATCACACCATATTCATATGTTATTTCAACTTTTCAGTTAAATGGTTGTTCAAAATAATTGAAATTACAGTTTTATTGTTAAGAATTAATGCTGTGACTGTGAGTATTATTCTACCTGATTCTTACTTGTAAATTTATGTTAATAACGTCTATATTGCTTTTCAATGCGCGGTGATTTGTATTAATGAAGGGATAAAACAGAAGGGATCAGCATAAAACAATTTCTTTTAAATCGAATGTTGTATTAACACATTCTTATAAATCGCTGATTCGGAAGTTGCTATTAAAAGGATATTCAAACGTCGTAGAATGAATGTCGTTTTGTGACATATTTACAAGCTCCATTATTTCGATGTTGCTCCGTAATGCGATTTGAATAATTTTATTTATCATTTAATTTTAAATATTGTGTCATCACCTCAACAGCATAAGCGATGTCATGCATATGTAACGGTAAATATTTCAATCATAACGGAGATAAGAGTCTTCATCAGCGCAGCTGAAAAGGATAACATATCGTAAAGGTGATCAAAATGAGGGCGCCGTTGCTTGCGTTGTACCGCGATAGTGCACCAAATGATAACGTTTCACCACGAAACGCTGGCCGTAAATCGACGCCAATCAGACTGTACAAGCGTCACGTGTTTAACAACCAATCACAGACTGTACAAGCCATCAGCTGTATGATGAGACAATCACACCGGCACAAGCGATTGTGTGTGTGCGTTCTTTATCGTGAGAACTTAGTGCGGTTTGAAGCTTTTGGAATTACCGGCAAGTTAGCTAAATGTCAATCTCGTTGCGTGATCAAAGTCATGCGCGAATGAGTCGATTTTTTTATGCAATCTGAGTTACGCGAGTATAAGCCACCCCCTTAGTTTGGCAACTTTTTTTTTGTGTTTTAAACTCGGCGTATGTGCGAAAATATACGGTACCTAAACCAGAATTACTTTCGTTTCATGGTTCTCATGAAGAATATACAAGATTCATGAATAGTTTCAAGATAAATATTGAGAACAAGATTTCAGATGACAATCTAAGACTTACTTACTTGCAACAATTTTGCAAAGGCAAAGCAAGAGAATTGATTCGTCAATGTTCTGTATATCCTCCTACAGAAGGATTGACTTTAGCAAAGAGACTTCTAAGAGAAGCTTACGGACGACCATTGTTGATTGCCAGAACTTATATGGAAGAGTTGGTACATGGTCCAATGTTGAAACCAGATGATCGAGATAGTCTTCTGGATCTTTCTCATAAAATGGAAGAATGTTACCTAACGCTGTCGCATTGGAAGCAATATTCAGATCTAAATAATTTTGACAATATTGCTCAACTTTCATGTAGATTACCCCTGAAGTACCATAATAAATGGGAAGAAGAGGCAGCAGATTATGAGAATAGAAACATTGAACTAAAATTTGAACATCTTTTAAAGTTTGTCAAGAAAGCAGCAATTACGGCACAATCATCGATGGGCAAAGCTATGAGAGCTCATAAGGAGAGGGAAAAGGCTAAACACCCTCAAAAGAAGAGAATTTATGCAAATTCCACTTCAACAAGTGGTGATGGCAAGCCTGAACAATCTACCGAGAGAAAAGGTACATTTGTGAGAAATAGATACAGATGTGTTATCTGTTCAAAAGATCATTTTCTTATTCATTGTCCAGAGTTTGAAAGAAAATCTGCAAGTGAACGCGAGGCTACAATTCGTGAATTTCATATTTGCAGAAACTGTTTATACATTGGTCATATGGCACGGCAATGTCGTAAGAATCCTGCATGTACTGAGAGAGGATGTGGTGGCAGACATCATAGAATGCTTCATCGAAATGTTGCAGATACTAAGCGAAAAGAGCAAAGTACAAGTTCCGCTACTCAAACTGCTACATCGGGATCGACCTTAACGAACTATACCAGAAATTCAGCTGGAGTATACTTGAATATAGTTTCCAGTGAAAGTATCCTCACCTCAAGGTAGAGAAATTGAAGTATACTGTTTCCTAGACGAGGGAAGCACCTCTTGTCTATGTGATAAAAGATTGATGGAACTTTTAGAGATGGATGGTGAACCAATGAGTTATTCCATTACTACTGTAAACACACCGAATCCACAGAAACAAGATGGATTCGCTCTTGACTTAACTGTTAAAACACTGAAAGGGGAAGGTTGTGTGACATTACATCGTGTGCTCACTGTGGATGAAATTCCGACAGTACCGAATAAATTACCTAAAAGGATTGAATTACAAAGGCATGAATATCTCGAGGGTATTGAATTTCCAAAATTACCAGATGAAAGAGTGATGCTCATGATTGGCGTGAATGTACCTGAAGTATTCTGGGTAAAAGATGAAAGGCGGGGTACTACAAATGAACCAGTTGCAAAAAGAAGTATTCTTGGTTGGTCACTGGTTGGGCCTGCCTTTAATAAAGCTTCTGGGAATGAAAGTTTTCATGTACATGTTAATCATGTTGAAGTGAAAAGTGAAGATCTTCAACAACAAATTCGAGAGATGTGGGAAACGGATTTCAAAGATATATCATTGACTCCCACACCAACATTGTCAAGAGAAGATAAGTATGCATTACAACTGATGGAAGATAATATAAAGATGGTGGATGGACATTACCAATCTCCGTTACCATGGAAACCAGGATGTCCTGAATTTCCTAATAATCGTGATGCAGTTATGAGAAGAACCAACAATTTGGGAAAACGCTTGTTGAAGAATGAAGTTTTAAGGGACAAATATGCAGTACCATGGCTGAATTTATAAAGAAAGGATGGGCAAGGAAATTCCTGCTGCTGAATTTGAAGCACCCATTGGTAAAGCGTGGTATCTTCCTCATCAACCCGTTACATCAGAACAGAAACCTGGTAAAGTACGCCTGGTATTTGATGCAGGTGCAAGATATTTGAACACATCACTGAATGATCAATTACTGCAAGGTCCAGATATGGCAAATGGATTGTTATCTGTTTTGCTAATTTTTCAGAATGTACAAATATGGTATAACTGCAGATATAGAAGCTATGTTCTTACAAGCTCGTGTAACGCCTGGGGATGTTGATGCATTGAGATTCCTATTTTGGCCTGATGGAGATTTGACAAAAACTCCTGTCGATCATCAGATGTTAGTGCATTGTTTTGGAAATACATCAAGTCCATTTTGTGCAAATTACTGTTTAAGGAGAACTGCAGAGGATTTTGGAAAGGACTTCCCATCGGATATAAGTGACAATATCAAAGATAATTCATATATAGATGACTTCCTACTTGGAGCAGATAGTATATCTGAAGGGAAGAGAATTGTCAAGCAAACCTCAGAACTTACTGAATGTGGAGGTTTTCATTTAAACAAATGGAGGAGTAATTCAGAAGAAATTATTTCTTGTGTTCCAGAAAAGGATAGAGCACAAATTCAAGCAAACGTAAATTTAGACCCAAATCGTGTTGAACGAGTTTTGGGAGTTGTGTGGTTCGTGATAGAAGATTGCTTTGGATTTAATACAAAGCTGAAGACAAAACCTGCTACGAAAAGAGGAGTTCTAGCAATTCTTAGTTCCGTATTTGATCCCATGGGTATTGTATCACCTGTGATATTGCAAGCAAGACTTATATTCCAAGAGTTATGTCGTCAACAATTGGGATGGGATGAAACTATCGGAGAAAATGAACAAATAGCATGGGAAAGCTGGACTAAAGCAATTCCAGAATTATCAGAAGTCAAATTACCAAGATACATTAAACCGAATTCATTTGGGGTAATTGTTTCACAAGAATTACATCATTTTGGCGATGCATCACAAGTTGCCTATGGATCAGCTTCATATTTGAGGTTATCAGATGAAAACGGTCGAATACACTGTTCATTTTTACTTGGAAAATCAAGATTGTGTCCTATCAAGACAATATGTTCACTTCCACGGCTGGAAATTACAGCTGCTGCGCTTTGTGTGCGAGTGGATATGTTTTTAAGACGTCAATTAAAATTTGAGAAGAATGTTAAGTCTATATTCTGGAGTGATAGCACAGCTACTATCCAATCAATTTACAATTCGTCGAAAAGATTTCCTACTTTCATATCTAACCGATTAGCAAAAATTGAAGAAGGTTCAGAGCCACATCAATGGCGTTATGTTCCAAGTGAATTGAACCCAGCGGATTATGCATCCCGTGGAATGACAGCAAAGAAATTGATTGCAAAGAAATCATGGTTACAAGGACCAGAATTTCTCTACCAGAATGAAGAGAACTGGCCACAAATGCCAGTTAAATTACCAGATTTACCATTGGAATTTATTCTGAAGAAGCCAGTTAACGTTCTAGTGAATCTAGTGACAGAGAATGAACCATTGGACAAGTTCATCAACTATTATTCTTCATGGTATAAGTTGAAGAAAGCTACAGCATGGATTATCAGATTCAAAATTTATTTACAAGCTAAACCAACTGTTCAAAAGGGTGAATTGCAAACAGAAGAGTTGAGAAGATCCGAAAATGAGCTGATAAAGTATTTACAAAATAGTGAGTTGAATAACGTTATTGCAAAGTTACAAAATTCTGATGTACAAGGGAAAAGTGTGCTTAGAAATTTGAAAATTGCAACTTCAATGCAAAAGTTGAATCCTGTTTTAATTAATGGAATATTGAGAGTGGGTGGAAGATTGCAAAACGCACCCATAGAATTTGATTTGAAACATCCAATAATACTGCCAAGTAACCATCATATCACACAGTTGATTGTCAGAGAATACCATAAAAGTTCACATCATTGTGGAGCAAGTCATACATGGAATTTGCTGAGACAGAAGTTCTGGATTATCAATGGAGCTGTTGTTGTAAAGCGAAATATTCGTAATTGCATATTTTGCAAAAAGAGAAATGCTTCGATGGGTAAGCAATTTATGGCTGACCTACCTAAAGAGCGTGTGACACCAGATCAACCACCATTCACATGTGTTGGAGTTGACAACTTCGGACCGTTGTTGGTGAAGCAAGGAAGAAGTTCTGTGAAGAGATGGGGCTTGATAATAACCTGTGCAACAACTAGAGCAGTGCATTTGGAAATTGTGCATAGTATGGATGTCAATTCATTTATTAATGGATTAAGAAGATTCATTGCCAGAAGAGGCAAGATGTCAACCATTATATGTGATAATGGGAGCAATTTTACAGCTGGAAATAAAGTGTTGAAGAAAGAAATTCAAATTTGGAATTCCAGCAAAATGGGAGAATTTTGCAGACAAAGTGATATCATATTCAAGTTCAATCCTCCCACAGCTTCACACTTTGGAGGTTTCTATGAAAGACTCATCAGATCAGCAAGAAAGATATTGACTGCATTATTGCATGATCAATTGGTTACTGATGAAGCGTTGTCTACTATATTTTGTGAAGTTGAAAGTCAATTGAATTCAAGACCACTTACACCTATTAGTATGGATCCTTTCGATGAAGAACCACTTTCACCAAATCATTTATTGTTGCTGAAGCATAAAGCAAATTTACCACCAGGAATATTTGACAAGAAAGATTGTTATGCAAGAAGAAGATGGCGTCAAATACAATATTTGGCTGACCAATTCTGGATAAGATGGTCCAGAGAAGTACTTGTCAATCTACAAGCTCGACATAAATGGTTGAAGAAGGAAGACAATTTCAAAGTCAATGATCTTGTGTTACTGGTTGACAACACAATACCAAGAGGGAAGTGGTTGACTGGCAGAATTATGGAAGTTATACCAGACAAATTTGGAGCTGTCAGACAAGTGACTGTCAAAACTTCTCATGGGTTTTTAAGAAGACCAATAGCAAAACTTTGTATGATTCAGAGAGCTGATGAGTAATTCATTGTTAGTTGTATTACTTATTGGTGATGATTCTCACTTTTTCTTTTTGAATTGTAAGATGTATTCTCTTCGTTCCTACATCTGGGGCGGGGAATGTTAGCGAGAATCATAACGTGTTTCTAATTTGATGACGTTTTACGTTGTTACGCAGACGTTGCAAACGTGTCGACGCAGCATTATTGCGACATAGTCCTGTTTCTCGATTAATCCCGGGAATTCTAAATTATCGCCACGCTGCTTCGATGAGTTGGCACCGTCTGTCCTTGTATACAGTGTAATCTATTGCGCTAGGAGTTGTTTATCGTGTTTAATATTGGGTTTACTATTCGCGGTTAGGATAAACGATTCGAATTGAAGTTATTAATTGGGTTTAAAATCAACGGTTCATACTGGAGTTGTAATATAACGTAGGGATACAGGCTAAGGTTGTAATATAGTCCAAATAGAATGATAAATGCTGTTTCTTGTATTTAGTCACATAAGTTAAGTTGTATTTACTTTGGATTATAAATTGTTGAATTGAGTCGCCTGGAGATCCTAAACATTCGGTATGTAAATATTGTTTTATCTTGTATGATTTATTCTGTATTTTAGTATTGTGAATACTATTTCATCCTATGTGATTTAATCTGTACATAATTGTGACATATTGTTATCTGCTAATTGATGTGAATTGTTATTGCTTGTAAAAATGGTAATACTGTTATATTTGATTAATTGTGCCATATAAGCTATTTAGTTTTATCTATTATTTTGGCAGAAAACCGTTCCTTTAACAACGTTACGTTACGTTCCATTAACAACGTTTCTTTACGTTCCTCATACCCGGTATCAAGATTTACGTTACGTTCCATTAACAACGTTCCGTTTCCGGTACCCGGCAAGTTCTATTTTCCTGATCCATGTTCGAGATTTGATTTGAAGTGTCTGTTGATTGTTATTAAAGATATTCACCGATTTCAAGTTGAATTATATTGGGACAGCATTTGAAAGGCACAGAAGAATCTGGAGGCACTTTAACCGCTGTTTACAGACTTTAATTGCTTGAAAGCACGGACTAGTTGTAACAATTAACCGATATAGGTTTGGGGTCAGGACTGGGGTATTGGGACGCGTTTTTGAAGTCTCCAATCTCTTAATGTGCGTGAGAAGTAACCAGGCTACATAGAATCGAGCGCAACAAGTTGGGCTAGTTTGGCTGATAAATAGCTAAAAACGCGTGCATCCTATTCTCTCGCAGGGGTGGGGACATGTATGGCTCATAGTTCACGATCTCTCCAGACAAAAAATAAATTCAAAAGTAGTATTTCAACTTATCTTTTGAAACATTCTGGATCATATCAAAAAGATAAATATATCGGAAATATCGGCCTTAATCTAACCGATACCGATACTTGGCCGATACCGAAAAAATGGACGATATTGCCGTTACCCGAAACCGATACATCGGTACATCTCTAGATCAAACCACATGACGCCGAAAATCGACAACTCCAGCATTATTACGTAACAACACGATTTGAGCAGAACTAAATTCAACATTATAATTAGATGTGCATTACTGGTTTTGCAATGCAGCTTTTGGTTTTGTGGCTTAAATTTCTAAATTCTAACCGCTTGGGGCCCTTTTGCGCTGTGCCCCCCCCCCGCGACCGCGGGGGTGGATGCTACGCCACTGCGCAAACCCCCCGTTAACAGAAACAGTTGTGCGGAGAGTCAGCGAATCCGAGATACGGGGTCACGGTGGAACGTAGCTCACAATAATACCAATTGATACCTCACAATAATACCACAGCGAAGAATGATAAACATCGTTCCTCGTTTCCACGTAAGCTTTGAACGCAAAATAAGAACGAGTCATTCATGTTTCTATGACAAAATAGTCACGCAACTGAAAAATAGGCACTTTTCTTAGAAATAAGCACATCGTTACTTTATAAGACGCGGGCTAGAGAATAAGCACAAATCTTAGAAAAAGCACGATATGATAACCCTGCCTATATTGAAGCTTTAGCTCGGATCGTTGGCAGACCGTAGAATGAAAATTAACTCTACCATCTTGTTTGAACAGGTTGAAGGCTAAATATCTCAGTTATTCAGATAAAAAAGTGATTACCTTCTCGAATATTTTGTAACCCCACTAATTACAATCCCGAAAAAGACAAAGTTCTCAATAATACACTCCGAATTGGTAGAAATCGAACTGGAAGAATGCAAAACAGAGATCGGCACCAACAAAACCATGGAAATAAATAAAAAAAGTGATACAATTGCAATTTAGTAACACATCAATTCGACCGAGCTTTCGCCCGACGTTCGCTGATTTAATTGACAGTAAACGATAGCTCTGCCCTATAACCATGCAGGGTTGTGGTGTCTAACATGTTGTCACTAGCAGTGGCGTGCCTAGAGGGGGCGAAGGGGGCAACCGCCCCGGGCAGCACATTGTAGGGGGGCAGCAGAACCAAGCTGTAGAGTTGCTCTTCTAGATGTGTACTTATTCAATTAAAAGCTAACATTATGTGTTCTGTGGTGATGGTTATTCAACAAGAGTCGTTTCCCCGACCCTTGACCTCAGAAAAAAATTTCCTATATTTTACAATTGCAACATTTTTGATGCCTAGTCTAATAAATCAAACGTTTCTTTCTATAATCTGTTCATCACCCAAAATATTTTAAAAGTTATAGGTATAGGGGCAGCATTATCAGAAACTATCCCCGGGCAGCAGACTAGTTTGGCACGCCCCTGGTCACTAGAGTCGGAGTCGAAATGCTGAATTCGTCGGAGTGGGAATTGAAGACTTTCAATGACGATAAAACAAGTCAAAAGTTTTTACAGAAACTCTAGAAGAATTAAGTTTTCTATGCGTCTACAGATTTCTATGCAATTACAGATTGTAACAGCCGTTCTTTGTGACCTGGACGACACCGACTGCACACTAGATATTTATTAACAGTTCAATAACGCGGTCTTTCAAGCCCCAAGTTTGTATCCTCAATCCAGAAAATCACACAACTCGAAGTATACACTTGACACGGTTATCTCAATACAAACGTAAAAACAAATCAATACAAAATACTTGCAATAAATAAATAATCGTACACAATTCGGCCTTTAGAAAGCCTACCCAAATTTATGAACACAATTATCAAACATAGTTAATTAACAAGTCGAACCAAATTACTATTAAATAACTTTCAGCCTTCAAATCAGAAAGAGTTACAAATTATAACATACCGAATTTGTCTGCTATTACAGGCTTAAATTATCATAAGTTGAACATTAAATCATTCGTCAATGAAATCCGAACAAATCAATTAAATAAACTATAACTGTAAAAACAATCACAAAGGCAATCTAATGCTCATATAAACATCCCTAAACAAGGCCTATGTGGAACAGCCATATTCTACAATATTTTATCGTCCTACTGTCAAAACAGAAAGTCAAGGTCGCTGAACAATTTCAACTTATTTACAAATTACAACGAAACGAGCACAACTCTCTGCAAAAGTAAAGCGCTATCTAAAACAAATTCCCGTAACTATCCATGTCTAAGCGAGACATGTCTGGGCAAGCAATTGCCACGAAGACTATCACAATTGTTTCGTAACAAAGTGTGTAGGAGCAATCACGGGAAATTACGGCGTCAACAATAGCAAATAAATTACTACACAAGTTAAACTGAGTTAAACGGACGCAATATTTGAGTCAATACAAAAATCAAGTGAATGCGATCCTCGATGTAACAAGATGACTTTCATATTTCAAAGATTATTTCATTAAAATATTATTTTCTCGAAGTTCGGAGCCAAAATATTTTGAAATGCAGTCGGCAGTTGAAAAAGTATTTTTCCAGATTACCTGGTTCTGCCTACAACTTACTGATATTAGTATTTTAAAGCACGAAAAATGCAATATATCAATATTGATTATACGTTGATTGTTCGTAGTATATATATCACTTGCAAGTTGCAACATTGTTCTTCCGCAAAGTAGACATCCGTAGATTGTGGACTGATTATTAACCCGCGAGCACCTTCTCCTTTCACTCGAAGCGTGAGACTCGTCAATTACTTTTTAAGTTTGGATTCAAAGACCAGGTCATCAAACTCTGTTCTTATTCCAGTAATATTTCCAAATAATCTTGATTTAATAACATTGGCCGTCCATGTTGTACCTTGAGACCTACAAGTGATGCAGAAAACAATGTAACAAAATATGAAAGGCTGGATTATACTTCAATGTGAAACCATAATCAATGAGGGCATATAGATATATAACTATACTTCGAAATATTTCCACGTTTAATATCACGCTTTCTTTGATATCCATTTGATCACGATCTATTTAAAAGATTGTTTTGAAAAACATACTAGACTTACTATTGAACTGTAGCTCTAACGGACGCAATGGAATATATAACATTTATCACTGAAATGATATATTATCGTAAAAATATGCGAAGTGTTTTCAAGGAGCGATTATTTTTCAGGAAATGGCAAAATTTTACTCCAAGTTTCGAGCTTTGGCATTGCATGAAGAAGTTTTCTAAATGAAAAGCCAGAAAGCACCATATAAAAGAAAGATATCAATGCTTTATGATATTAATATAAATTGGACATTAACTTGCCAAATTCGAGTATTCTCTGACTATTATTCACTATTGGTGTTTTGCCATTACAGTAATCATGTCAACAGTTGGGCAGCAAGACCTGAAGAAATGGGAAAGATTGCTGAAAGGGTAAATTTTTGTTCAAATTCTCCATGTAATTTACTTACTTTAAAAATTCATCGTGAATATATTTTTAAAATTTGCAGTTTAAGTGGACGAGTCAGCAAACTCGCGAATATAATAACCGATTGCTACAAAGTAAGGTTTACGTTCATTGTGTAGGTTCACTGATGAGTAATTACTACAGTATGAATACTAATGTAAGTTTTCCAAGCTTCAGAAAAAACAGAATATTTTCTTATCGCAGCTAGGAAATTTCGTAATTTGTATTCTCAGCTTTTCAGTTTTATTGTCATACTTATTTTGTTCGTGATATTCTATCATGACTCTTTTGTTAAAGCGCTTTTAGTTTTGTTAAAGCGCCTCTTAGCGTTTGAAAAGATTGTTTTGAAAAACAGACTAGACTTATTATTGAACATTTAGTGAGAAATTTACTACAAGATTAAAGTCAAATAAAAAAGTAAATGCAAGTTTTACAATTAAAATGTATTTCATTTATAAAATAGCGTTTTATGTAGATATTTATATTGAAACCTTTTTATCTTAAAAAGTAATTTAGTATATATATTTGCGATAAGCAAGCATGACTAAAATGTGACTAAAACTAAACGATGATGAAAAACGAACCACCGTTTGCATCGCTTCCCTTGAGCATATTAATATATGCTGATTATACCTACTTCGGTAACAACACTTTTATTAGTTGGAATTATTTTATAAACATTGCTTATAATATTGAAGTCGAATTCAGACAAAAGGTTATCATGCTATTTTATACGAGCAAGCAATTAAACATAACATACTTTTCCTCATTGCGAAGAAATCAAATTTGTTGAATTATAAAATTAAAATTCTAACAGTTTGACTAAACATAAATTGATTTAAATATCGAGTTGAAAGCCGGTATGTCATCATAACTCATGGTTCCATGCTAAGTTCAATTCAAGTTCAGAGATTCGTTACGCAATTTCCACACCAGATCGATCACCATGACAATACATTAGTATTACAAGTACATGAACAAATCGCGATTGCATAGCATATTCGGTGTCAGCATTTAACAAATAATAAATAAAAATAAAATGAAATTACCCCATGAATGCGAATCCACGAGAACAAATCTCCATTTCAGTGGTTGAAATAATGTCGTCGAAATGTTTTGTTAAAAATTCACAATTGTTGTATTCAGATTTCAAAAATTGAATAAGCTCCTTGGACGAAAAGATATCAATACCCTAAAACAAAAAAATACTTTTTATTGCTTTTTAAACAAAAAATTATGGTATTAATACCCGGTTAGCAACTCCAAAATGATATATGAACAAACATCAAAAAATCGATAATCAAAATGAAGACACGACAACATACCAACAAGTTTACCACAATAGTGTCATTTTAATTAAACGAATAGTATAATTACAAAACAAATATTCCCAAAGTTACCGCTCTCTCTCCATTTTCCTTGAGCATATAAATACCTTCTTATTTTAAATGTTAAATAATGTAAACAATGTGGAGTATAATCTTAGGACTCACTCTGTTTTCGCGCAAGAGCTTAGATAACGGTTTCATCATCAGCAATGAATTTGGTGGGGCAGCATAATAAACATGAGTTATATTGAATCCTTTCTTTTCAATATCATCGAGTTTTTCTTCGATCTTTTGAAAGAAGTCTTCTATCGTAAATGATTTTGCTTGACTACAAATCTTTTTATTTATATCTCGATTGTTACAGTGGAATCTAGTTCAACAATTCAAACAGTAAATTAAAATTTTCTGTTCAATACAGTATATCACCAAGGGGGACTGAAATTTACTGTATTCCTTTGGGAATGAAATGATTATTGAGGTACCCAAAGACCCGAGGAAAATACGAGTATAAGCATAAAATAGTAAAAACACCTCTTCTTGCACATCGATTTCGATTTGAAATTGCAAACCAACAAAGCATAGCATTTAAAAAAAGACAATATAACGTTTTAAAATGACTGTTAGAAACAATTAATAGAATTAATTATTTGATAAATTATCTACAAGAGGTTTGATTGCTTATATTAGTTGAATATATTTTGTTGCTAAAATGAGACTTTATGATACTCGGGTTTCCTATATATATGTTAGGAACTTGCTCACTTGGAAAGAAAATCTCTTTCATTGTATCTCCAATGAATACTCAGAAATGGGTTTCCATTGATAACTCTGCGATGAAAATGTTCAGCAATTTGTCTTATAAATAAAGGTCTTTTATAGTGGCTCAGAATAGATTCAAATAGATCAACGCCATCAGGAAGACTTGAATTTCTAGCTGAAAAGAAATTGTAATAATTGCCTCTCAGTTAATCATGTTCATGGTATTACCATCAAAGTTTACTCCATTTTATACCAAGTTCAATTCGATTCCAATGAATAAAGCACTGATAAACACTATTTCGTTGATATCAATAATAAAAAAATACCTTCATAAAACGGTTTCGACGGTTTTGAAGAATGAAGTTTGATACGTTTGCCTCTTGCATTATAAGTACGCAGGTCGAGAATTGGATAGGGATAAACGACACATTTTGCCTGCAAAAAAGCAAACTTTATTTTAGACTATCTTTAAAGCTGTAACTGTTTTTTTGGACGAATGGCAAAAACCTACATAAGAAAAACGAGCATAATGTAGAAGTATATGTCTTTCTTATATTAAAATACCTGAAAAAATGAATAAAAAATTGAAAGTAAAAGATAATTTTTAATTAAGCATAATCGCATGTAGCCAAAGCTTTTTGCATGGTAGTATATGTATGTATTTAAATCCACTTGCACGTAAATTCAACTCGCTGTCATGTAAAAAAAGAATTGGGAACGAAAAACTCCTAACGCGCCCTTCCTAACGAAAATAAAACATTTTTATCACAGTATCATACAAAATTACTTGAGTCTTGAAATACATTTGAACTTCTCTGGCGGTGAATGTCAATTCATTCTTCTCTTCCGATGTTCCATTTGGAGGCAAAAGTAGTTCAGACAGGTCTGACAAACCAGGTGAGAATCGCATTCCCGAATGTCGCTTGATGTCGTCGAAATGGTTGATCTTCATATACCTGCACCAAATAATATATCCATAACAGATATCCCGGATTTACTTCAATATTTTTTTTTGTGGGGGGGGGGGGGGGGGGGGGGGGGTATATTTAATGAAAAGGCATATAAAACTATCGACTGTTGTTGCAGAAGATACAAGCTTCTATATATAGTTTTTAATTACATACCTATTTTCACATACTCCTGATTTAGAGCTAAACAATAATTGCAATTTTTCTTGAAAGACGTACTATGGTTTGACGTTTTACCATAACTTAATTAATGCGTATGAGTTGGAAATATTAAAGTTGATCAACGTAACTTAACGGACACACCAACAAAACTATAAGAGGAAAATATACCTCCCTTCCTTACCTATGTATGAAAGTACGCATACTATCGGATAGCAATAGTATATATTTGACAACATTTTGACGATGTGTTAATATCTTACTTTGTATTCATAATTGCATCAATTTTAAATCCACAGGCTTTTTGGAAAGATTCCAGTGTAATACAAGAAATAAATTTACAATAATATTCCGCGTCTACATAATGACTTGGAGAAGTGAATTCAGTTGAATGACGCTGCCTAAAATAAAGCAAAAATAGAAATTAATTAGCCACGACACTGGAAAAATGAATAGTACACTGTTCTGTGGCGCAGACTATCGTGCTTGGTTAGTCGAGCGTTCCCTTACGTTTTGCTTGAATTCAAATCGTATTTTGTTTAGATCTGATGTTATAGAAAACGACGTTTATTGTCAACTCTTCATTGTTCACTTCTTTGTACGATATTGAATATAATCAACTTACTTATCACGATAATGTTTTACAAATCTCGGCAGCACGAACGTTCTGTTCAACACAACAGCAACAAATATTGCCTCAAAGAATCCAAACAACTGGTTGTTGGGTCCCCATCTTCCTACCGGGTATAAAAATTTATCTGGCCTCAAATACAATGTTGGATTCGTAAATACCGGTCGAACATCGGTGGTGTTTGAAATTTGTTCTGGTAATTTGGCTGGGTTGTTCTCATAACTGGAGATGTTGATATATGGGAAGTTCCAGTCTAGTTTACAGCTACTTGTGCTTTCACTACCGAGATGATGCTTAACGTTAATTTCATCTCGGGTGACTAAGTTTACCGAGGTTGATTTCTGTCGCGTAGTTTCTGGTTGTCTGGTTGTCAACCCGCTAAAGTTAGTCGATACGGAAGATATATTTCCCACTATAGTCGTATAGAATTTGTCAAGTTGGAGATAATCGCGGTCATCGTTATGAGCATGGATATTTTTTTGCTTCAAAGGAAACCTGCTATAATTGTAATTCCAAAATAGTGTTATCCACGTTACGAAAGCTAAACATATCACAAAGCTAACTATTAACTTGAACTTTTTTCCTTGAAAAATAAGCCACATCATCGAATCGTCTGAAAAAATATAGCGATTATTATTCGAATTAACTGTCAATTTGTATATAAATTGTATAATGCTACTGTTAGTATTGTAGTTTAAATACTTGTTATTACGAAGAAAAGTGGCGAATGGCAGAAAAGCAGCCAACGAATAGAAATATCCATGTAAACTGTCAAAAAACAATAAATAATTCAATAAACAATAGCATTAGTAAATGCATAACACAGCCTCCCACTTGAAATACATATATATAGAACCAACGTTACGCAGCCGTAGTTTGGAGGCGCAAAATATTTAAAACCCGTATGTTGACACTCGAATCCAGACGTAATTGTAGCGAGATATAACTCCCGCTGTACAGCGTATTATACTTGTCTTTGAGAAAACTATTAAATGTAGATAGTTCCCAGTATAATAAAGAACAACTTTAACCTAACAGACTGAAAGTAAACCTGCATTCTTTGGTTATAGATCGACTCTGTCAACTGTTAAGATTGCTTGCTACCTGTACGAGTTTTCCCAATCGTTCAATACGAGGGCGATCAGGCGGTTAAAATCAGTGTTTTCGCACGGTTGGGCTACCCTCTTATCACCGCATTATTTCTTCCCGAAAACCGTGTCTAGAATATACAATCTCTGCTACATTTGAGTCGTCGTTGGGTGTTTTCGCTCTTATTTCAACCTACTAAATTTCATAATATAAAGATGGCTTTGAACTCGGATCGTTGGCAGATTGTAAAATGGAGGTCAACTCTACCCTTCTTGTTTAAACAGCCTAAAGGCTGAATATTTCAGATATGCAGATTAAAAGTTATTAGCTTTTAGAATATATTGTAAGCTCACTAATTGAAACCCCGAAAAGGACAAAGTCAAAAACTCAGTGATACACTCATCAGAATTGATAGAAATTGAACTGGGAGAATGCAAAGTTGAAGTCAGCACTAATAAAACCCTCGAAATAAATAAAAAGTTATAACACATTAAAATTTATAATTAATTACTGAACGTTCGCTAGACGTTTGTTGGTTTAATTGACAGAAAACGATAGCATTGCCTACAACCATGCAGGGTTGTGGTGTCTAACATGCTGCAACCGGACTCAAGATTCTGAATTCGTCGGAGTGGGAATTGGAGAAGTTTGGAATCGAAACTTTTTCAATACGTAATCGAGGGTTGATTGAAAATTTTCCCAGATTACCAGCCTACAACTTACTGATTTGGAGAAGTGTTTTGGTCGTTTGATCAGCAATGCAGTAGCAAAAATTTACATATATATGTCATGAAATTAGCACAGAAATTCGAATATTATGATAAATCATATATAAAATATAAAAAATCAGTTATAGATTGTTAGCAATATTGAATCAATAAACTTATATATAATTCCATATTTCATCAAAGAATATTCGTATTTTTAACCCGAAAATGCATTATATCAATATTGATTATAAGTTGATTGTTCATGACATATATATCATTTGCAATATTCCCCTTCCGCAAAGTAGACATCCGTAGATCGTAGACTCATTATTAACCCGTGAGCACCATCACACTTGACTCGAAGTTTGAGACTAGGCGATTACTTTTTAAGTTTGGATTCAAAAACCAGATCATCAAACTCTGTTCTTATTCCAGTAATATTTCCAAATAATCTTGATTTAATAACATTGGATGTCCATGTTGTACCTTGAGACCTATATGTAATGCAGAATACAATGTACCAAATATAAAATGCTTGAATATTCCTTGATTATAAACCCAATATTGGTAAATGACTGTACTTGGTGTGATTTCCACGTTTAACAACCAGATTTCTTTGATATTCATACTAATATAAAAGATTGTTTCGAAAATCAGACTAGACTTCCTATTGAACATTTAGTGGGAACTTTACTACATGATTAAAAGTCAAATAAAAACGTAAATGCAAGTGTTACAATTAAAATGTATTTCTTTTATAAAATAGCGTTTTATGCAGATGTTTATATTAAAATATTTTTATCGTAAAAAGCAATTTAGTATATATATATGTGCGATAAATGTAATATTCGGCAATGAGCATGCTTATTCAGGGTGACTAAAACTAAACGATGAGAAAAACGAACCACCGTTTCCATCGCGTCACTCAAGGATATTATTATATGCTGATTATAACCACTTCTATAGCAACACTTGTTATTAGTTAGAATTAATTTATAAACATTACTTATGCTATCGAAGTCGACTACAAGCAAAAAGCTATCATGCCATTATATACTACCAAGCAATTAAATGTGACATAATTTTCCACTTCACAAAGAAATAATGATTTGTTAAATTATGAAATAAAAATTCATCATTGCGTATGTATGTAATTCAAACGATTTGACTAAAAATCAATTGATTTAAATATCGAGTTGAAAGCATGTAGGCTATGTCATCATAACTCATGATTCAATGCCAAGTTCAGAGATTCGTTACGGAATTTCCACATCAGATCGATCACCATGACAATACATTAGTATTACAAGTACATGAACAAATCGCGATTGCATAGCATATCCGGTGACAGCATTTAATAAAAAAACATAAAAAACAATGAATTTACCCCAAAAATGCAAATCCACGGGAACAAATCTCCATTTCAGTGGTTGAAATAATGTCGTCGAAATGTTTTGTTAAAAATTCACAATTGTTGTATTCAGATTTCAAAAATTGAATAAGCTCCTTGGACGAAAATATATCAATCCCCTAAAACAAAAAAACATTTTTTTTATTTATTTTAAACAAAATATTTTAAAGTATTAATATAAGCTAGCAACTTCAAAATGATATATGAGCAAATGATCACCAATAATCAAAATGAAGACACGATAACATACCTACAACATACGACAATATTATCGTTTCAGACGATCAGCATAATTACAAAACAAATATACCTAAACTTATTATCGCTCTTCCTCCATTTCCGCGGAGCATAATATACACACATTCTGTATTTTAAATGTTAAATAAGGTAAAAATATGAAGTATTATTTATGCACTCACTCTGTTTTTGCGCAAGAGTTTAGATAATTGCTTCATCATCTTCAAGGCATCGGGTGGGGCAGCAAAATAAACATGAGTCATTTTGAATCCTTTCTTTTCAATTTCTTCGAGTTTTTCGTCTATTTTTTGGATAAAATCTTCAGATGTGAAGGATTTTGCTCGACTACAAATCTTTTTATTTATATCTTGATTGTTACAGTGGTGTCTGGTTAAAAAATTCAAATAGTAAATAAACAATTTACTGTATTTAATTGAAAATAAAATGAGACATGAAATAGCCAGGACTTTGTCGCGTCCCTGACATAAATGAAATATTACCACTTTTGAACTAGTCATGCCAATTTCCAAGTGCTAGTGAATGTCAATAATCACAAAACACAAAATAGCAAAAATATTGCTCCTTACAGGATCCATTTTTGTTTTGCATTCGCAATCCAACAAAGCAATGCATTGGATGAAAAAAATTGAAGATTTAGAAACGAAACGTTTAGAAACAATGATATAATAATTGAATGATTGATAGATTATTTACAATAGATCGAGATGTTTATTTCAGTTAAATATATTTTGTTGCTAAAATAGGAATTTATGGTTCATGAGTTTCATATGTGTTAGAAATTTGCTCACTTGGAAAGAAAATCTCCTTCATTGTATCTCCAATGAATACTGAGAAACGGGTTTCCCTCGATAACGCTGTGATGAAAATGTTCAACAATTTGTCTTATAAATAAAGGTCTTCTATAGTGGTTCAGAATAGATTCAAATAGATCAACGCCAGCAGGAAGACTTAGATTTCTAGCTGAAAGGAAGTTGTGATAATTGCTATTGAGTAATTCCCATTCGTATTATACACAATTTACTGTGATTATTCAATGGTAAATGAGTGATTATGGACCTTGTGGTAATGCTATTAAAATTTACTCCATTGAAGTCAGTTCAATTCGATTCCAAAGGGCAATAAGTAGCAACGGTAAACAGTTCTTTGCTATTGCCAGTACATAAATATTTTAATCATATAAAAAATACCTTTATAAAACGGTTTAGACGGTTTTGAAGAATGAAGTTTGACACGTTTGCCTCTTGCATTATAAGTTCGCAGGTCGAGAATTGGATAGGGATAAACGACACATTTCGCCTGCGAAAAGTTAAATTATATTTTAGTATATTTTGCAAACTGACAAAAACCTAGATAAGAAAAATGAGCATAATATTGAAGCACGTGTCTTCTATACAAAAAATATGTCATGGCGCAAATTAGCAAATTATTTTTTAATTAAGCATAATTACATGTAGCCAAAGCTGTTCACCTGATAGTAAATGTATTTATTTATAAACGAAAATCCAAAAAATCCCACTTTTGTATAATGAAAAACAAACCGCATAAATTCAACCCGCTGTCAAGTACGAATATAATAGGGAACCAATTACCTCTTAACGCGCCCTTCTTAACGAAAATCCAACATGTTAACCACAATATCATACAAAATTACTTGAGTCTTGAAATACATTTGTAGTTCACTAGGTGTGAATGTCAATTCCTTCTTCTCTTCCGATGTTCCATTTGGAGGCAACAGTAGTTCAGACATGTCTGACAAACCAGACGGAAATCGCATTCCCAAATGTCGCTTAATGTCGTCGAAATGGTATGTCTTCATATATCTGCACCAAGTAATATACGATAAACAAATATTTATGGAGAGGAGGATAAACTTTTGTATAAGCTACAGATTTTTTTGCAGAAGATAAAAGCTCCTATATATACAGCATTTTGAAATACATATCCATTTCCTTATACTTCAGGTTTGGAGTTGAACAATGATGGCAAGTGAATGCGTGCGACTTGGAAATAATATCATCTGTTAATATTAATAGGAACCTATGGGACATAAACAATTAAGGTTTATAATAGTAAAATATCAAATCCTTTCTTACACAATGCAATTACTGTTACCGATGATACTACCGGATACTAATAGCATTAATTGTTTTCGACTACATTTTGCCGATATAATACCTTACTTTGTATTCATAATTGCATCAATTTCAAATCCACACGCTTTTTGAAAAGATTCCAGTGTAATACAAGAAATAAATTTACAGTAATATTCCACGTCTACATAATGACTTGGAGAAGTAAATTCAGTTGAATGAGACTGCCTGGAATAATAATGAAAAATATTAATTATTCTCCATACTGGCAAAACGAACCCGATTAGTACACTGTTCAGTGGTGCAGACTTTTCGTGCCTGGGTAGTCGGGGGTCCCCTCACGTTTTGTTCTAGTTCAAATTGTATTTTTTGTTTTGATGTTATAGCAAACGACGTGAGTATGCTGTACATTTATTTGAACTGTCATCTGTTTATCGTTTCAAATTTGAAACGATATTGAAATTACATTTAAATTTCTTTTTCCAATTAATGCCAATGGAAAACGTAAAATGAATAAGAAATTTATGAAGAACCTGTGTAAATTATTATATAAAGCATATTCGAGCGAAAAAACCTCCTCCCACCGTGGTTTAGCAAGTGGTTTTAGCAAAATACATGCAGGCTTGACTCAGCAGCCTCATTATCAACACGGCTCACTTCTTTGTACAATAATGAACATAATCCACTTACTTATCAAGATGATGTTTTAAAAATCTCGGCAACACGAACGTCCGGTTCAACACAACAGCAACGAATATCGCCTCAAAGAATCCAAACAACTGGTTGTTGGGTCCCCATCTCCCTACCGGGTATAAAAATTTATCTGGTCTTAAATACAATGTTGGACTCGGAAATACCGGTCGAACATCTGTGGTGTTTGAAGTTTGTTTTGGTAATTTGGCTGGGTTGTTCTCATAACTGGAGATGTTGATGTACGGGAAGTTCCAATCTAATTTACAGCTTCTTTTGCTTCCACGGCTGAGATCATGCTTAACTTCTATTTCATCACGGGTGACCAAGTTTATCGCCGATGATCCCTGTCGTGTAGTTTCTGCTGTCGCACTACTGAAGCGTGTCGATACGGCAGACCCAAATTCTACTTTATTCATATTGAATTTGTCAATTTGAAAATAATCGCGGCCATCGTTATGAACATGAGTATTTTTTTGCTTCAGAGGAGACCTGCTATATTTGTAATTCCAAAAGAGTGTTATCCACGTTACGGCAGCTAAACCTAACACAATGCTAACTAATAACTTGACCTTTCTTCCTCGAAAATTACGCCACAGCATTGAATCGTCTGAAAAAATATAGCGATTATTATATATATTACTTGAATCAACTGACAATTTGTCACATATATATTGCGACTGTTAGTATTGCAAAAACATTTGGAAATTGGGAAGAAAATTGCTAAATGACTGCAAGGCTATCAACGAATCAAAATATCTTGTAACTTTGCAAACCGTCTAAAAACGACAAACAATTCAATAAACGTGAACAGGAATATGCGAAAGACAGCCTCCGGCTTCCAATACATATACGTCATGCAGCATTCATTCGGTGCTGAGTATAGTATTGAATGCGTACGATAATTAAAACTCGTATGTTGTAGAGAGATATACCTCTTGCTGTACTGCTTATTACACTCGTCTCCATAAAACTATTGATGCAGATAGTTTGCAGCATAATAAAGAACAACTGTAACCTAACAGAATGAAAGTAAATCTGTATTTTCATTCTTTGATTATAGATGGACGGTTTTAGCTGTTCGTGAGATCATTCTACTTGTACGCCTCACCGCTCTAAACCAATTTCCTTATGGACAGGCGACCGATCAAGCGGTTAAAATCAGTGTTTTTATATGGCTGGGCTCTTACGATCGCATTATTTCTCCACAAAAACCATGTCCAAATGGCTGCTGTAAGCTACATTCGAGTTACAAGCTATATAATATATGAAAGTAAGCTTCGCAAAGGAATTTCGATGCTATTATTACTTCCAGGTTTTTATTTCAAGGAATGACTGCAAACTGAAAGATAAATAGGAAACGCCAATGATCTTGAACGTTTGTTATTGTTTTGAAAACGAATTTCTATTAGAGTGGCTCTTACACGAATACCGTTCCAAAGTTCAGCTATTAAAACTCATCAACGACCCTGACTCATTTTATCTCCCGAAGCTGCCCTTGCTTGCGATGCTTGGTTATACAGTAATGCCTATATAAAAATCACAGCATTTTATAAGTTAATATTCGTTCGCTGATCCACGCATGTATCCAATGTAGAGAAAACTCTGCACACGTAAGGACTCTTTGTTAATTAAGTAATAGGCTGATCCTAAGATAATTTCGATTTTTGCCTTACCGATATTCGATATTATTCATTACAATTTGTACAGCTTCAAACATTTTCACTGATTACTGTCCAATCCACAGAGAACGCACAGTCTCATTTACAGGGTAATTGCGTAAGCAGCAGTACGAGTATTTGATTTCAGAATAACAACAAAACATGCTAACAACACCGCTTTTACCAATGGAACGGCAAAAACTATTTACGGCGATAGACTTTGATTGCCTATCTGGTCGTATAACAGTCAACATATGGTGTATCTGAAATTCACTCCGGAGGGATATATGTGTATACCGCATGCATGTACATATGAGCATGCAAGTCACCCACGATAAATAATTTATGACATTTCATCCACTTATGTTAGCCGAATTATATCCAGTGTCTGGTGCATTTTGTAAACGAGGGTGACAGAAAGCGAAAATTAGCGGAGAGAGAGAGAAAGAGAGACCCATAATAAGTTTGGACAATGCCTGACATAATCAAGTCGTCCGCCTGTGGCATATATATTTAAAATTTGTGTTCACTATAATTTTAAATATAACAAAAAGAGTTGCTGAAACCTTCTAGTCGTGTGTAATGCCTGCTATTGTGAGTGGGTGAATCGTTACATTGCAATTGGTGGGTTTGATATAATATTAATCACTACATGCATATGTAAATCAAAAGAATGCAATACCTGTTTGCCGACGACGTCTAAAAGGGTCGAGTTTGATCGTTAATTCCTAGCGAACAAAAATTATCGTCTGTATAAATGAAGTCATATATAGATTTGTAGATGTTATGAAAATGGGATTTCGCTTCATTATTTCATTTTGCCCATACGTAAATATGAAATCTTCCAGGAACACTGAAAAGTAAATTTTGTCCCCCGACACAAAAGCGGTTGCCCATCCCTGCTATAGATTCTGGGCAAACAAATCGATTGATAATATAATTGCGATCGTCTTTGCCGTGTACAAAACATGTCCGCAACCTTGTAAATAATGCATTTCTATGAATACAAACAGGAAGTGTTAGAAGTCGACTTTATGTTTCAAAAAGTGCAAAAAAACCTTGCCCCTAATACAGATGCTATTACTTGTTATTGTTAACTCATAACTTTATTATTTCTCTCGCACGTATATACAAAGCATGGTATTATTACCTATAGTATACTATTACACTAATATTTTTACAATATTCGATCTCGATATTCTTATGATTTTTACCTATTTTCAAATGCATTTAGACCTTTCCTGAAATATGATAGCCAGTTTAAACTTCGTCAGTTGAGATTAGTTCTACACTCTCTCTACGCTTGAGCGCTTAGTCTTCAAACGTTTATTTACTATTCCAACCTTGGCAAATAAAAATCTACTTCAGTTAACAAACCTACAGCGTCAAAATGATTTTTCGATAAAATTCCGCTCTGAATATTTCCGTGCTCGTGCATTCTGCCTATATATTTCAACCAAAAAATAAAGATATTGATTAAATGGTGTTATTCACCGACGTAACATAATTTAACGCATATATATTCTTTCTTAAAATGTTAACTTCGGACCAAACATGCACTTTGATGAAATCAATCAATGAGGCCAAACCAATAATTAGTCATATTTTTAGACAATCGTAGACAACAGGCAAATGTTGGCACGATTTCAATGGCAATGGATCAATGGTCATTAAATGACTTGATATAGGATGTGGCGCATATCAATGTGTATCAAATGTTTCAATATACCAAAATTTATCTATCCGTTTGATTCCTAACAAATCCCGCCTGCGTCTTCTCAAAGTATTTGGTATGCTTCAGAATATGACGTTATGGTATAAATATGAAAATCTTATCCAATTTCTATTTGACTAACCGAATCAAAACTTCTACGGCAACGAAACCAAACTCAGATTACTGTGACGACGCCCATATGACATGTTGCTCGATATGCGATACATCTGTCAAGAGTAAAGCGTATCACATTAAATTTGTCAGACGCGAAAGCTTGTAATAATGAACACAAATCATGTAATATGAATGTGCATTTCCCTCCTCTCCGAAAGATTGTACGCATGTGCAAGGAATAAAAATTACATGAATTATTGCAAATGTTCACTCACAGGCTAGAAGGGAAATATTGTTTGTTTATTGACATTCGAAAGTCAAAACTCAGTCTTTGCAATATACGTTACTAACTTGCCACACATGGAAAGAGTAAATGCGTCAGCTCTATAATAAAAAATATATAAAATATGGCAAATATACATACAACACTTTATGTTGACCCCAATTTTATTCATACGTCATGTTCATTCAGCTAAGTTTATATTTGCAAACTCCGAGTTGCAGGATTATGCGTGACAGGAACGTGAATGTCGGGCTTTTTGAATTTACATTCTGTATACGAGCCTGTGGCGTAGCCGTAGAGAACACCAGGCGACTTCATAAAACTGTCGTATATCCGAGTCCAATCAGTTTGAAAAAGTTAAATTATTGAGAAATCAATATCTCATTACATTAATTAATCATAATTCTATTCTTTGTTATTTCAATATGTCACCTATATTCCTCCCAAATTACTCATCAATTTTCTTTGCTTTCTGAGTAATCGAAATCATACAAAATAATCATGACGGAATCCCAACTACCATTCAAATGCAGTTAAAAAGCTAGTGACTGATACTGACATGCTGTATATGCAAATTTTCGTTACAGGTCTAACAAATAATAGCGTGACTGGTGAATCCAAACACTGTTTATGCGCATGGAAAAAAGATGATAGCGTTGCACTAGCAAATTAAAACGATTTACAATGATTTGGTACTGCCAGGGCTTTTTAGTCCGCATTATTGGCTAGCAGCTGTTCAGAATCGGCGCATGAGTCAAATTATTGAACTCCTTGGGGCCGAGAGTTCTGAATGTGAAAACCCAGAAAGATAACTCACAACAAAAACTAAGAAGGAAACAATACCCCCCAAATTTTCAAGCACAACTAAAGAACTTTGGATACGCCAGAGTTTGACTATCTCGTAAAATGTCTTGCTTTGAAGACAGCATCTTCCATACAAACAAAATTTAACATTGCTTCCATAGTCATAACTACCACACATTAACAACTTTTGAGCTAATACACCAGCAGTGGAGCGTTTTTCATACCAATGAGAAGGTTGTATTTAACTTATGTAGTGACTTCCAACTGTACCTGGCTGCTGGCTTCAACAATACTGCAGGTGTAGGCTATCCTGTAGCTATTTGAAATTGGATCCATGAGAGAATATTACATTTATAGCGTTAATGAATCTGACAAATGACTCGTTGAATTACGTGCTATATGTTATGTATAGGTAGCCTCCAAAATCATGCTCTGTATACAACAGGAAAATACCGCGGCTATCGGGAGAGAGATGGCTCTGCGGTTTAATCTCAAGGGAGCGATGGTGACTGGTGAATTCGTCAAAGCCATGCTCCCGATAATAATAACCACTAAAATCCCCAGCATTTAACTTTCGATATGATGTTGAAAACTCGAATTGTCTCAATCATATGTCGAAGCACTCCCTCTCGTCCGGCTATCAGTCCATTGCGGGTATAGGATTAGTTAGCCGGTTATTAGTTTCAGATGCATGGACTTCATGATGGAAGAAACCGTAACCGACATGCGGTTACGTGAACCACCCTTTGGCGGCGAGAGTCCAGCAATCCTGTCGCACATAATTATCCCCAACGGGATTCGAACCAATAGGTGCGGTGGCAAACGTGTTCCTAACGCTCAGCGAGGTGCGCCATGCCGTTGAGCCAATACAGCCTTCTGGAGGTTCCCATATTTGCTGAAAAATTCGTATGCAAGAAAAAGATTAGTGGGATTTGTACATGAAGATCATAAGAATGATTTACAAACTTTGGAGAGAATCTCAATAAGACCCAAGATTTAAAAAAAAAATGTACAAGCGACAGGTGCATTTTCATAGTTAGAAAACGAAGTGTGTTTGCATCCGGGATTGAACAAGATTACTTTAATTTATCTCACCGATAATTTTTGCTCTGATTTTCATAGCGAATTCAAAATATGCCCATAAAAGCTACGCTCTTTTGTCTTTCTTTTTTGTTGTCGCGGACGCGAAGGGCGTGTCAACGGCTCTGTAATGGTACAATATCATGAAACTGGGGATTGTACTTAGCGATATAGTTCCGGTATGCTTATCTTTTGCTGTTTCTTTACATTTTTGATCATAGCAAAAAAATATGGCTGTGAAATCAACATCACGAAAGCACGAAACGCCGGCATAGATTTGCACATTTCCATCTAGAAATAATTTATTCGATTGTTCGTTTACATTCCGCCTCACTCATCACACGCACACCCGCTTTTCAATTTACTGTTTTGTTTGTAAGTAATTTGATTATGAAGTTAGACGGCTGAATAATGACCAACTGTTTATATTATTCGTTTGTTTGTTGCGATTTCTTTTCATTCTTCTTCGGTGAGTGAACGCGTTTGATAAGTTTTGTTGACTGCCCAGATTCTTCGCCTTTCTCTTTTTTTGTTTTATTTTTTGCGAATGAATTAAATTGAACAAAATTAAATCTATCTAAAAGTACGACCATCAGCTAACTTCTGTCGCTCGCAAGCAAAAACAATAGCCCACCACTGATCATCAAATAAAAGGCCGATTGGAGTTCTTATTTATACGGCGGGTCCGTGTAAAGCAGGGTTCCCAACCTTTTTATCTTAATTTCCCACTTCCGATTTAGGCTGAGTTATTATTTCCCACTAAATATTGATCCCTTAAAAAGAATAAGTTTTCCGTCAATAATAATTGGTAAGACTTTCTGTAATAGAGGCTTGCAATTGGTGTGAAAGTGGAAACCCCGGGAGAACATTAATTGCGCCCTCTAGCACCCCAAGATAGTGACGATCCGTGTAAAAAAGTGTTATTCACCGAATAGAACAATTCAACACATAAGATTACAAAGGACGCATCAAAGTTAACAATATACCTTCAATATCAATTTTGCTTTTTTTTTGATATGATAGACCGGATGTCTGAATCTATTTTGAAAAGGGGCATAGCTATTGGACAAGGAGACCGGTTCATCTTTGACGCCCGGACTTTTTGGTCCTTGCTATTCCCAGGACAACTGCATAAGACGCAGTCACTTTAAACTTGTTTGAAATTGCCCCATGATGTCGAATATCAATTTGCTTCTATTTTTCGTTTTTTTTAGTAAACTGATAAGAAAATGGATATTGGAAAGATATTGCTTCATTTAATGGGGCTTCATAGAACCATTGGAGATGGTCTTAGTGCAAACAACGCATTGCGTCAGTTGCTCAAAATTTTTCTCTAAAAACGTGAAACGTAGCCGAGATAAATATGATCGTACTTTATTTATACATTAGCCTTTATCTTTATTAAAAGTTGACCACAATGACGGGACCGGTCAGACATTTGTTCATCAGAGCGTATGCCTACTCAATATCTCCAAGACATTTGAAAATAGACTGTGCCCCTCAGCGAAAATCTTCTTACGTAATATTCAGAGCCTTGGAGACATGTCTGCGAGGTTGTTATCGGTTGACCAAAGATCAAAATTAGTTACACGAGCACGATCAGAATAACATGGCCAACATCGTGATAGTTTACCAAAGTTTCGAATAATTGAATGGGGAATCTTTTTCTGCTTCCTTTCTTATATTGTGATTTTCATTGTGTAATATATATTAATTGTGCGTATATTTTTAGAGGAGCATTCTATTTCCCACCAGGATCCCCCAAATTTCCTACCGATTGGGAACCACTGGTGTAAAGTAATATTTTAACTATGTTTAAGTTCTAGATCAGGGGTGAACAAGGTTTTTAGGCCAGGGGCTAAAAATTTCGCCCACCTAGACTGGCGGGCCATGTCAGTGTGACGTAAAAGTTACATTTTGAGAACAATGTTACAAAAGCAAAGTTGAAAACAATAAGCCTCGTGTCAAAAATTACCCAACGGACCAAATTTTGCCCACCCCTGTCCTAGATGTAACAACTTCTATGGAAATGGCCTAATTTTTCGACAGCAACCTCAACAGGACTGTATTCACGTGAGGCGGAAAGTAGACCGATACCCAGAAAGCTAATATTGAAGAGTTTTAGAGAGGGACGGATACGACTCAGACACATACGTGTAGTATTAAAATCGAACAGCGACGAATTTTAGCACATTCTCAAAATTTCGAATACCTAGGGTAAATACAAATTGCCATCAGAATGAGCTAATACCACAACTGCCTTACCAATGACTAATTCTGATTTGTTCAGATATCCCTGGATAACAAAAATATCTATCCCAGTCATAGAAATCATAGGACGAGTCCAGTCACCTAACCCAAACATATAAAATATCCTTATCAAAAAATATTGCTGACGCCAGGAAATTTTTGTACTGTTCCACATTATAGAATTTATTTTTTGCCACTAAACATGGTTGGAGCAGCTTTTCTCATTTTTTGAGCAGTTTTCATTTTTGGTTGTGATTTCTGTGGCTTTTGAGATTTCTTTGTTTGCTCAGACTGCCTCTTCTTCTCCTTGGCAACCCTGAAAATATTGTTATGAAACAATTAATTTTGATTTTTCTAAGCACAACCTTGGTGACATCATAGTTGAGCAAGCAGTTTGTTGGAGCCAGGGCTGTGGCGTCTGAAAATATTTGCAATAGACTCCCACAACGTGCGTTAAAACTGATTTCAGTCCAGATTCTTGGTTTAGAAATACAAACTACCGGTACTGAAAAAACATTACAGAAATATATTTGTGTTGATGTGCAGCAAGACTTTTCGAATCACTCGAGATAGAAACATTCTGTTGCGAAAAATTCAACTACAACCACGAAGTCAAAAAGAATCTTATTTTGATACCAAAAACCTTAATATATGCAAGCCTTTTTTTTAACAGACTGATAAGAACGATCAGGTAAATTATTCCTTTCGAGTTTTAACACAAAGTTTTGACTTATTTTATCTGCAATTCAAACTCCCGTAAAGTTTCAAAATATAGACTCGGCTAAAAATCAGTCCTGACAGGGTCGTAAGACTACATAAATTGCCTCTTATTATCACATATGTATAACAGATGTTATCAATACACTGTACACCACCCACGAATAGGACGAGAAAAGTACTTAAACACTCCCATCTTAGAATTGGTTGGGTAACTGGAAGAGACTGAATGTGATATTGCATTACCTGATTGCTTGCTCTCTTTGTGCTTTACGCACTTCAGGCTTTTGGTTACGCTTTGCAAGAATTTCACTCCATGATGCTCCCTGAATGGCTCTCTGGAACTTCTGTGTGCGACGTGTCCTCTTTTTGACTACTTCTTCCTGAAGTAATAAAAAAGGAAGTTATTTAAAGAAGAAGGTAAATGAAAATGGGATTCTATAAATTACCGTAGATATCAAATCTTGACTCCCATTGTATTCAAGCATCCCTACAGTAGAGGTAACATATACATATCCAGCAGTACAAAAATTGTAGAACGAGAGAATTTTATTTTTAAAACGCAGTCAGGATAAGCATGGTATAATTGATTAAAAATTTCTAAGAATTTTGTGTAATACTGTTCACCCTCGCTGTGAAATATGCCTAGATTGAGAATAGTTCATCAGAAACATTTAGGTACTCGTGCTTATAGCTTCATAACAACAATTTTCAAGGATCGGGTAGCCCAAGGCCATTTTACAATTATCCTGAAAGAGAGATTAACAAACAAAATTTTCTGTCAAACTCAAATCCTTGACTTTTCAACAATTAACTTTAAACCTCACTAGCCAGAGACTTCTTCGTTAGAGCTCAGCTACAAACAAATAACTACTGTATTTTTATTCTTGTCCTTGTAAGTTTTCTGAAGACTTCTTCTCGAAAACAAAGACTCTGAAGTTATCATCGAATACAAATACTCATTATTTTAAACAATATGCTATTGCACATGTTTTCATCATGCCACCTATCTGGTGAATGTAACAGCCATCGAGTATTTCCGTGGTATTACAGTGGTTTTGAAAATATCACTTAGTGATAATAAATATATACAGAATAGCTTTACATCTTTATAATAGGAACTGCACAAGACAATGCGAAATGGAAAAGGTAAACAATTATTAGGATAACAAACAAAAAATAGGATACGATTTACATATTTATCCCGGGGAGAGCAGAGCTAATAAAAAGGCCTAATCATATGGTGAACCACTAGATACCGTCCGGTTACCGTACCAGCTCATGTCGAGTATGGGATAAGTTAGCTAGTTATTTGTTTTCAGATGCATGGACTTGATAATGGAGGAAGCCGTAACCGACCAGCAGTTACGTCAGCCACCATAAGGCAGGGAGGATTCCAACAATCCTCTCGCACATAATTATGCTCCCATGCGATTCAACCTGATGTTGAGTAATCAGAAGTGCTGTGGCGAGCTTGTTCTCAACGCTTACTACAGCACAGTCTACCCGATTCAGAGAATAGCCCCACATTAAAAGAAATTATATAAGTGAGTGCAAAACCCTCCTTAATGAGACGGTCCAGACCTCCATATCGACAAACCGGCACTGCGCAATAAATTAAAAAGGAGCGCAATCTAAAAGCGTCACTATTGGATTAGACTACCCAGATAAATTAATCAGATTTAAGAAAAAACCAGACCGTAAAATATAACCCTAGCATTTAGGGAAGTTTCAGCAATGAACCGAAATTTTGACCACTTTACTGCCGAAGCACATTGCGATTAATTTGAATTATTATGAAGACAAACATGGCGCAGTGTGACACATCTGCTTTCATTTCAGAGACAAATGATGTTTGTTTTATTGTACCAAATGTCGGAACATCTGGGAATCTGCCCTACACTCGTTAGCGCGATTCGCCACGACTTTAACTAGCTGACTAGAGGTGAAGTCAGAATTAAACATTAGTTAACAAGAACCCAGCAATCCAACATGCAGTACTAAAAAACAACTAACCATTGTGCCTTTCTTGTGTTTCCTACGATACAACACAGTCCAGCTTATTTTCCTGGGATTCTTCTTTTTTACAAGAAGAGCAGCACATTTTGCATTCAACAAGTTGAACACCTTGCCATCGAGACGAGCAAAACGCTTCCCGTGACCGGGGTATATCTTCAATCCACTGAACTGACAGAGCTCAGTCCTTAGAAAAAAATACGGAATCAGAATTGATGGCTAAGAAGGGTTAAAATTCGCGACAACCGACAATGAAATATACTAAATTACATAAAAATGATAATCACAATAACGCAAGAGATTATATGTTAATAGGAATAATGAATATATGCCGAATTTATTGACGATGAAGTAAGATAAAAGTGATATATATGCACCTACCTCATCTTGTCCGATGGCAGAAAAAAAGGCTGCGTCTGGTTCGAGCCTAGTTATCACCAATGTTGACAGTCAAAGGTCGTAACGGTTCAGTAATTTATTACATGCCACAGTGATCAGGGAAAACTACTAACTTTTTCAAAATTATATTAAATCTAGGTACCGATATCTCACCTAAGAATTGAGCGCTGATAATTCAATTTCCCGAAGCAGGCAATTTTAAGTTATACTCTATATTTTGGGTTAACCAATGACATAGCTCCACTCTGTTTAGAGGTTTGAATTTTGAAACCGACTTCCAAGTCGACCGCAAAATGAAAAAGACAAAACAAATTTAATAGCGTAATAACTAGTACTCATAAACTTGTCTCAATACTTGAATATATATCAAATACTAGGACGAACACGCGTATAATCACACCGATAAAGCGTAGCTTCGCAGGTACGAATTCGATGAGGAATGAATATTGTGTAGCCTACTGTGAGTGTACCGGACTCATTATTTTTAATACGTATTGAACGTCGCCCGTTGACGAATTCTTTACTAAGTCTGTACACACTAAATGCGTAAACGTTAACAAGAAATTGCAGCTGTACGTCCATTTTTTGTCTTTTTCTGCGTCCGTTGTGCATACGGATACTTAATATAATCGTATTCATGTGATGAATAAGAATAACTTTAACTCTTTAAGATATAACCGAAAAAATAAAGATCATAATAGAACAATTAATCTGTTTCACCTTGCTTTTAAAAATTGAACGAACGAACATGGAAAAATCTCTTCTTAAAATGAAAGCTTTATTGCTTCGAAATATATAAAATATTGACCTTTCCAAAAATTTGATGTTGTTGATTTTCAGGTTCAGATAGGATTTTTCATATTTACCACATGAGGGATATAGTATCCGAAAAAACTATTAAGGTAAGTATCAATATTGCAAGTTTCTGTGTAAGACTATTTGTAGTAATAATTTTTAATGTGAAAGTTCAAAGATGGTTGTACTTGTAAGCGAAATTGTAAAGCGCGGGTTCTCGGTTCTCATAACGTTAATACATTTTTCTGACTTCTGAACGGGTGCACTCTACATCAGAATATGAGAAACCAATTGTTTTAAATAGTCATACAGAGCGATGTTTATGCACAAACATAACATGTGTATATATTTTTCGTATGTTTGATTCCGTCAACTTTATATGTCTTGAAATTGCAACAAAGTGTGAACAAGGTGTGGCATATGATGTCATGCAAGATATATAAATATCTCGGCCTACTTTAATGATGTTACAAATTAACATGCTTGAAATAGAATCTATTCCAAATAGATCAATAAATTTCATGTTGTTTCCGTTTTAAATAATACACTTTATTATTGCTTTAGACTCGAATATAAACGTGCATAATATTGATTAGAAAATTATGAGATAACGTCATCGACGTGACAAATGTTTGCTTTGCGAAGTCGGGAGAAACATATATATATTTACTATACGAAACAATCCTCAATGTTGGGAAAAGTTGGAAATAGCTTATTGAATATAGACCAATTTAATGTTACCTTAACATTAATGATGGGTTCTTTTATTGGACACGAAGTCGACATATAGATCTGATGTGGAATGTTTAAGATTTCAATGTATTGGGATCATTTTCAAATGTTCACCACACACGTTAAACTCAATTTTCACGCAATCAAAACATCACCCATTTGACAAAAAGGTGAAAAATTTGCACTGATCTGTTGGGGTCTGCTTAAAAGGTTCTCCACAGTACCCAACAACGCTGTTCCAAGTAGGTTATCCGTCTTAATTAAAGAATTGGGAATTAATATTAATATGGCGTACGTGGAACATCTATGTATTCATTTACAATTACTCATCTCATAATGGCAGACAAGCAAAACTCAACTATGTGGCCTCGCCCATTTTCTCAAAAATTGTTTGTCATGACAACCTAAATTAATGTCGGTATTTTGAATTTTATGGCATAGTTTACCAGTAAACAATTTATGAAATAATTTTATTCCCAAGTAATTGTTTGTTTTTTTACTGTCCGAATAATATTACACTAGACTCAAGTTGCTCAGTTTTGGTTGAACACACACTGACCATATTCAAAGTAAGCTGCAGTAAACGAAATGGTATTTTCCCCGTACAAGAAAACTTTGCCCTAATTGGCATTGAAAATGCTCACACTGTTTATGCTATTATTTGTGTTCAAATGTATGCGATTTGTACTGATCGAATTATTTAAAGTTTTGCTATTCCTATTCCAGTACTCAATTGGTTCTAGACCGGATCAGTTATAATTTGGACGCTAACCACAAATGTAAGAATAAATTATAACGTAAATAATGCATTGCCTCGCCCGACCTCCACACCGAGAGGTTGAGGTTCGAATCCAGTCTTTGCAGAGTCTAGCCCAATCGACGGGCTTGTTCAAACAATTTGCTAGTTTCAAATCCATGTCGTCGTTGCCTAATCGCAGAATGTCGAGACAGACAATCGTACGCGAAATAATTGGTATTATAAGAAATCGATTTGTTTGGTTTTAGAAGTTATAAAAACACGTTCTCGATCAATCCACTCGATTTACCCTTCAATATATGTATTCAGAACAAAACTAGTCCAAATCTTCTAGTTTTTATCATGAAAATTCTTGTAGATATGAAATTAACTAGCATAAACAGATCATGGTTAATTAGCCGAATGTCTGACGCAGAAAAGCCTCGTTTTGGCACCGAACATTCTGATAAATTTGCCAAAAATAGTTCTGTAGTCGGTATTGCTTACGATTTCCATTCTTTACGTCCTTCGACCGGTGTAATTGTTTTATTACGTAGGAATGGTTGAGATAATGTCTTATCATTCGATTCACTGTTCATATATATTGATTTCATTTCAATCTCTTCCAAGAAATTTGTAAAGTATTATACGAACCAGGTCAAATATGGCTTGTCGCTGTTAGTTTTAAGGCGAGACTATATTGTGGAATAAATAAATAACTAATTGTATCTTTTTTATACGGGGATTATTCTTGCTAATGCAATCATGAATAGTCACCCACAGGTAACTGATATACAGCGCTTTCATTTGGTTTCGTTGAGCAGTGTAATAATAAATGAAAGAGTTGCTGATTCACGAATAGCCAATTAACCAATATTTCGTCATGAATAACATTGTTATATGCACGTAATACATGCCATTTAATTCACGATACTGCCAGTATGCGACATTTTATCCGTCTGGGTTCCCACCAATTAATGAACTCAATGAACGTTCCAGACTATTGATATAAATCACTGATGAGAACCAACAAGAACGAAACCAGAAATATGGTAGCTGCCGAATTTATCTGCCTGAAAATCATGCGGGGATATATCTAATAATAGTTTTACTTTCTTCCAAATACGGCTTTTCATTCGACCCAGGAAACAAAAGTTTTGCAATAAATACACTTAAAATCTTGAGTACCGAGGGTAGACCGATTATTCGATTGTATCTTACTAAATGTTTACGTTAGTTTCAACCCGTGTAAGTCCTCTACCTCCGAGTAGCCTTCCTGCGCAGAGTACCGTTTGTGACAAGATGCAGAATAGATTGTATATTCCATGTAAATGTGTAATCATAAAGAAGTGACATTTTTTTAACAAAAGCGTGGTTGACACTGAGTATTATTTGGACGTGGATATGAAATCATACGGAAATCTGATATGGCATATAACGCAATGGAGCAAATACAAATGTTATTGGTTTTTGACCTCAACATATACGAATTACTGAAGTTGGATCTGATCGCATTGATCACTGTTTTAAAACAAACTGTTCTAAATCAAATTTATGACCATAATCTGAAAGCGACAATTTGGCATTTCATATTTTCTTCGTTATACAGAATAATTAATTACATGTCAAAAAGTTGAGATCTGGGTCGACCAACATTTATACATTCAGGTTGAAAATCATTCAACCCGAGGTTGTAGCTTTACAGCAAATGCCACATGCCGTCGATACCAGGTCAAAATAGTTGAAATAAACATATTTTCCAGAGTTCGGAATACGCCCTTCAATACAAACTTGCGAAATTGATTGGAAATTGATGGGATGTGAAAATGTTTTTTGACTCACTCGTACATTGAATTTTATGTAAATACGTTGACAAAATACCGTAATAAAAGTATACCAAATGCCTCAAACCCATCCTGTTTACCATAATTATATGATACAATAGCAATTTATTTTTCAAAGATTTATAACTCTTCAAAGACGACCAATATTTAAATTTAAAATAAAAATATATATATATAAAATTCGAATTAAGTTTTCAATAGCAAATGTGATAGGAAAATAAATATTGAGTATATCAATAAAAACTAATGTGTACAGCGGACTGGATTGAAAAATATATATAATTGAATATTGCTCCATCGCTGACATGTTTTTATTAATTCGTACTCGTTGCCAAAAATTGGTGACAATACTCTGAAACATTTCACTGGCATAGTTTATATTATAATCATGTGCGTATAAATATATGTTCATGCATAAACTCATGCAATGAATATAAACCTTATTGATGTCTCGAGAAATGGTCGCGTTGTGAACCTATGCGATATTTTCATTATTTGTCCTGTACTGGAGTTAGTTGTTATGTTACGTAAAATTTCAATTCATTTTGCTGTTATGTTTTAGGAAATCCGGTTTATAAATAATACCTAAAATTTACTATATGATGTTATATATATTTTTTATATCAGAACACGACCTATAAATCAAAAAATCAATATTAATTATTCTCAGCTGTTTTGGTATGGAACCTGGCTGAGACATAATTATTTCCATATATCATATATATCAGACAAATTTGACTTCAATTTACATATATGATATGATATTTCAATACAACTAGTAGTATCGCGCTACTGTAAATATTAACAAGGGAATACGCTATTGTTTTTCATCTTATCCTACGATAGATGCCGCACATGGATTGTCTGTGTTTTGTAGTTGAATTTAAAAAGAATTACTCCAACCTGATTGTAGAATTGAATTAGAAATTCAAATTAGTTTTTTTGAAGGTTTTGTTTTGAAATGTATTATGCTTCATTTGTGGTACTTCAGATCTAAGCTTGGATCAAATTCAAAATTATTCTGACCTCAATTTCGAAGGTGACATTTTCATTAAAACTCAATCGCAGGACAAAAAATTTTCAGAACAATCAAATAACTTTATTGCGTCATTAAAGTCATATTTAAGCCGGTCGCGTGCCTCGTCACGAATTTTCCATGAATGAATCGCAAATATATATTCCGTTTTATTAGCTTAATTTAGATATATTATAGAAATAGTTATGTCTGGCGGCCGATCACGCAGTGTGATTCATATAAAAAGTCGCGTAAATTTTAATTATGTCTATTTGCCGAAAATTTGATTGTAGAATTTATATCAAATTTGATCAATTTGATAATTTCTGCTTCCGTTTTTTAATATTTTGCCGAAAATTAGTTAGTCAATTCATTCTCATCTATTTGATATGTACATATAAGGCAGTGATTTTAACATTTTGAATAAAAATATTCGATAAACTGTAAACGTTGAGAAAGATTGAGTTTTGATATCATACCACAGTTGCAATTGAAGAGGTATAGGTGGTATATTCTCCGACTTGTTTACGAGAGGAATAATCAGGCTTGTCCATGGGATGGGATGGGAATGGACAGCACACATTTGTATTTCCCATGGGACACGTGGGACACAAAATACCGTAAGATTTTTGAGGAAATGATGGTGAAGCATCTCGTTATGGACTTTGTGTCTATATATTTGAGCAGAATTTACTTGTTAGTTATAAAGAGCAAAATGTATTCAGCATTTTCAATATACTTTGTGAAGGGCAACAAATTTTGTCGTTTTGAATGTCTCTTTGTATGTAGTACTTACGATAGTAGACGATAAAACAGAATTCAACAACTTTCATTGAATTTTATTCCAATGGGAATCCCATGGGATTGGTTGGGACAGGCATAAATTGCTACAGGCAGAAAAAAATGTCCCATGGACAACCCTGGGAATAAAAAAAAGACTTTGAAAGTAGTTTTCTAACTAGTATTTGTAGATGATATCAGATAATGCAATAAATTGCAAGAGTTGAAATTAGTCAATTCTTTCTGTAGGTGATAATATGTGGTAATTCACAAAAGATATATTGGAGACACAGTGAACCTGTACATCGTTGTTGACTTATTGTTGTTGTTCGCGGTGTTTATCAAGTTGTTGTGACAATATTGGTTTCCTTTTAAACTACAGGATCGATTTTTTTCAATTTTCAGTGGTTAATTGAAGAGTGTTATGTTTGCTAAAACAATGCATATTATATTTTTGAAGTTTTCGAGCGATTAGAAAAATTACTATCTCAAATTTTTTGTTGGTAGATTTTTGGGAGCAGCTGGTAATCTAGCATTGTACGTTTATAGCAATGACACCAACATTTGTTTCTGCTTTTTTATATTAAGCATTTTATCGCATGTTTCATAATAAGGTTTTTATAATGTTGAAGACAACCAGTGTTCAAATTGTTATTTTTTTTTAATCTATTAACGATAAATAATGTTTGTACTCCATAAGTTTTGAATAATATTTTATCGATTTTTACAGTCCGAAACTGTCTAGCTCTAGATTTACAAGTATTATCGTCGCACTTATGACATAATTAATTCGTGGGCGCAATGGCGTTGAATTTACGGTTGTGGGCTTGGTGTAATAAATTGGGTAAGTAGTGCGCAATGGACGAATCTAGGCACTGCCGAACCGAAAGATTACGGTTCTTCCAAAAATACAAAGCCTTGTTCATAGTGGAAACATAGAAAAACGCGTGCGAAAATTTAAATTGTGCAAATTATATTTGTTAATAAGAGAATGTATCTTCGTATCTTCGACCAACATGACCATGAATCATGATTGAGTTTAAATGTGAGTGATGGAACGTGACAGTAATATGGCTTTTATTTCTTAATATTCGGCAAACGTGACATTTTTTTCTTTCTCGTCAACCATTCACTATGAACTAAATTGTCGATATACATCAAAATTGTCTTTTCAAATTGTTAACTCATTTTACCTTTTTGCAATGAACATATTGCTAATAATCATACATATTAATAATGAGATAGTTGTTGGGTTTTCCGCACTCGGCTTTATTTCTTATTGACAACATTTTCACACATTGTCGATGCTAATCATACTTGGTGGACATGGACATATTTAAATAGTCTTATATACAAGTTGTCTTATTTTTGAAAAATTATTGTTGTCAAGTGTTCAGCAAACTACCATCTTATTTTATATATACATAATTTTTGTCCATCGGTAACCTTTGTATTATGATTAAGAAACATCTTTCAAAATTAATGTTCAATATAGCAGAATTACAAATACGTGTTGTAAACCGGTATCAAACATATTTTGGGAATGGTTCTGATGACGCGGCTGAAAATATCTAAATTATGAGTTTTGACGCCTTAAAAGTTGCATTTCCGAAATGAATGACGTATTTGGCATTTTCTTGGTGTGTGAATGAATCACTTAAAATTCGGTAAATAAAATCGTTCACCTACGAAGCCTTGCATTGCAGCAAAGCCACTTTTTTATGGGGTGTCGCCGAAAATAACCAAATTTGAAAATTAAATCATTTATGTAAGAATATTTATCTCAGATTGAGAGATGGGGCTATACAGTCTCAGTGACTTAAACATATTTCATCATCGATGAGTGACGCCATCGCACTGAGAGCTGGACAATATTTTTCATCATAAATATGATCAATATTTTACAATTGATCACGACGCGTCAATTGGAATTAGACTACAATCGCTGACCGAAACTGAATTAGGATTATAAATTAGTGTTCTTTTCATGACGTCTCAAGCAATCTGTTCGAACTCGTGAGTGAAAGTAAATTTAATGGAAAAATTCCAATTTCCTTACTTCAAGACTGATAATTGTGAAAATTAGAGAAAAGCACTTTCAACACTTCTCAATCATTGGGAAGAAGTTGAAAAATATCGGAGATGATTTTGTCAAATGTTTTCAAATTCTTCTAATTTTGAAAAACGTTGCATTCCACGTAATCGCAAGCTATAGCTAAATAGCGCTTGTCTGCTCTGCTAATTAACTGAGTTGTTTAATTTCTAAACTTTACTTAATATATACATCTACGTTAGTTCATTTTGTGCACTATAATCTTGAGAATCAATCATTAATTAGAAACGTGCTGCAATATTTATGGTGGAATTCGGAAAACACCGTCGATGACACGCAGACTGCTATATATTCGTAGGCGATTAGAAATTTCCAGCGCATTATAAAAGAAATATAATACATTTAAAATTTTGTACATCACGTATTTAAGAATGAGTTCTATTCCAAGTGCCTTGTTTCAAATTAGGCATTTTCGATTATATGACAAACGATTATAAATTTATTGTTTTGAAGATGATTGTGCTGATATGCTGTGGTGCTGCGAAGCTCTTGGTTGCATGCGTTAGGTGTACTCGGGCGTCAGTTATGTAAAAGAAAATTAAGTAGAAATTGTTAGACGAGACAAACTTTCTATATGAATAAATTTTGTGGAATGTTTCTGCTCTTTGAAATACAATTCGATTACCTCAAATCTTTAGTTGATGTCAGGCAATTCACTATTCTTTTACAAGTAAACATCTACATTTTGTTATTAGAAAAACTTGGATTTCTAAGTCATATTGAAAAATATGGACAAAAATTTTTGAGTCCTGAAATTTCAAATTTTGTGGTAGTTTAAAAGTCACAAACATTAACTCAAACGTAAAAGATAATGGATTTTTAGTGCAGACTTGGTCGTTTGTGCAACTGTTGTTTACATTGAGATCAAATGAGAGAAGATTGAAAGTTGTAATATTTAATGAGCAACTAAGTCATTTATTTGTAATAATATATATGGTTTCAACACTTATATTAATTGTATTATCTTATGTTTAATACTATTATTCTATATTAAAGTTTGGACAATATAATATAGTCGTTTCAATTAGGGTTCTTTTCGATAAATAGTTGTTACTACTGGGCAAATCCATTACACAAACAAAAAAATCAAGTATTTGTTGCCAATTCTGGGGTAAAAATAGTATTTCATCATTTTACATTCAGAAGTTTGCTTTGCGAATAATTAGTACGTAGGTAAGCTACGGAATACGGAAGCATAGTGAAAACTGCTATTCTTGCAATGTACTGCACCCATTATCATATTATTTCATATGTCGTAAAGTTTTAGGTCGTGAAGAATGGAATCAATTTGACGTAATTTCATACAGAACAGGTTGTAAGTAAATTTTAAAAAGTATATTTTACTGTATATGATGTTTCACCAAAGCATTCGTAAATTGGGTGAAATTTTTTAGAGTAAAACAATTGTTAGGAACGACAGACTCAAGGACTTTGACATTTATGACAGGTAAAATCCATCAGGGTGCATAGTGAGTCGATGTTCACGGGTAGAGGGGATCGTAAACGCTCTCCAACTGAAGCGAGGCAGACGAAGTAACCAATCCAGCAACCAGTCTGATTACATCAATTTCGATGATTAGTAAGATAATTTTACAAGGCTCAACAAGCAGAAACATTCCAAAATTTTCCAAAATTGAGTCAATACGCGTCTATTTTATAACAAATACAAGTTGAATGCATGTGACTGCAATATCTAAAAATAAGCACTTATCCCCAAATAAATTGCGTCTAAGAATTGTCTCAAATCATGCAAATTGTTAGCTACGTTATAGTTAAATATGTTATTATAAATTTGCTGCCTTCTGTTTAAAAGGACACGACCATCGACTTAAACTTTGATAATCGTGACTTAATACGTTGATGATATTGACATTTATATATTTGATATTTTTTATGATATACTTACTCTTTAATATATCACAGCCCATAACGTGTTCTCCGTGTTTTCAGTTATACCGTAAAAAATATGGCTAGCTTAAAAATTAGCAGTTTCATTTCCACTGTAGCAGTTTCATCCGCGGTGTTATTTATTATCGTATTACTTCAAAATTGTAAAGTAGTACACTCATTCAACGTAGCGACTCACGAAAGCGGTCTCCGATTTTTTCTCTCATCAGTTGCTCGACCAAACGAAATTAACAAGATTCCGAGTCTACCTGAGGACGAACCTCCTACATTTTTCGGATATAATATACTTTTCCATCGAGCTCGGTTTGGTGGAGGTGTAAAGTGAGTCAGTTTTTATGTTCAAATTAGAAATTTTCCATATTGTTTGAGTTTTTTGTTTTACTTAATTGTTTGGAGAGTACATGCCACACGTGCTATCTTTCTGTCATTATCGCTCATGGCTTTGAGGGAAATGGGTAAATTGAGTCACCTCGTTCATCAACTTCAACTCACAAACCCATCTATGGCTGTGAAGCCAGATAAGATTGTTGTTATAATTTCGCCTGTGTTGCATACTCAATGAGGTTTCGATGACATGCCATATGGATCCATCGAATGTTATTGTACAGTACTGGACCTACTACTTTGGGAACCTTTGCGAAATTGATGTTGAGGTTGTTGCCATTAATATTTTTGCAACTATTGAACTAGTTTTCAGTACTTAAAGAAAAAAATGAAGTCGTTTAAAGGCTTTCATTTGTTATTTCTTAATTACAATACACCCAAAACTCATCTTTTTTAAATTTGTGCGAACATTGTTGTATGATCTTCACTCGTGCTCATATATTTGAGCTCTTACTTTCCCATCTACAACATTATACTGTAATTCCCTATTTATTTTTATTTACATTTTTTTTATTATAGATTTAACCGTTCTTGATATTTTTTTGGTACTTAAAAGTAGTCATTTAAAATAGTTTTTATATATATTTCACCCATGTAATCCGTTTTTTCTTCCTCATTTTTAGCTTGATTACCGGTTCACCCAAACGTATGAATCCAGCGAATCCTCGTTCGCAACATTTAGGACCAGAAAGATATAACTCTTCAAAAAGTATGTAACTGTTTAATATACTTCAAATGTTGAACATAATATATTTGAATTCTATAATCGCCCTATTATACAGTATTATGTCTGAGCTACGCTGTTTCTGAAAATTGATATAGTTTTCTGAGTCAGTTGTGAGTCAGTTAATTGTGTATTTCCTAGAATGATACAAACATGGCGTTGGTATAATGAACAGTATCTTCATAAATATTTTTCCCTTTTTCAAATAGGTCGTCAACAAGATGTTTCTTAAAAAATTTGACAGCCATGGATTACACGGCATGGTTACTTATGAATAGTAAAAATGCTAACACGTGTGATGTATTGTGTCTGTATCTATGTGAAATTAAGCTACAATTAATGGCTATAGTTTTAGTTATTAACGATTATCCTCTTTTGAACTCGTTATTGCTAAAATTTATTTATAATTCGTGTATTTGAATATAAATTTAGCTCCGCGACAATACATTTTTGACTTAAAATAAAATTCAGCAAAGGTTGATATGGGTTTGAATTGCGCAATATTTTACGATGGAGCCTCTTTTTGTAAAGCTTTTAAAAAATTGTTGCCAAATTTATTCGTAATATCATTTGAACAGTTTTGGCACAACTTGCAAATGATAATGACATGTTTAACAACTTATTATTCGATGGATATTAGAAAGTCACGTTCTAAATTTTTGAAATCAACAATCCATTTTCTTTAACTTAACAATGAAACATGTTTTCCATGAATTCTGTGTCCGAATTTAGCCGACTGTTTAATAAAATAGTGTATGAAAAGTTATAGAGTCTATATGGGAAGACAGAAATGTCCTTTTGAAATCTGTGATCTTTAAAAGGGTGTAAATGTTCCAACTTTTCAGCACAAGGAAGTATGAACGCATGTGTTATCCCGAGATCCGTTTTTGTCAGAGAAGATTCTCACAGGATGTGCCAGGAGTTACATCCGGAAAATACAGAACCCGGTGATGGGGTTGGCTTGTCATTTGCTATCAACAGACAAGGTCATACAGTGGTAAGTTGGCATGAAAATTGTCGTATTCCAAAAAAAGTTACACTAACAAATAATCTATTAAATAAAACGGATAAAATAAAACTGACCAAGGAGATTTTTTAATATACGCTAAACCAGTGTTTCCCAAACTTTTCAGAGTTGGGACCCACTATTTTATACCACAGCTTATGGCGACCCATTTAACTTTTTATGACATAACACAGAACACAGCAATGGCTGGCTAATCATCGCAAAACTACCGTGTTTCCTCGAAAATAAGACCTGGCCTGAAAATAAGACCTAGTTTGAATTTTGAAAATGATTTTAACTAAAATAAATTTAAAATGTGTGGGAGAGGAAAGGTTCAATGACCCGAGGAAAGGTGAAAATCACACCACTATTCAAGATTGTGTGATGTCACAACCACAATTATGATATTTGTCACTTGATTTTTGTATGTCACTTGATTTTTATATATATAATGTTTATTAAAAAATCTCGTGATTTTTTACAATGTAATTCTATTTTTGATAAATGAACACAAAAGACATCTTCCAAAAAAAAAAAACATAGTGTTATTCTTTAAAATAAAATAAATCTAAATCCTGTCTAAATTTTGGGGAAACACGGTAAGAAGTGCTGCACAAAACTGCTATGCGTAAAAAAGCCACATGGTCATTCTTTGTGTAGCAAATTTTTGTTTCTTTGAGAAGATCGTAAAAAGGAAACTTTCACAGATAAGAATTTAATTTCAATTTAATTTATTGTTTTTTTTTTGAAGGTTTACGTATTCGAGTACGTAACGTATTTAATAAATGAGAGATTTTTAGGTATTGTTTAATTTGCATTGAAATTTTGTTCATCCACTTGAAATTACTTATATTTATAGACTTGTCCGTATCCTCGACCGAAGGATTGCGATACCAGTCGCTACAATCCAGGTTTCTGCTTCTTAGGCTCAAGAGGCGGGAAACGATGGTCAGGAATACAACAGAACGTCAATTTTGGTAAAATCATTAGTAATTTTCTTTTTAGCTCTCACTTTATATTTTAACTGCTGCTCACAGGCCTATAGTTTTATATCGTCGAAATTTGTCTTTAGTGTGGCAAAATTAAAACAATCTTAATGGCAAACAGTAAAAATGGCAGTGTCCTTCGATACAATATTTTAATAAGATGCGCCGAAAATTTCCCAAATAAAATCATTGCCAATATCTACAATTTCATAATATTCGTTTTACACATAATTAAATACAATTTTAACACGTCATAAGTGAACTGGGAATTGAGATGGCAAGAGTGCCAAATTTTTTTGGAATGATTTGAAATATTGATATAGTTTCGTGCAATAAAACAGATTTTTACCAAAAATTAATTTCATCTTCAGATTGCCCTGTCAATGGACTTGATATTGTCTTTGTTCTTGATGGATCACAATCTATCGGCGGGGAGAACTTTGAAAAAGTGAAAGAATGGGTTTTGCAAGTCATTGAACGATTTAACATTGATACTGGTGCAAATAGAGTTGGTGTTATACAATACTCTCACTTTTATGAAGGATGGTACGCATGATTCATTAGTTCAATTATTCTTTTTCGCTTTCAAGCCTCAATACACAGTTAGTAGAAGGTTTTCAATCGCTTGCCCTGAGTGTAAGTAAAAACGCCAGAAGTTTTTTCTGATAACTTCAGTTATTTAGAATTTATTATATCATATACGCCTCATGATCGCATTGACCGAGCTGATTCAAGTCTCCGTTCAATTTGTATTCACTGATTCGAAAGTTCATCCCTATAAATCGTTATTGCGTCAGTAGCACTTGGCACCTCAATGTTTCTTTTTTTGTTTCTGAGTTAGAGTTCGCGTGAACTTGCTTTAGACAAACATTAACGGAAGAAGGTTAAATCGTGGTGGATATCAAATAGTAAAGTCTTCTATACGCGAATATTGTGCTCATTTTATTATGCATAGCTGACCGATTTCAAATTTTTGTATAATCATAGTATTCATGATGAACGTATTATATGAAATTGAATACTGGCAAATGCCAATTTATGAAATTACCGAATAAAGTTAATATTACGAATAAAGTATGCTGACTACATACGTTTAAAATTCCAATTATCCATTGTAAACTTTATTTCTCCGATAATTTGAAAATTGTAAAAAAAATAGTGTATCGAATTGAAATTTACATAGAACCAACTGAACGTTTTTCTGGATTTGTAACAAAGGCAATCGATCAAATTTTAATTGTCAGGTTGATTATTTTGTTACATCAAGAAGGTTTCGGAGTAAATGACTTTTCATTGAACTTATGGGATTTTTTGCAAATTAATTCTGACTGATTTTGACAAATAATCCTACATTGTATATATATATATTGTATATATATGTATATATATCATTAGTATTCTTAAACATGCATATTATCAGTTATATAAATTCACATTTACGAACGGCTTTGAAATAAAATCAAATATACCAACCATTATTCCGAGTACTATAACTCATTCTGTTTTTTAAGTGCATTTATTTTGATTCTTAGGGGACTGGACGATCAACCTTTCATTAAGACTGAAATTGCACTTGGAGAAGTTCGGAAATTTGAGCAATTACGAGTAAGATTCAATTGAAAGGCTCTTTACATAATACCTAATATAACTTTGAAAATCTGAATTACTGTTAGTTAAATTATTATCATTTTCACACAAGCTGACATACATCATTACACATAGATACTGTACTCACAATATTGAACTTGGATATCATATGCCACATTAAATTTTTTAAACTTTAGTTATTTAAAGTAACCTCAAATGCTATTATGTTCGTTGTTTTCTTGTACTCTTGGTAACAAAAAATTTGCTATGATATATCCACCAAATCGACGTTAAGCAAGTTTCATGATGTACCAAGGATCATCAACTAGCTATTCTTCTTTCATTCACAGCAACACCTAACTGAAGTTTCGTTACAAAACTATACAACGTATACAGCTCATGCTTTGAATAAGACAGTTATGGATTTCGAAGATTCTGGAAGACTTTTTGATCCTTCAACGAAACAAGTATTGATTCTTCTGACTGATGGAATGTGAGTACATATTAATAAAGGTTATTATCCATAACTGACAATATGCCAGTTTTCTAAAGGAATGTTTTTTGTTTGAAATCGATACTTGTACTGTTAAAATAAAAGTATATGAATAAAATGCAGTCTTACTAATCTTGTTTTCCTTCCTCAAGATCAACAGACAAGGAATATCTACCATATTCAGCAAAGTACGTTCGTTCATTTGGAATACAAACGTACGCAGTTGGTGTAGCAGATGCCGTACAAAGTGAACTGAGGGTAGGTCATCTAGTTTCTGCAGCTTTTATGTGGCATCGTATCCCTACATAAGAAAGGATTTGAGAGGCCCAAATACGAGGTCCTATTTATACACTATTTGAATCCATTCACGTTTATTCAATTCCAACGAGGTATGAGTTCAGTTTGTTCCTCCAGAAATACATTCCAGAAAAGTCGATGACGTGACTTCAAAACGAATATTGATCCATAACGCGGTATGTAGATTGATAAGGCCTGGTCTGTCCTGTTTCTTGTCAAGTTGATAATGTGAATATTACTAAGAATCTTAACTTTCATGTAACGCGATTTCTAAACTTGACTTGGGTCTAGCCTAACTTACAAACATGACTAAAACGTTGGTGCAGGCGATTTGTTCTGATTCTGGGATTTGGCCGGCCGGTGATCAAGTAAAACTTGCAAACTTGGTTATTACAGATGATATGAACTTTACAATGCAATTTAAACAGGCTAACGTAATAGTTACAAACTACCAAAGCCAATAAATAATGCGGCATTTTAACCAAGTCTTGATCATTTCGCGATTTAGTATATAGTGATTGTAAATATCTGGCAAGGCTCCCGTACATTTGAACCCACGTACATTTGAACCCACGACAATTGCACCTGCATACCAATGCACCTACTGAATTTTTTTTTTGTTTTGCGGATATTTGAATTCATACTAACAGTAACTCATGGGTTTTAGCACTCGCATATAGATTGAACCCGCGGATATACACATGGGTTCAAATGTACGGTCACCATCTGGCAAGTATGGGCCGTTGTTATAGTGTGCGCCTAATAGTCACTCTTGCACATTAGTGAAATAATATCAGTTCAGTATAAAGTAAAAAGTGATCACTGCAATGAACCTGGAATTACCAATAATATATTTTTGTTAAACAATGTCAGTCTTCTTCTCTGCTCTGAAATCACGGTTTGCTTTTTTCAGACCATTGCTACCGGTAACGTAATGAGCAACGAACGTGTATATCAAGTTGGAGATTTTAGCGATTTAGCTGATATTGTTGAACGATTGCAGGGAGACATCATTGAAAATGCGCTGGAAGGTAATTAATATTTTAGCATTCTTATACTTAATATATTATATATAACATAAGCAAACACAATAACGCTCAGTAAAATCTACTCTCTCGACCATGTCGACTCAATGACTAGGGTAAATTGGGGACATCCATCATTGCTTAGGTAATCGAATTGCCTAAATTGTATATAAATAAAACGAAACTTATATATATTTGTTTTGTTACAAAGCTACATGCTCAATCCTAACTTCATATATATGTCGGTTAGTTTCTCATTACAAATATCGATATATTGTAGAAGCAGACTTTTTGACACATACTTTAATATTTTGATTAGGATTTCACTCAAGAAGCGACTCCAACAAACTGTCAATGGCCCAGTCTGGATTTTCATCAACTTATGGAAAACGAATGGTAATATAACAATTTCTTACATACATATGTAATTGGGTATGTGTAAAAATGTTTGATCATCAAATTATCTCGAGATATGGTGTTGTGCTGATGTGTGCATATGTGTTTGTGTGTTTAACCGATAGTGCGATGGCGGTTGCGGAATACTTTCACTCTATTCATTATCATGACTAGTTAACGCCTGGTAAGCGTGTAAATAATCGAAAATGATGTGAACGTCTTATGGAAAAAAATATAAGATCTTCAATGGAAGTTGGTTAGTATTATCGAAAGATTGGAATAGGTGACACATTGATTGAGAATTGGAAGGCTGACTGTTAACTGAAGACGTCAGTGCTTGCACAAGGTATCACGAGGTGAGTTATATTTTAAATCTTGGAAATCAATTTACTGTATATGGGACTCTTGTGGGATAATAATTGTAGAACACTCAAAGGTGCGTTTGATTAGAAAAGGACCTGACTTCCACAAAAAGCACAAAACACATTTTCTATAGTGTAGATACAGAAATTATTATATATATTGTTATAACTCATTTATTCAGAATTAAAGGTAATAATACTCCTAATAAAAAGTCAAGTGAAATGGCTATGCCAGGATTTCTTCATTTATCTGCTGCATATTATACTTCCATATATACCATGTTTCATATCAAAAAGGACGCATTTTTTATTTGACTAATGTGCGGAAAATTGACAAAGTTATAGTTAAGAGAGCTCGAATACATTATATTCAATTAACATATGGCATGATATGACAGTGAGTTTCACAAATAATTCGACTAAAGCATGCTATACGCCACGTTTAAAGAGAAAGTTTCGCGGCAATCAATATAACAAGAATGAGGGCGGCAGCCATAACGACAAGCATAGCAGGCGATTCAACCTCTTTTGATGTTGACTCAATTTTGATTGACGTTCCATTATTTGAGTTTTCTTCACTAGGTTAACACATATTCTTTTCTTTAAATGGTTCATACTTTGGAATCACGATGTCTTGCATGTAACCCTGTTAAGAACAAACATTCAGGTGTATGCTTCTAGGGTAGGAAGCTGGATATTATTCTGTCATAATATATTTATGATAAAACAGGTAACTTGGTCTATTTCTAAGACCAGTACACCTGGAAACGATCTCAATTCTGCATTATATCACTATCACTTCCAGACGTCGAATTGTATTAATGTAGATCAGGGGTGACGAACCCAGCATTTGCTGCCATTTTATCAGTCACTGTTGAGTAAGCGGGTCGCACAACTTTTTAGTCATACAGTTGTTTGTTTCCTTCACAAAAACAAACAATTGTATCCATAAGGATGAAGGTATTTATTGATATATTGCAGCATAAAATAAAATAAAAAGAAACCTTCAATGAATATTTTGCTCAGTGACATTTTTGGAAAGTTATTTGCCTTACGAAGCGCTTTATATTAGGATGAACTGCATACTAAGATTTCAGTCTGTCAATCTTGATCTGTATCGATCAAGTTGGGTTGCTAGCGGCGCTATTACACTCGGCCGCAAGCTTCGCTCGGCTCGGGTGTTCAAGATCAGAATTTCCGTTCGAATCCGCAGCATTTTTTATTCGAAATTTTTTGATCGACTACCTGAGTATCACTATACAATCAATGAAATAAATTTGCTATTTGCTATTTTATAGCAGATCTACGAATTTCTCTAACGTTGATATCTTGAAAATGACCTTGGAAAATAACCTTTACACTTAATGGCCAGAATGCTTCGCGGGCCGCACGAAATTCTCTGGCGGGCCGCAGGTTCGTCACCTCTGATGTAGAACGTTCAATGAACGTTTCATTAAAAACAAACAGTCAAAATCTTGCCGTAGTCATTACCATATTTCTATGATTTTCAAATATTCAAAAAGTAAATATTATATACCAATAACAGTTTCTGCCTGTATGTGCTAAATGGTCTCCTTTTCGATTCAGCCATGTACTTCTCCGCAAATTTTCTTTTCTCATCGGTCCATTCAACCTTAAAATAGAAATTTTATTTACCTAACATATATATATTAGAAATATACTACCTCAACATTGACAGTTATAAATTTAACTTTGCGTAGATTATATTTTTGATTTACACCAACTAAGCCATTTGGCATAGGACTTACTTTGTTTAAGACCATTGTAGCCAAAACATCCATAACTTCTACCGGTCTCCCTTGTGCTTCCTTTGCAATACGGTCACCTTCCTCTTCAGTTACGAACTCTCCAAGTCCCCAAACTAGACTGACAAAGGATTCCTCGGTTTCTGAATATTATTGTGTATTATAGTTCAAATCCCTTCGTGGTGCAAGTACGCTCTTTTCAAGTTGGTGGGTTAGTATTTAAAATACAGAAACGTAACCACTGCAAGTCGCATTCTACTAGATTAGAATAATATTTTACAACGTGACGATGCGAAATCTTGGGTAGTTGATGCAATTTATTCTGGGAAATAAACTAAACTAAAGGTGTAGGAATTAAATTAGACCGATAATTTATATTCAATGTTCATACGCTTGTAAACATGCTTGTCGTGAGGGAAAGGATTTTAGATTTAAAAGCGAAGAACATAAATAATACATACAATATACAATATATATGTATCATCAATATACAGGGTGATCAGACCAAGTGTATAGACAAATATTAATTTCGAAAAGAACAACAACAACAGTGTTTGAATCGGGAAAGTCTCCAAGTCAAATTTGCAAGATTTGAAGGGTAGAGCAAGCAGATCTCGCGTATAAAAACCAGTGGTCTGGGTCGGGGTAACCACAACTGCAGAGAAGACGCCTATCTTCTTCACTGTAGAGAGGGTAAAGATGAATCAATACGTGTATCTGGAGTTATTGAAGGAAAAGTTGATGCCCTGGGTGAACAAATTGTTTGGGGAAAGTGAAATTACCACTCAGCACGATCGTGTCACATCTCACACAGCTAATCGTATCCAAGAATGATGTAGGGGAAATATCACTGAGTTATAGCTGAAGGAAATATGGTCTTTTTTCTCTCCTGTGATTCTTCTGAACCTCGTGGACTTCGCCATCGAGTTTTTTGGAGAGTAAAGCCTGTTCTTCCAACCCCACGAGTGTCAAGGCTTCGAAGCGTAGATTGTTGACTTATTTGGGATGGAATTTCAGAAAACACACACACATGCTTCGTGCACTCAAGTTCCGAACAGATTGAGGCGTGTAGTGAAGGCAAAGGGAAGATATATATATCGAAAAACAACAATGAATTCTATTTTTTATCTTTATAATGTTATTTTCTGCTAAATAACTTTTTTCTTTTTTTAGCTATATATTGTAGATATTTTAATAAATGTTTGTCTATAATTGGTCTGATCACCATGTATATAATCGTCGGTAAACGTAAAAATTAACTCATCTCACCCATAACTGGAACACGAGAATCGCAGAAATCAAGTTTTAGTGCAGGGTAATGGAACACGAATGCTGTACACATTTCGTTTCTTGTTCCCAAGCCGCCCTGAAAAGAAATAGCAAATAGAAAATAATGCAAAATATATCATTTTATATTATTTCATACTCCCCAAAAATACTGATCACATTGGTTGTTGGCTTACTGGCCAACTAAATTTTATTTGCCGTGCTTGGTGCTTTATTTAAGCAATAAAATTTTATTTCAAGTCAATAGCTAAATTTTTATGCTTTGTCTCAGCTGGAAAGTTTAACTGTAGTCGTATGTTTCAAATTCCCCAGAGTCTAGGTCTGAATTTCTGGCATACAATTGTGGCAAAAGAAGCTAAAATGTTTACAGAAACTCGCAGTCCGAGTCAAATTTTTCATATCCGGAGTCACAGTCAGAACTTCATTTACCGGGTTCCGGAGTTGAAGGGGGGGGGGGGGGGATATTTTTTTTCGGATCCATTCCTCGCCCAGAACAATATCAAACGTTCAGAATAAATCTTTAAACTGCATTAAAATCAATTGACTTTTCTGGTATGTTTCAAACTACAGCAAATATCTGTTCGATTATAGGCAATATATATTATGCAATTAATTGAATTTTTTAAAACCTATTATTAATATCAAAATATCACTTTAGCAAGTTTTTGATTCATAAATAACAAACCGTGGTAATAATGGTTTTTCCGATCGTGTCGTAGTCGCACTGCATTATGAAAGAATCGTTTTTACGTATCTTCACATCCGTGAATTGAGATTCTTGATAATCAAAGTCGTAATGATCATCTTTTGAATAGGCTCCAATTCCTTTTGGTCTCTGCAAGTTTAGAATCACTTGTAAAATAGGAGTTCAGTATGGATAAAATTTAGTATACATATGTTATGTTTTTACGGCTTCACTTATTATTTCAACTTATACTTCTAAGGCATGATACCTGAAATGTCTCAACTTCATAGATTTTGATGCAAGGTGGCCGTGTAGTGCTACAGAAAACACTGACGTTTCTTCAAAGTCTGTATCATCGAATTTCTGTGTAAAAGTATTAAAAGAGAAGCAATTTCAATATCCGTAACAATCTATACATATTTCAAATTACCAAATAATTCGTATCGACCAACGTGTCAATTTTTAATTCATACATAATTCGATTCAATACATAACGGTTTAGCATTTGAAGGTTTGAAGCATATTAAAAATTCCATGTATATATATATATATATAATATTTTTTGGATTAATGTTATTATTAGATTTAAAACTGCTCAGTACTGTCACAATATAATCCGTGTGAAACCTATGAAAAGCATTCGTTAGAACAATGACCGTTGATTCCGAATCGCCCTGGATCGATTGAGATATTGTAATTATTCCAGCATCATATTTTCGAAGGTTTTCTGTGTAGTAAAAGCGAACTCCCGAACCCGAACTGTCGATAATATCTGAAACAACCAAGCATATTTTGAATTAAGTTTAATGCTGCTTCATCAAATGTAATCGCTGTGTACAGTGTGCACGATGATATAATATCCTGATTCCAAATAATATAAATGTATAAATGAATTTCCTCACGTTAACCTACTCAGATATGAATATACGCCACAATATTCAAGGTTTTTAATGTAACTTTGAGTTGGGTTGCGCAAAACTAACTCCATATCCGTCTTCAATGCCTTTATGCTTTTTAATGTAATGTTAATACTTTTGATTTGCCCGATTCTTCCTTACCAGGCTCCAAATCCGGATTATCATCATGGGTTTCTAGCAAAACGTATTTTGGCCCATCTTTTCCCCGATCGGATATCCGGCCTCGATTGGAAAACGAACATTAGACATTCCTACAGCCCAAACAACGAACATTTTTGAACAGCCCGCCCGGAATGGATTCATTTCTGCGAAGCATTTCAGATCTTTTCCAAGCTGCGAACGAACCTGGAAGTCGGAATAAAAAATATTTAGATATTATCTAGTTATGAGAAGTGTTTTTTTGAAATGTGCATGTGTTAAAAGGTAGAAAATCTTTGAAAATTTGATGAATTATTTTATTTTTCTAACGCAGTTTGTAGCTATTGAAATAACCTAACATTTATTAAGTTGAGCATAGCAAAAACTAGCGGAGCAGCATCATTTTCTTTGCAATTTTCTTTATGCTTTCGAAATCGCCCATTGGATTCACTTATTTTTCGTTGAATGATGATCACCATTTTACGGGATACATGGTGATATCTGCGATCTACCGTAATTACGCCACAGACCGCAGCACATAAGCTCAACTACAAAATAAATATTTAATTCGCGTCAAATTTTAGTGTAGCTTTTTTAATTTTCTTTCGGCAACTCCTGTAAAATCTATACAAGTAAGCTAAAAAAGTAAATAAATGTAAGATGATACTTGGAATTAACGATATCCGGTTTATCCGTATCAGTGAAATTTGGCTTTTTTTTCATTCGCAAGTCTTACCTGCTGTTCTACCAAGATACTTTACTGAAAAAAGAAAAATACAAACCCTCAAGTCTTCACATAAAAATACGATCAAATGATGAACCTTCTTTTCGTTCCCCGGAAAATAGACGAATATAAATTTAGACTAGTATATATATATATATATTCAAAAATGGGACCTCCAGAAGTATGCGCACCAAGATGGCGCACAACCTGAACAAAGTATGTGTGTACCGGTTAGAATTCAGGTTGTGCGACATCTTGGCGAGCATACTTTTGGAGCACCCAAAAATGACGTATCCGAGTTGTATTTCACTGGATAGCGTTTTGTTCCAATGATAACAACTTCTGATGTGTCATGATAATGTTGGCTACTCAATCATTGAATACGTATGTAAAGTTACAGTTATTCAATTTAGACTCCAAAATAAGGTTTACGACTGCCATTTCCAAAGTATTTCTTCTTACCCCAATTACATGATGAACTTCCGGTTCCTCTGGTAATTTGAATAATTTGCATAGATAGAATGTATCAAGATTCGGAATTCGAAAATTTGTTGATCGAATATCAAACTGCTTGCATTCCTCCTCGGCAATGTCTGTTTGGAATCAGCAATATAAGTCAGGTTATCATGGCAATTTGCGAGCACTGCGATGCATTGGTGAACGTTATGAATTTCGTCTCAAGTTTAGGAAGATTATTTGATAGTTGACGGTTTTCTCTAATAAATAAACGAGAATATCGGTCAGAGACCGAAGACTTATCGATCGAAAGTTAGGGGATCCCCCAAAACAGAAACTGCGGTTTCGATTCGAAAAATTCTGCAAACCCGAACTGGATTGTTTTGATTAGTTTTCAGCCAATATCAGAAATGTAGGAAACAATAGCCAACTCCCCATGTCGTCGAAATACTACTCGAGGAAATACTTTTATGAAGAATTCTGCAAATCCGAACTGGATTGTTTCGATTAGTTTCCAGCCAATAGCCTATTTCTGTATTTACCAATCCTATAGTTTGTGTCAAATACAATGGCGCTAACCCAGGTTGCGACGGCTATTCAAACACAGCCTAGCGATATTTTGGTGAGGAATTCTGCAACCCCGAACCTGATTTAGGGATATGGACATTGCTTAAACTTTAAGGAGTAATTATAAGTAACGATATACGATCTCGCGGCGTGTATCCTTCGCTCTGACTCAATAGTGTGGGAAATTTCTCGAAGGAAACTTGCGCATCGCGACGACGTCAAAGTTACAAGAGAGATATGGACAAGGCTCAAAGATTAATCACGAGATACGATCTAGCGGTGTGTATCCTTCGCTCTGACTCACTAGCGTGAAAACTTGCGCATCTGATACGCACACACACATTCAGCGCGTCTCGAAAATCTCTCGATTTGTGAAAATCCAGATCTCTTCATCATTAATTAATTAATAACCCCCTAATTATACGACATAATTCATCCAAAATCAATAGGCTTCTGGTCCGAGATATGATGAATGCACATGCAAAATTTGGAGCAGATTCAACCACGCCTTCGTGAGATATCGCGTGCATCTAACAGACACACAGACATACAGACAGACATACATACAGACAAATACCTATCAATATACTTACCGATCTTAAGATCGATAAGTAATTATCAATATTTTTCCGGGAAATAGTACTGGTTTGATTTAGAAAATTTTCACCCAAATATGTAATGAACTGGCTATACGGTGCAATATCAAATACGATAAAGCAGTGCTCAAATCTATATATATGTACGTATCAGTGAATATTCGATGTCGATACGACAAGGCCTTAGTTCCGCCGTACAAGCGTACGTCAGGTGGGAAGAGTGCTAAAGCATTTATCATTAATTAAGGTAAAACAGCAAAATTTTGCGGAAAACCGAAATAGTCAATCCATAGGTCTCTTTGAACATTTTGAAAATGTGGGAAAGTGATGGTCGCTTTTTAGAGACTCTTCCTATTTTAAGGTACAGGAAATTTGAAATCGTTCTGTCCATTATTTGCGGAGTAGAGCGATTATTATCGACAACAAACCAGTCACCTCAACAACGAGGGAACAGCAACATTTTAGAGTAAAGCTTATGCAAAATATCCATAAATCCAGTACGTGGCCAAATTTACATTTTGGATGACAAGATCAAAGAGAAATGAACTTATTCGTGTCGACAAAATGACCAAGTATAGAAGAGAAAAATCCATGTATAAAACTATACCTTTATTACCAATCTGTATAACAGCATTAATCAGTTTCAAACTTTTTGCCCCTGAAATTACATAAAGAATATAAACTAAATAATATAGTTATATACTGGTATCTGTTTCAATAATAGGAGTATTGAACGTCGTTGCTGAGCTAGTTTCTAATCCAGTTCAAAACGATGAAGCAATGGGGTTCGGGCTGATGTGTTGATTATTCTATACGTGGGATAATTTATTGGGAGTTTCAAAAAAGCAAGTATTGCACTAACCTCTGTTTCTCATATGATAATTAGACTGGCCTGGCTGCATTCTAACAATATCGTTTCCACCATACGCCCAAATTACTCGATAAGTTCCTTCCTGAAAGAGTGAATTATATTTAGAAAAGATGATTTTATAACCTTCTCAACTGCTCCGTGGCTTTTGTAAAATAGACAGGCAATTTATGCCGTGGTTATGACAATGGAAATCTTTCCAATTTGTCATATTCTATCAATTTGATCATACCCAGGTTGTGTTTGACTTAGAACACATCGCTAGACTGAAAATTTCGAACCGGATCAATTTGATCATACCCAGGTTGTGTTTGACTTAGAAAACACATCGCTAGACTGAAAATTTCGAACCGGCCCAACGCTAGAAATAGTAGATAAATAGAAAAATCTATTGAGCGGCTTTAGAAATTGAAAAATTCTTTGTCATTATTGACGTAAACAGAAATTAGTTGAAAAACGTAGCTACAAATATAAATGATGCTATTTTTGTTTAAATCAGCGACGCATGCCTCATTTTTGAGGTTACAGATTTTTGACTTATAAATTAAAACTATACACGTTTTGACTGTGTCTAACTGAAAGTACTTTACATACACATATGTTCTTGTCATCATTATCACACGTGACTCGTTTCCTGATAACGGTTGCCATGGTGTGTGTTCCATTCTCCCAACTTTCAAGCAATTTAACATCCTGCTGTTCGTCAACATCAGGTATGCCATTTTTATCCGAGTGACAGTTCTATTATGTAAGATTAATTATAGTTAAAATCAGGTAACCTAATCTAGTTTTATAGTTTAATGTTTCGTTAACACATAACAAACATACCACCAAGACATAAATGCCTTACCAATACGTAGGTTTCGCTGTTCAACTTTCCTGCGATAATTAAATCCGGACATAGAAGATGTCTGCGAGAAACCTATTTCTATCCAACCCGTTGTAGGAGCAATAAACTGAAACCATAAAAAAGCAAGAAAATTGAATAAAAAGAAGGAAAGCACAAAAAGGAATAACGAAATGCGGTATCACGAAAGAGACAATCAAGAGATTCAGCGAAAATCCGTAAGAATGAGAAAACTCACTTGCAATGATATATTCTCCTCGTCAAAATTCCATTTTAGTTGCACAGTTTCTTCTGCATCAAGCCAAACACTATAAGGAAAATTTTCATCGATCACACCAAGATGCACTTCATCTATAATTGCTTTCGATACGGGGATGGTTGGTGGCGTAGTAGCGGGCGTGGTTGCTGTCAAACGTGACGCGTTTTTACCATCCGTTTCTGGTTTTATTCCAAGAGTGTTCAATAATCGACAACCTAAAAAAAAATAGATAAAAATAATGTTACAGTGATTTACAGTCATGTTAATGTTACAGTCATCTTAATTATTATTTTTAGATAATTTCGACTTAGGAGGCTCAATTATTATATACGTTTAGTGTTGAAGTGCGTGTAATATTGGATTGCGAATACATTTGTATTCTTACGTATATTTAAAGTAATAATTTACCTCTTTTTAATTCCCTCTGCTAATTATTTTAAATTTAATAAAATTAAAACAATGGAGCATTAATATTAAAAAATAATTTCAAGTTCGGTTTTCAGTGATTAAATCAAAAATGAATTTTTTAACGACGGAAAATGATATACCTCTGTTCGTCCAATGATAATCTTCACATAATATTTCTTCTGTTTTGTCTTTATCACCAAAAGCCCAAAGAAAGTTATTGTCTCCTTTCTAAAATAGATTTTGAATTATTTTGTTTAAGAACATAACATGCTTCATTGGTACTATGAATAAAAAGAAAAAAGAACCTTTTTTGTTTAACATAGTGTGAAGTTTCCATTTTTAACTTTTTACATATAGTTTCGTAAATAACAAAATGCATTTACATTTTCGTATTCAGTTAAGTTATAAATATAAATTGAACTCAAACTTAATTTGATATTCCTATATGTGTGGATGTGAACAGAAAAACATTTTACAAATATATCGTTGTCTTTTGTTGTTTCTTTAGATTTGAGTGGTCGTTTAATTTTCATGTAGGTTATTCCATTTTCAGCGCTGTCAAGTATTGTCACATCTTGATTGAAATCTATTCGCACCATTCCCGTCATTTCAGAGTATGCATCCTGTGAGAGTGAACATTTAAACTATTTTAATATATGCATACTTAAAAATTGTATTAATAAACACATATGTTTTTAGAAATGAAGCAATACCCAAGATTTTTCAAGATACTTCATTTTCTGATCAATGTAACTCATGTAACAAATGAAAGACGTTCTTCGCTGGCTCTCGTATTAAATAAAGGAAATTCCAATAGCGAAAACGGGTTTAAATTACTATTCTAGATTGATACTGTTTCGAGCACGATTTAAAAAAATAAAGCACTTATTGGCGTTAAAATGTCATTAATCCATGTTCTTACCCAGGCGTACGGTTTTTCATCCTTTATGCCCATTATGATGAGATCTGCTTTTTGCATCGTTTTTGTCTCTGAAAATCCAATTCCGACCCATCCCAAAGTTGGCGCGGATACCTTGAAAAATAACAATTATGAATCTTCTATCTGTGATGTGGGATTTATAATTTATTGTAAGAGTAACAACTATGACTTCATTCCAAAGGGGTTGTAGTGTGAAAATGACCAAATCCGTGCGAAGACATAAAGTATTCTACATTTTGTAATTTAATTACATAATACAAAAAAATATGTTTTTGGATCAGATTAAATCTTGCATATATTGCCAAAACATTATATAAATAATATAATATTACATTATATAATAATATAATAGTAATATAGGTAAAAATATGTCAGATTAGTATCAACTAATGGAGCGCCGCCCTATATTTATTCCCTTTTAAATTGTGCTTCATCTTAGATAATTGCAGATATTCAAAATTTACAAGATTCATTAGGGCACTGTAACAAACATGTTTAAATTTAAAATGTATGATAAGGCAAAGACTGCCATTGCCATTGCCAACGTAGACTACGTTGACAGCGTAATGTAACATTAGTACTTGTAAACGCTGGATAGCTTAGTGCAAATCAAAAATTTCTCTATTTGACGAATGAAGAAAAGTCAACTAGTGTACACATACTTATCGCGTATTAATCGAAACTTAAAACACGATAAACAATATTATATTACTTGTCGAATGTGATATGTGATAGCTTCCTAGGAACTGCTTTCAGATGGCTTATGACACATTCTCTCGCGATATTCATTCGATGCGACTTATCAAACGTTAAACCAAGGCCCTGTCGCATGGCGTCGAGCAAATGAGAAGTTTCGGCACACAACCCACACTTGGTATACATTATGGCGGAATATATTTGATACGCTGACCGCTGCATATGTATTTTTTTTAGTTCAATAAGGTTTTCTCTTGAAACTAATGGTCATCCCACTTTGATTTTGGAAAATCGGATTAAATTGAAAGTTATAATTTTCCCCAATTTGCTGTAGTTTTATGCAATCAATAAATATAAGAAAAAAAAACATTATATAATTTTTTGCTGAAATTTAAAAACAAAAATTTCTTATGTACGTACAAAGGTTATGAATTTTGTTGTTATTTGATACGTATATTAATTAACATTGCCGCAGGCTTGTTAGCGCAAAAACAAGGTCACTTTGAATATGGCAACTTTGCGTTGCAACCATGCAGTTTCGAACTAAATATGAGCAACCTTGTCGATGGATCAGCTCCATTGAATGAACAACTTCTCAACAGCGTTTTGTTTTTAAACTTTGAAGACAACGTTCAGAACAAAACGGTTAAAATAACCGTTTTTTTTCTAAATAAAATAATGAATCATCCTGGATAAATCCAATTATCATTGTTTGCTATTGTCATAGCGTGATGTTATCTCAAGAAAACGATGTTGAAACGACCTCATCTAATATACATAACTGAATTTGTTTAGTACAAAATCTGTTTTATTTTCGTCCTAATTATTACCTCCGTCTACTTACACAGCAGAGAATAAAAATACGAGTATCAGAGATTGTTTTACCTGTGAACAATTTATCTCGCTGTTATTAATCTCACTTGGCTATACGATGTCCATATTTAATTGCTTCTAGACAAAAATGCACCAGACAATACAATTACTTCAGGTGCGTGAAAAAGGATTAGATCGAAGTTAAATGAAGAGATAATTATCGGAAACGCTCATTTTAACGCGAACGGAATTGGAAGGTGCGATATATTGAATGGAGAGTTTAATCGCGTTTACTCAGATTGGATTTTTCAAGTAATTATATATTCACAACCAATAAAATTGCTTCATTTTCAGTTTATTTAAGATTCCCAATTCAGTATATCAGATGGGATATAATTAAGTACAATAATAAGAGATTATTGATTGTATATTTTTTTTATAAAAAATTCCAGGTTATTTCAAAAATTGTAATTCGTATCATTGACTTTCTTGTAGGTCGTTGTTCGGGGTAAAAGCGTGTGATATGCCCAATGAAAACATGTTTCAGTCAATATTGTTCCATCAAAATTAACCAGGGCTGCCACCTTTGTCTGAATATAAACATCTAGTTTGACATAAAAAATACTTCTAAAAATATCTAGATTGGAAAACAAGACATCTAAAAACACATCTAAATATGAAGTTGCTAAATTTAATGAAAATAAACAAAACAATAGAGTACAATTAATTCATTATATCACATCATAGTAGATTTCGAAGATTATTTGAAGTTGATGTTGTTGCTACAGAGGGATTTTGATGACTTTCTGCTGTACATATTTTTTTGAAACCGAAATATGTTTCTTATATGATGTGTAGCATTGACGCAGTAACATTACTGGCTTACATTGGTGTTACCGACCGATATAATGTTTTTTAGAATGGCTATGTTTTATGTAAGCTGACAGAATGTATGTCGTATGTTGCTGACAGAAAACAAAGACACGCTATTTGAAACAGTCAAATTTGCAGGTAGTCTCTGTTTCAGCTGCTTTATGTGAGATACTGAAGATAAAAAAACAAACTTTGGCATATACTGTGACGTAATGTGATTACTCAAATGATGAGTAGCGCGACAACTCTTAATTGTTGCGGCGCAATGCATCTCATCTATTCATTCGTCTGGCTCACCAGTCGATATACAGTTGTGTTAACTTGTAGACGTTTGTTTATGATCGCTGTTTTGTTGTATTGTTTAAGTTGTGCCGCTGTTCTCAATAAACGGAGTTCAGTTGTATACGAGTTTCTATTCTGAGCAGATAGCAATTAAGAAACGAAACATATACCTATATACACAATATTATATATACAGTTATATTGCTCGTTCTAGTTTTGTGATAAAATTTCCCTGGATTTCGTATCAGGCATATGATTCTAAATGCTATTCGTTTAACAATTATACACACCGCTTTTTTATTTTCCACTTGGTAACATTTAGAACGTTGAAAAAAAATCTAGATTTTATAGCTAACATCTAGATTCCAAATGTTACATCTTGATCTTGAACTAAACATCTAGATTTAGATATAAAACATCCGAAGTGGAAGCCATGCAATCAACCAAACTCGGAGCCGGAACGCAATGGTTCAATAATTTAGTTTATGGAAAAATAAACAGAACTTGGAAAAGAAAAGAAAAAGTGTGTTAGGACAGATTTGCATCACCTCAATTTTACCGCTCTCTCGCTTGGTTACTTTGAAACCCGCTATGATGTGTAATTAGTAAATAGTACTTGACCTTATAGCTCCACATTCACTAAATCCCCACTCCTTATGAACAAAAAAGCTGCTGTAACCACCTTGATCCACGGGAGCCAGAGCTCCGAGAACAACGAGTCGCATGTGGCCCCGGAACCCCAGGTTGCTGATTGGTGCTGAATTGTAATTGCCACCCATTCACTTTTTTGCTGTAATATTCATTCGGACCAAATCGTCTTCAAGCTATAACAAACGTGAACGCACCATAACATATTTATTACGCGTCTGAAACAAAACAAAACAAAACAGATTCAATTATTGCAATTTTACCATTCGAACGTAACTATTGGAAAACCATGGCACTTTCTCGTTCAGAAAATTCTAAACGTTTTTAACTTTCATCGTGTCATGGCCGCATATATCTACTACTATGTATACACCTACCCAGATTAATATGAATAGGGCAGCGATCTCAGTTGAAAATATTATGAGAACTAGAAGTCTTCCATCCCATAAAGGAAAGAAAATTCTATTTATTTGACAATTCATTTTATTTCCTCCTTCAGGACAAGCTATATCAGTATAAATATTTTTATAAATTAGACCAGGGGTGGGCAACCTACGGCCCGAGGCCAAGTGTATTTCGCCAAGGCAGGTCAGCCCTGGTCATCCTGGTATTCGGTTATTTTCGCTATAGCAAACAATAGTTTCTAGGTTGAAGTGAACGTCAATTATGTTTCTACCTGGGAGAGTGCTCTTGCATCGACATAAACGGCGAAATTTGCAAACCAACTGGATTTAATAGAAGAATACAGCAAGGATGCCCTCTAAGTATGTTGTTGTACACAATCTACGCGGAGCCCATAACTTGATCAGTGCAATACAGCACCCATATACAAGGATTAGGGCTAGGAATATACTATCATAAACGAGACCAATTCGCAGACGATTCCACATATACAGTTAGAAACCTGAGCTCAATCCAGCAGGTATTCGACGAACTCCAAAATTATAAAAAAGCAACAGGACAAAAAGAAAAAAAAATATCGAAAAAACTCAAATACTTTGTCTTGCAAACAAAGAAAAAGAACTGCTATTATCCCCTTTCAAAGCATATCAGAGGGAAATAGTTGAAATCCTAAGAATATATTATGGCCACGGTCGAGATACTAAAACATGGTATGAAATGACACCAAGAAGCTATATATTCTATCGGATCAAAAATGAAGAAAATCAATAAATATTATACAACAGCAGAACACCAAATCATACCAAAAATGTGGCAAAAATATTTGAAACCACTAAAACAAATAACTAACTCTCGTGTAACCTGATTTCTAAACTTGATTTGGAGTCCAGCCTAACTTACAAACATGATTAACACAAGTAATTCGCTCTAAGGATGTAGACAGCGTGTGCCACCGAAGCCGGAACATATCGCTATTTTACGCAAAAACGTTGGTGCAGGCGATTTGTTCCGATTCTGGGATATTCGTTACTACCAAAGTCAATAAATAATGCGTCATTAGATAATAATTAGTATTATTTCAGTAATTGGGTATGCGTAAAAATGTTTGATTATTAAATTACGTCGAGGTATGTGTTGTGCGTATGTGTGCATATTGTGCGTGTGTGTTTTACCGATAGTGCAATGGCAGTTGCGGAATACTTTCCCTCTATTCATTATCATGACTAGTTAACGCCTGGTAAACGTGTAATCAATAGAAAATGATATGAACTTCCTATGGCAAAAAAATCAAGATCTTCATGGGAATGGTTAGTATTATCGAAAGATTGGAATAGGGGACACATTGATTGAGAATTGAAAGGCTGACTGTGAAGTGAAGACGTCAGTGTCTGCACAAGGCATCACGAGGTGAGTTATATTTAAAATCTGGGGAATCAATTTACTGTATATCAGATTTTTGTGGGATACTAATTATAGAACACTGAGAGTTGTATTTGATTACAAAAGGACCTGGCCCTCATAAAAACTACAAAACACATTTTCTATGGTGTATGTACAGAAATTCTTATATATATATATATATTGTTATAACTCCTTTATTCAGAATTAAAGACAATAATAATCGTAATAAAAAAGCGAGTGGAATGACTATGTCCGGATTTCTTCATTTCATATCAAAAAAGGGACGCGATTTTTATTTCATTATTGTGCGGGAAATTGACAAGGTTATAGTCAAGAGAGCTTGAATACATTATATTCCATTAACATATGACATGATATGCCAGTGAGTTTCACAAATAATTCGACTAAAGCATGCTATACGCCACGTTTAAAGAGAAAGTTTCGCGGCAATTAATATAACAAGAATAAGAGCGGCAGCCATAACGACAAGCATAGCAGGCGAATCAACCTCTTCTGATGTTGACTCAATTTTAATTGATGTTCCAGTATTTGAGTCTTCTTCCCTGAGTGAACACACATTCTTCTCTTTAAATGGTTCATACTTTGGAACCACGATGTCTTGCATGTAACCCTGTAAAAAACAAACATTTCGATGTATGCTTTTAAGGTAGGAAGTTGGATATTATCCCGTCATAATATATTTGTGATAAAACAGGTGAACTTAGTCTAATTCTAAGATCAGTACACCTGAAAACTGACTGAATTCTGCATTATATCACTATCACTTCCAGGCGTCAAATTTGGGTTCATATATATATATATAATTCGATAAAAGTTTTGAATGTCAAAATCTTGCCGTAGTCATTATCATATTTCTATAGAGATTTTCAAATATATATTCCAAACGTAAATATTATACCAGTAACAGTTTCTGCCTGTATGTGCAAAATGGTCTCCTTTTCGATTCAGCCATGTACTTCTCCGCGAATTTTCTTTTCTCATCGGTCCATTCAACCTTAAAATAAAGCACATTAATAGAAATTTTATTTACATGACAGATATCAGAAATATACTACCTCAACATTGACAGTTATTACTTATAATTAACATTTACCGTTGCATAGATAATATATCTGATTTACACCAACTAAGCCATTTTGCATATGACTTACTTTGTTTAAAACCATTGTAGCCAAAACATCCATAACTTCAACCGGCTTCTCTTGTGCTTCCTTTGCAATACGGTCACCTTCCTCTTTAGTTACGGACTCTCCAAGTCCCCAAACTAGACTGACAAAGGATTCCTCGGTTTCTGAATGATATTGTGTAATATACATAGTTTAAATCCATTTGTGGAGCAATTTTTCCATTTTTTTAAGTTGGTGGGCTAGTATTTAACATACAGATACGTCACCACCTCAACTGGAATAATATTTCACAGTGTGACGATGCGAAATCTTGGGTAGTTGATGCGGAAGGGGCAATATAAACAGATGTATGCGATATTTATCAAAACATCAAAACAGAAGAAAAACAACGCTACAATTTGTACCAAGACTAGTCTATGACAGAAAATTTTCGGATAATAAACTAAAAGTGTAGGAAATAGACCGATAATTTATATTCAATGAGCATACGCTATATGTAAACATGTTTGTCGTAAGGAAAACGTTTTAGATTGAAAAACGAAAAATTTAAATATGATATTTAAAATATATAATATATGTATCATAAATATATATATAATCGTCAAAACAGGTAAAAACGAACTCATCTCACCCATAACTGGAACGCGAGAATCGCAGAAATCCAGTTTTAGTGCGGGGTAAAGGAACACGAATGATGTACACATTTCGTTCCTTGTTCCCAAGCCGCCCTGAAAAGAAACAGTAAATAAAAAAGAAATAACGAAACATATTTCATTTTAAAGTAACTAATAGCTTCCAAAATACTGTCTACATTGAAATCATGTTAGATAACTAAGATTAATTTGTCGTGCTCCATTTACGCAATAAAATTGAATTTCAAGTCAATATTTACATTTTTATGCTTCGTCTTGACTGATATGTTTTAACTGTAATCGTATGTTCGAATTATACCCCAGGATCTAAGTAGGAATTTCCGGCATTCAATCTAATTATATATATATACTGTATATATAATGCAATTAATTGACTTTCTCGAAACCTATTACATAAATAACAAACCGTGGTAACATTGGTTTTTCCAATCGTGTCGTAGTCACACTGCATTATGAAAGAATCGCCTTTACGTATCTTCACATCCATGAATTGAGATTCTTGATAATCAAAGTCGTAATGATCATCTTTTGCAATAGGCTCCAATTCCTTTTTGCCTCTGCAGGTTTAGAATCACTTGTAAGATGGCGTTTGAGTACGGATAAAATTTAGTATATATATGGTATGTTTTTTACGGCTTCACTAATTATCGTTATGTGTTTTCAACGTATACTTCCAAAGCATGATACCTGAAATGTCTCAACTTCATGGATTTTGCTGTAAGGTGGCCGTGTAGTGTCACAGAAAACACTGTCGTTTCTTCAACGTCTGTACCATCGAATCCCTGTGTAAAAGTTTAAAATCTAATAAAAATTCTGTGTATATATAATTCTTTTTTTTTTGGATAAATGTTATTTATAAATTTAAAAAAACAGCTTTTTTAATTACTGCCACATTAGAATCCTTGTGCAAACCTGTGAAAAGCATTCGTTAGAACAATAACCGTTGATTCTGAACCTTTCGGCATTCGGAGGGACGAATATGCCCTGGATCGATTGTGATATTGTAAGTAATCCGGCATCATATTTTCGAAGATTTTCTGTGTAGTAAAAGCGAACTCCCGAACTGTCGATAATATCTGAAATCATCAAGCATATTTATAATTAAGTTTAATGCTGCTTCATAAAATGTAATTGCAGTGTACAGTGTGAACGATGATATATTATCCTGATTTCAAATAATAAAAATGTACATATGATTTTGATCACGCCAATATGCTTCGTTACGAATATAGGACTCAATATTTCAGGTTTTCAATGTAATATTGATATTTTTAATTTGTCCGATTCTTCCTTACCAGGCTCCAAATCTGGATTATCATAATGGGTTTCTAGCAAAACGTATTTTGGCCCATCTTTTCCTCCAATCGGATATCCGGCCTCGATTGGAAAACGGAAATTAGACATTCCTACAGCCCAACCAGCGAACATTTTTGAACAGCCGGCCCAGAATGGATTCATTTCTGAGAAGCATTCCACATCTTTTCCGAGCTTTGACTGATCCTGAAAGTCGGAATGAGGTATTTTGATTTTATTTTGTTATACGAAGTGGATTTTTAATGTGCAGGTGGTAAAAAGTGGAAAATCTTCAATAAATTACTTCATTTTTTCAAAACTCAGTTTGAAAAGCGAGCTTCGAGCTAATTGCGACACAGACCACAAAGCATTTACTCAATTACGAAATGAATATTTATTTCACCCCAAATTTTTGTGTAGTATTTTTTTGTGATGTTGAGAATTAACGATAACCGGCTTTTCCGCACCTGTATAATTTAATTCTCTTTTCATACGCAAGTCTTACCTGCTGTCTTATCAAGATACTTTACTGAAAAAAATAAAATAGAAATACAAACCCTAAAGTCTTCACATAAAAACACCACTAAATGATGAACATTCTTTTCATTTCCTGGTGTAATGACGATGTCAAACTGTGAAATAGATACATATAAATATAGACTAGTATATTCAAAAATGACGTAACCGGGATGTACTTTTCCTGGGTAGCTTTTTGAACTACTTCTAATATGCCATGGTAAAGTTGGCTACTCACTCATTGAATACATCCGTAAAGTTACAGTCTTTCAATTTAGATTCCAAAATAAGGTTTACAACTATCATTTTCAAAGTATTTCTTCTTACCCCAATTACATGATGAACTTCCGGTTCCTCTGGTATTTTAAATAATTTGCATAGATAGAATGTATCAAGATTCGGAATTCGAAAATTTGTTGGTCGAATATCAAACTGCTTGTATTCCTCCTCGGCAATGTCTGTTTGGAATTCAGCAATATACACTAGGTTATATTGGCACTGCGATGTATTTGGTGGTCGTTATGAACTTGTCTCAAGTTTGAGAAGATTATTGGATTGTTGATGGATTACCCTAATTTATATATTTTTGCCAAAATTTCCTCTGTGAAAAAGTACTAGTTAAAATGTTTTACTCAAATATATTCAGAGTAATGAAGTACAGTACAATATGAATACGATAAAGCATTGCCCAAATATATTACATCGCTAATCGATACGGCAAGGCCTTATGGCACTGAGGAGAGATCGCCTTACAAGCGTAAACGAAGCGGTCAGGCGGGAAGAAAGAATAAAGCGTTTTTTTTTATTATTTGAGTAAAACAGCAAAGTTTCGGGGTTCCAGGTTTCAGAGAAAATTTGAAAATGAAAAAGTGGTGGTAGCTTTCTAGAATAGGAAATTTGAAATGGTTTTGTTCATTATTACGGAGAAAATCGATTAATACCAACAACAAGAAAGCCACTTCAACAACAACAAGAGGAGCAGCAACAATTTAGAAAAGCCAACCCTATATCCAGTTCGTGGCCAGATTTACATTTTGGATACAAGATCAAAGATAATTAAATTTATTCGTGTCGACTAAAATTAATAGGTATAGAAGAGAAAAATCCATGTATATATAAAACTACCGTTCTTATCAATCTGTATAACAGCGTTGACCAGTTTCAAACTCTTTGCCCCTGAAATTATATAAAGATCATCAACTAAAATATATAAATATATACCGATATCTGTTTCAATAATAGAAGTATTGAACGTCGTTGCTGAGCTAGTTTCTAATCCAGTTCAAAACGATTTAGCAATGCGGTCCGGAGCGCTATATTAATTATTCTATACAGATATATCATAATTTATTGGGAGTTTTAAAAAAACAAGGATTGCACTAACCTCTGTTTCTCATGTGATAATTAGACCGGACAGGCTGCATTCCAACAATATCGTTTCCACCGTACGCCCAAATTACTCGATAAGTTCCTTCCTGTAGTAGTGAATTATATTTAGAAAGCGACGATTTTATAACGTTCTCAACTATTCCTCACCATGAAACATGGCCTCCGTAAAATAGACAGTCAACCTGTGCTGGCTTATGGGAATGGAAATCTTTCCGATTTGTCATATTCTATCAATTTGACTATACCCAGGATGTGTCATAGCCCATCCATAGACTGAAAATTTCGAACCGACCCAACGATAGATATGGTAAAAAATGAAAAAAAAAATGGAGAGGCTATAAAAAATTAAAAACTCTCTGTCATTGTTGACGTAATGAGAAATCTTTTTAAAAAAGTAACTACAAATATAAATGATGTTATTTTTGTTGAAATCAGTGATACGCGCATGTTTCACTTTTGGTGTTATAGTTGGATATTGGATTTATGGTCTGTATTTATTAACTACTACATTATAACCATACAAGTTTTGACTGTGTCTAACTAAAAGTACTTTACATACACCAATGATCTTGTCATCATCATCACACGTGATTCGTTTCCTGATGACGGTTGCCATGGTGTGTGTTCCATTCTCCCAACTTTCAAGCAATTTGACATCTTGTTGTTCGTCAACATCAGGTATGCCATTTTTATCCGAGTGACAGTCCTATTTAGTAAGATTAATCATAGTTAAAAACAGGTAACGTAAACTCGTTTTATAGTTTAATGTTTCGTTAACTTCATAACAAAAATACTAGCAAGATATAAATGTAATTTACCAATATGTATGGTTCGTTGTCCAACTTTCCCGCGATAATTAAATCAGCTCCGGACATAGAAGATGTCTGCGAGAAACCTATTCCTATCCAACCCGTCGTAGGAGCAATAAACTAAAAACATAAAAAAGTAAGAAAATTGAATAAATAGAAAGAGAGCACAAAAAGAATTGAGGAAATGCGGTATCACGGAAAGGACAATCAAGAGATACAGCAAAAATCATTATAGGAAGTAGAAAACTTACTTGCATTGATATATTCTCTTCGTCAAAATTCCATTTCAAATGCACAGTTTCTTCAGCATCGAGCCAAATACTATAGGGAAAATTCTCATCGATTACACCAAGATGCACTTCATCAATATTTGCTTTCGATACGGGGGTGGTTGGTTGCGTCGTAGTGGGCATGGTTGCTGTCAAACGAAACGCCGTTAGTTTACAAAAATATTGAAAAAAGGTTTCGATGAAGAAATAAAACTTTACCATCAGTTTCTGGTTTTATTCCAAGAGTGTTCAATAATCGATAGCCTGAAAAGAAAATGCATAAAAATAGTTTTATAGTAATTTACAGTCATTTCAATTCTTATTCCTAGATGATTTAGACTTTGGAGGCTCAATTTTATATAACTTTGGTGTTGAAGTGCGTGCTATATTAAATTGCAAATATATTTGCATTTTTAATATTTTGTTTTTTAATTTATTTGCAAAGTTGCTTGTCTGTATCACGTGTATTTATAATAATAATTTACCTTTTTTTATTTTCACTGCTAATTACTTCCCAACTAATATGAAAATCAATGGAGCACTTCTAATGAAAAATACCTTCAAGTATAGTTTTTAGTGACTAAATCAAAGGTGAATTTTTAACGATGAAAAATGACATTACCTCTGTTCGTCCAATGATAATCTTCACTTAATATTTCTTCTGTTTTGTCTTTATCACCAAAAGCCCAAAGGAAGTTATTGTCTCCTTTCTAAATTATATTTTGAAATATTTTGTTTATTAACATAACATGCTTTAGTGGCGTTTTCACAAAAAAGGAAATATCACGCAAGGCAATGTAAATAAGATGAAAAAGAGCCTTTTATGTTCAGCACATTGCAAAGCTACCATTTTTAACTTGTTTCGAAAAAAAAAGGAAATTCACATTTTTCTATTCAGTTAAGTTATTAATGTTATTTAAACTCAAAGTTTATTTAATTTCAAATATGCGTGGATGTAAACATAAAAACACTTTACAAGTATATCGTTGTCTTTTGTTGTATCTTCAGATTTAAGTGATCGTTTAATTTTCATGTAGGTTGTTCCATTTTCAGCGCTGTCAAGTATTGTCACATCTTGATCGAAATCTATTCGCACCATTCCCGTCATTTCAGAGTATGCATCCTGTGAGAATGATTATATAAATAAATTATGTATGTATATTCACAAATTGTATAAACAAACATATACAATGACCAAGATTTAGGATACCCGTTTTTTGATCAACTCATTTAACAAATGAAAAACGTTCTTCGCTGGCTCTCGCATTAAATAAAGGAAATTCCATGAACGACAAAAAAATCAATTCTATATTGATACCGTTTTGGGTACAATTTGAAAAATATAGCAACTATTGACGTTAAAATGTGATTATTCCATGTTTTTACCCAGGCGTACGGTTTTCCATCCTTCATGCCCATTATGATGAGATCTGCCTTTTGCATCGTTTTTGTCTCTGAAAATCCAATTCCGACCCATCCCAAAGTTGGCGCGGAGACCTTGAAAAATAGTAATTACAAATTTTCTATTCGTGACGTTAGATTTATATTGTAATGAAAAAGTAAGGGATTTGTTAACCACGGGGTTATAGTGTGAAAATGCCCAAATGTGTGAGCAGACATAACGTGAAATACATTTTGTGATTTATTCACGTAATACAAAACATATGTCTTTATTTCAGATAAAAGTTTGTAAGTATTGTCCAAACATTTTATTTATCTTTATAAAACAAAGATAAAAAAAAAGTATAAATATGTCAGATTTATATAAACTACTGGAACGCCACCCTATACTCATGCCTCTTTGAATTCTGCTTCCTCTTAGATATTTGCAGATATATAAAATGCGCATGATTCATTAGCGCAATGTAAAAAACATGTTTGAAATAAATTGTATGGTAAGGCAAAGGCTGTAATTACCACGAGTCTATAGGCTGACAACTTAATGTTACGTTAGTACTCGTAAACGCTGGATAGCTTGCTGCAAATTAAGAAGAAAAGTCAACTTATTCACATTTGCAAATATGTTAATTGTGTTTTGAAATTAATATAAAATGTAAGAGTCCAGAGTCACTTTTGTTTACTTTGCCTCCGGCTGCATACTTATTGCCGTATTAATCAGAACGTAAAACACGATAAACAATATTGTTTTATTTTTCGGAAGATGTGATAGCTTTCTAAGAACGTGCGTCCGAAGCTTTCAGATAGACCATGGCACATTCTCTCACATTATTCATTACATGCGACTTATCACACGTTGTCTTAAAACAAGGCCCTGTCCTCATGGCGTTGAGCAAATAAAAAGTTTCGGCACACAACCCACAAGTGGTATACATTATGGCGGAATATATTTGGCCCGTTGATCTCTGCATATTTTCTTTTTCAAAATTTAAGTAGTTTTTTCACGAAGACTAGTGGCCATCTCACTTCGCTTTTCGAGATGCGGATTGAATTAAAATTTACAATTTTTTTGAGTAGGCATCAGCTGCAAAATGTATGTACACAAATAATTTTAGACTGTTGATAAAAAAGTGAACTAAGATCAATTTCTTGACAACGCACAATTAAAGACGATACAGCGTACTTTCACTTACTTCAAATATTATATCTTCGCCATCAAACTCCCAACCAACTGTAAAATCTTTTTCCATAACTTCTGAAAACTTCAATTTTGCTTCACTTACGACAGTAAGCAATAACAAAGACGCTGAAGCTAGCAACATGGCCGTAATTTTCATTGTATTATTTATACCTGTGTAAGAATAATACAATTACTGTTGTAAAGTACCCTCAAGCCAAAAAAATCGAGACAGTTTCCTAAATCGATAGAGAAATAGTGCTTCAATCACGATAAAAGGTAGGAATCAAGAATAAGCATCTACGAAACCCATTTGTCATATGATCTATGACGTAGGTGCTTTCAAACAAATATATATAAAGTGCACCACAAACTTATAATAGCAATCTTCTAACAAAAATAGGCTAAAGCTATTCAGTGATATGTCATTTTTTCGGCATATAAGATGCGCTTGCAGACAGCGAGACAAGCCTTTCACTATTCAATGCGACCATTCCCGCAAATCGCACGGTATTCAGAAGCAAACTTAATCTAACACGAATAATTCCCTACTGTCGTGACAAGGCATTATTGCGCGAAGTTTCTTTAATATGAGATGCTCAATCTCAGATTATCTTAAAATTAAATTATCTCAGAAAGCAATCAACAAACATAAGAGAAAAAAAAATTGTATAGTTTTTTGCTGAAATTTGAGAAAAAAATCCTTTTATATGTAGAAAAGTTACGCATTTTGTTGTAATTTGATACGTATTAACATCGCCGCAGGCCTGTTAGCAAAAGTGCTGGGTCACTCTCAATATTACACCATTGCGTCGCAAGCAAACGAAGTAGGAGTACAATAAACATCGTCGGTATTTGTCGATCTTTTCCATTCATAATACGATGGTGCTCACTTTCCTTTCATCGACTGATTTTATTCATTTTACTGCAATTGCTATTCTGGCATCTATTTTCAAAGATTTTTTTGGAATACGTGTAACGAAGATTTGACTTAGACTTTAAATATATAAATGAATTATCCTAGATAAAACCAATTATCATTGTTTGCTATTGTCATATCGTGATGTTATCTCCAGGAAAACGATGTTAAAACGACCTCATCTAATATAGATAACTGGATTTGTTCAGTATACAATCTGTTTGTTTTTTTCTTCCTTAATATTACCTTCGTCTACTTACAGAGCAGAGAACAAAAATGCCAGTATCAGTGATTGTTTTTCCTGTTAACAATTTATTTCGCTGTTCCACTTGGCTATACGACGTCCATATTAAATTGCTTCCAGACAAAAATGTACCAGACGATACGATTACTTCAGGTGCGTGAAAAAGGATTAGATAAATGAATAGGTAATTATCGGAAACGCCCATTTTAACGCGAAGGCAATTGGAAGGTGCAAATTATTGAACAGAGTATTTAAGTGACGTGTTTAATCGCGTTAAATCTGATTGAATTTTTTGAGTAATTATATATTCACAAACAACTAATTGTTGCATATTCCTATTATTTGAGACCCCCCCCCCCATCAGTATATGAGATGAGATATAGTTGTGTACAATAACAAGTGAGCAACGCTCAAATATATGGCAACGTGGACCAGAGCGAAGCATTCCCTACCTTTGACGTTACCGGTATCATACTCTCAAAAACAGAGTCATCCGTCGCGCTTGGCCGATTAAAAACCGTGTTCCCATAATTAAAAGTAATAGAGCGCAATTTTGGATGAAATATTAGATCTCATAACGTCAGGCTAATAACCGAATTGCGTAAGTCATTTTTGGCGGTTTTGAGTTTTTCATAAAATAGGTATTTATGTAATGCTGCGCACCTGTCTGTCAACTCAGATTTTATTTTAAGGATTACGAAACCCATAAAAATGGAGATTTTGTCTGACATGCAATTTTGTTCAATTGTTTCGTCATAATGAATTATCATTGTTAACGCATGGTTATTGTGACGTCACAAAGACAAAATAACCTCGGCGAAGGATTTTCGAGTTTTTGCATCTCAGATTCTAGCTCAGCGCTTATAAATTTGAATTTATACTACAGTATAGGAAGGCGTGCACTTGTGATATTCACTGTCTGAGTCCAATCTTAGTCTTATTTCGGTGGGTGTGCAGAGCGTGTTATATTGATGGAATATATATTTTTAAACATAAAAAATAATGTAATTGAAACAGATTAGCTATTTTGGGGATTAGACATCGTAGATACTAAGAATTACATTCGTTTTTGAATTGTTCGGTTTTCAGGACCGGTGCATATAGTCAAGTCGCAAAATTGCGTATGTCCCCAAGTCATAGACAAATTTCTGCCTAAGTCACAGTGCGCCATTATAACGTCACATAACTGCGTCATACAAATTAACTTAAATCCGGCTACGATCAATAACTTGAACTATGACAAATTATTGACTCTCAATGGCATAGCAATATCATTAGGAAGTTTTTTACATTTTTCATCAAAACTGCTAAAAATGACTTACGCAATTCGGTTATTAGCGTGTCGATAAGATTAATAGAAAATTTAGGAATAAATAAAAGTAATCGCATTCTGGCAAAAAAATCAATTTTCAACTACTGAAAATTTCAAAGCAATTGGTTCAGTATTCGAAGAGAAAAGCGAGTTTATCATGACGAGGGAGAAGAATATCAACAAGATAATATCAGAACGATCAATAGGTCTACACATGTGTCCAATAATATATTCTTGATTGAATATTTTTTGATGAAAGATTTCAGATTCGTTCAAAAATTATAAATTGTATCATTGATTATTTATGTAGGTCGATGTTTGGGGTAAAGGCCTGTGAAATGCCTAATAAAAACATGTCCAGGTTAAAATTTTTGTGTAAGTGGCATCATTTCACTTTTTGCTGTAATATTCGGTCTATTCGGACCAAACGATCTCCAAGCTATCACACAGTGGAACACACCATGACATATTTATTGTGCGTCTAAAACAAGCAAAAAAAATCTACCCAGAGTGTCATAAATACGGAGATTTTGTTGAGAACATCATGAGAACTGGAAGTATTCAATATTCTATTAAAATAGATGGTATTTATTTGGAAAATCATCCCATTTCCTCATTTTGTTGTGGCTATATAAGTAGTAGAACAAGTTATATGAGTATAAGCATTTGCATATATTAGATCTGGGGTCGGCAACCTACAATATATGGACCAGGTGAAGTTCGCCAGGGCAGGACATCCGTCCCTGGACATATTTGTAACTATAAAAGCGGAAAAGTTTTCTTGTTTTGCATAATATCTGTTATTTTGAGTGCGGGCGTCTTAGTTTCTCTCTTCTTTGTAAACGACCACTTTTATATATTATCACCGTATGCACATCAGATATCTATGATATCGTGTATGTGAAAATAAACTTAGATTCAAGTGCCAACGGATGCAAACGTACGATGTGCAAATATCGGGCCACGTTAACAACCCGCCGCTGCATTCCGTGTCACTTATTAATAGTAGTCCGGCAGAATCGGGCCAATTGTTTTGGGACATAAATTTTTTTTTATTGTTTAGATATAATGTATATGACATATATAATGATACCCAGGTGGTTGTGGAGTATATAATGTTGATTAATTTTTTTCAAGTGGATTTAAAGTATTCGGTCCAAGATGACGCACATCCTGAACCCTAACCTGGTAAACATACAATGTTCAGGTTGTGCGCCATCTTGGTACGAATACTCCAGGAGCGCCTTTTTGTTAAAAACAATTATTTCATGGTTTAGTTTTGCATACATAGTAACATTGAATCTCCTTACAATGTCAGAAATTCAATTTTAGTAGAATAAATGGTAGTTTATTTCACTAATACAAGTCAAGATCCATCGACAGCATCTAGCCACTTTCTATTGCACTCTTCAAACTACATTTGCGTTGCCGCGCGCATTTCGTTTTCATAGTTTAAGCTTAGGGACTTGGGAAATATTTTATTAGTTGAATTGGATTGGAATATTTGACTTCGTCTTTCACTCCGAACAAGGCCATGTAAAACCATCCACTGGTATCTAAAGATGTGTAACGTGTTTTCCTTTGGAAGAACCGCAACCTTTCAACCTGCGAAACCGAGATGTGCACGTGTTATGCCAACATAGTTGAGTCAAACGTTTTGAATACTAGTACATCACACACATTTTCCTGTGTGCTTCGGTTGTACGTAGTAACGCGCACATGCATCAAATTCCACTTGATTATTGAGCTATAAGGTTTTTGACGAGCTTTTGTGTATGATTTCATTCCATAGAATTTGTATGCTGTTCTAAAGAATACTAGTTTCAGCTTTTTCATTCATTCAAACCGCGTGTTGAAAGTAAGTTTTGTAATATTGCGTGTTGGTTTCCAACATCCTTAAATCGGTGATGCCAGTAAATTTTTAATACAAAAAGATCAGTAACATCTGCAATAAAAACAGCAGTACCCACTCAAATGACAGCTGGGGGATGGATACTCTTACTATCTGCTCCATCGCGTTCTTCTTACAGTCTTACCAGTTTACATGAGTGCCAATTGGTATCTAAGCTCAGCCAGAGACAAAAAGTTTCGGACTGCAGTTGGCGTGACGAAATGTTTTTAAATATATATTCTACAATAAGATTATTTGATTGCATACTACTGAAAGTTCCGCCTTATATGTCTTTTCTCATTGCACTATTCTTTTACTGATATTCGATAATATGACGCTCATCTGACATAGTTCTTAAAGTGTGTAGATGGGTATAATCTTTTCCACGCTGTTTAGATGGGAATGCGCGAATATATATAAGAATTGCTGATATTGGTTTGCAATGCGATGAAATTCCATCTTGGCATTTCTGCCTCTCGCAATTGCAGCGTATACTTATCGGGGAAGTTCTGTGGCGTGGTTATCAAATGAAAAAAAAACATGGGAGTATTTTTTCTACTTTTCTACTACTATCAAACCTTGACATTTTGTGAAAACTTTTTTCCATGCAACCTTTTTTTTTAAACATCCCCAACAACCACAAATGATTCTGTTATTAAACTTCCGGAACAAACACATAAAATCATTATCAGATGCATATCACCAAGTAGATATTGCTGAATTAATCTTTATTTTACCATTTTTCATGTAATTCTTTTTGGTAAGCCTGTTATCTATCGTAAATACAGCAGATTTGACAATGTTGTAGTGTGACTATTTTGGCCTCACATTTTTGATATTTGTAGTTAGAGCTCTTGGGGCTCTGTCAAAAAAGTTACATACAAAATATTGGTTGTAAATTGCAAAACATGATCATGTTGTTGGAATAACTTGGCATTTTACCACTCGTATATCATTCATTGTTGAGAATATTAATAAAATCATAAAATTTAAAAATCCGTTTCCGTGAAATTTTTGTTGTCTTGTCAATCTACCTCCGTAGCTAACTCTCGACACAGTTGTAACGCACACATAAACACATCCAACTTGTATGAAAGAACTTGTAATGAAAGTCCAGTAAAATTCCACAATCAGGTTAAAAGTTCCACAGTAGATAAATGGCAGTGTAACACAGTGAATATCCTCTCTATGCACGGTAGTGTATATGTGAATATAGCAGTGGCGGCGCGTGGTCATTTTGACAACCGGGGCAAGCTACTGTGGGACCAAGTCACCCCCATCTACGGGGACAGGATGAGCGCTGTAAGTTCTCCCATCATTTTATAACTATAAAAAACATTCCATCGGTAACAACCAATCGGCAAAAGCGATAATTTTTAACGATAAGAAAGTGTCTTTAAAACCGGACCAAGTCGAGGGATTAATAAATATAGACATAGTTTATTTTGAAACCTCTTTCAAAAAGAATGGCAATATTTACCCAGATAAATACAATGACATATTAACAGAAACTTCGGGAAAGCAGACAAAACCTAAAATAAGGTTTGAAACGTTACTATGAAGAAAGGAAAGGTAATGCAAAGATAAGGATATGCGTCGCTCACTCATAGATATATATGCTGCTAGACTTCTACTGCTTGAACATATATGCAACACGCCGCGGTTTCTTGGAAGCAAAATGCTCAATAACGCGCTGATTAAAGTCATGCATCCCAAAAATAACGTCTCTGTGAATGGATAAAACAGCCAAGGAATTTAATCTATCTTGCTTCATTGTGTTTCTGAGATACGTTTTAATACGCTTCAGCGTGCTGAATGTTCGCTCTGCGTCGGCGGAAGAAATAGGCGTCGTCAAAATGATGTCCAGAAATTTTGCAGACGCCGCAAAGGTAGTTACTAGAGTGTTATCTATGAGGAACCCA